ATCGCGTAACAACGGTGCTCCAGGATGTTCGCTCGCGCCACAATCCGTGAATAAATCGCACATAAACGTCTCCTGAATGCACCTCATCCGGAAATCAATCGGCGAAGCGCCCGGAACGAATTGAAATGCATCTTCGCGTGAGAAAGTCACTCGTCTTTGGCTTTACCTACGCATAGATGCTTTATGACGGTATATTTTTTACAGCTTTTACGAAGCAAATAAAATTATTGCATTCTTTACGCTACCCTAGCACGTCATGGTACAAAATAGGTAGTAATAAATAAACCTAGTAACACATTGATGTTATTTGGTATTCATTGATTTGCAATAAAATCAAACATTTTATGAATTATGATTACTGACATTATTTTCAGACTGTAATCATCAAGTAATCAGTAAAAATTCTTTTCATGTTCTCGACTGGCTTTTTCGTTGTATATATATACATATTACATCCATGAATTTGGAATCGTTTCGACGTGCAGTCATGACTTCTATTTTTTTTACCTTCATGTCTTTCGTCTCTCCCTGAACAACGACAATTCTTCCGTAATTCGACGTTGGCACGTGAGGAGACTCTGCAAACTCTGCCAAGACAAACAACCTCCCATTATATTTTTTCTGTATTTTAATTTTCTCTTTTTTTCGTTTATTCTGACTATGTACGCCGCTATCAACAATTTACATTGTACTTACTTTGACACATTTCATTGCTCAACGATCAAGTATTTGTCCCTCATTTTTATTTACTGGATGTCCCTTTTCATGACAAACTATCTTCTTTGATATGTCTTTTATTGATTTGCTTCCATTTCTTTTTATTTTCATATCTTTGAATACTTTTTAAAAAATTACATGTGAGTAATCTTTTTCTTGCAAAAAAACGAAGTTAATTTCAAAAATTAATCAAGTTTCTTAATTAAAATTCTACATTAAAATATAAGTTTGAATACATTGACTTTAACTAATAGATTGGAAAAAAAACTAGGAAATCCCACCAATGTAGTAAAATATTCATAAAATTTTAATAACATACTTATTTTCAAAAAAATTAGACATGTATGAATAGAATTCAAATAGGTATCTTCTGAAGATACTGGACTGTTACTTAAATTTTGGAATCAACTCTAGGATCTTTCTTTCCAATCAGAATTTTTCGTTAGGCGTGTCTAAAGACCATTAAAATTCTAATGACGAATTCGCTGCCTGATAAGACCCTAATGTGACAAAAATTTATACTCGGGTCAGTCTAAATTCAAAGGTTCGAGCTCAACCTGAAACATACTGTGGGTTTTGATGATCAGAGTTTATAACATTTTCAAAAATGATCGGCGTTTTAGTAAAAAAAAAATTACATGATCTCTGTAAGAACATGTTTATATTTTCTACAAATAAACAAATAAACATTCACTGTTTTGTTGTTATTTTTACTAATCCAGTTTTAAAGAAGAAGTGTTACTTTTAAGTTTTAATCTCCAATAAAATTAATCTCTCACGAAATCCTTTTTAATTAACATAATAAACATCGAATTGAAATTAAATATCATTTTTACCACTGTTCTCGAACTTTCCATACTCTTTAAAACAATTTTGGTATAATTTTGTCCACGTCGACTTTGAACTCCATGGAATATCTAAAATGCTAACACACTCGATTACTCAGCGATGAAGCATTCCATCTTGTCTATTTGCCTTGTATAAAGCCCATTGACCACTCGTACAAACTTTACTCAAGTTGTTAGTCTTATTACTCTCCAAAAACCAGTTAATGGTTGGTTTAAAAGAATTAAGTAAAAGATCACACATGCCGTCTTATAATAAAAGTTAATACTTAACAATTTCTCTTAGAAGTGTATAACATTATTGGCTTGATAGACAGTAAGAAAAACCACATGAATATCTTCTTCCTGTTGCTGCATCTATCAGGATGGAATATTTCTATTGAAACCAGCCGCCGTCATATGATGGTTTATTTCATAAATAAAATCTCAGATGTTATATCAGACAGGAGACCCATTAAATTCAATTAAAAGCTTTCCTCTTATCTTATGTATATATAAATTTTTTAATTATAAAACTTTACTGGATATGAAACATTAAAGAAAGGTAATCGTATCTAAACTATTCAGATGAAGACATTTTTTATGAAACAGTCATAATCTACCTATTAAAATGATAATGTTTATTTCAAATCTTCAAATAGCATAATAAAGCATTATATTATTAATTGCTATAGATACCCGATCGTTTTTTAATTTAATTGATTGATATTTTATGCCTTCAGGAAAATAATAAACGTCAAGGTTTTAATAAATAATTTTATCCGATTGTATAATTGATCATAATATTGACTCCTATTCATTTTAATTATTCAACTTTGAACATTTCTCACGTTAAGTAGTTTAGATATTCCATTATTTGCCAATGACATGGTGAATGGATAAACAAGAAATAATAACTTTATATGTTGATAAATATGGTAACAATGAATAATAATTCCAAGAATTAATTTATGTAAAATTATCATTTAGTTAACAATATATTTGAAAATATAAATATACTTATTTTTAAATTTTGCAAATAATTAAAAACGTTGAATTCAATTGAATAATTTAGGACTTATAATTAAATCTGCACTTCCAATTGACATAGAGTTAATTTTTTAAATTTAGATCTTCATACTGATTTTTTTCAATGATTTTTCACATTTGAAGTTGAATAATTTCTTTGAGTTTCAATTCATTAAGAATCTGTTAATTTAATATAGATTATCGTTATATTATTTTGAAAAACGAGATTTCGAACTAAAGTAGGTACAAGTAATAAGGCCTAAGTAACAAAAAAAAATTTATAATGATCGACGAATGGCAGAAGTTGTTATTTTTTGTTTATATTTTATAATCGTCGATCTAGAGGTTTAATTACGTTAAAAGTTATTGATTCAGATACATAATTTTTATTTTACTTCAAATCTCTCTTAGCTAAACCTTATTACCCGTACCTATCTCAATTTTAATCTTTAATTGTTCATTAAAACATTGTAACTTTATTAAGGAGGCAATTTGTAATATTAAATACCAATGTTTTTGTTTTTTGTTAAAAGAGATTAAAAACTACTTTTTGAAATATTTAAAACCTCAAAAAGCAGAAATCTCTTGAAATCTGAGCAAATCAGTTTTCTCTGCAGAGCAAAATTTGACCTAAATCAATACTTTCTAATCCTTATGGTGTTCATGAGTTTAAAAAAATGATTGAAGAATAAACAAGGTTAAAATTTCATAAGATAATGAAATAATTTATTTAAAGATCTAATAGTAATGAGCGTGGAAACTACGGTGCGTCATCGATCCTGTCGATATACCCACGGTCGCTTCAATTACTTGAGTAAGCTCTCGGCCTCGGGGAAATGTCACTGGTTCGTTAAACGAGGGTATATCGCCCATCACCTTATATAACACGCTGTTAGCAAGTACCTATATGAACGCATAAGTATAGAAGGAAGCCGCTATTCGTGTATGCCTCGCCACCGACATGGAAAGCAAAGGCCAGCAGACGATCCTCTGCGCTTTCTACCTTCGATCTTACACTCTCCTCTATAGTAAATTTAACTGCTAGCAATTATGTAGGCTATGTGAATTGTTCATACATATTATATTATGCACAGAGTACTGTTGCCGATATCAGAATAGAGAAAACCGCGACTTAATACTCAAGCTATACTCAACACTATTTCAGCTCAATTTTATGGCTGAAACTCTTCTATTCAATAAATGACTATGTGCCTATATGAACTCGCGCGTAAACGAATAACGGAAGATGCATACTTCTTTAAACTTAATCAGGACAACTCGAAAATTCACCACATCACATTTATTTATAAATAGAAAATCGCATAAACTTCACTTCCAAAGTCTGTTATTTACTTTAAATGAATGTTTTTTCATGACAGAACATCCATGTAGCTTTCTACATTTATTTTAAAAATTATGTCATCTATAATTTTCATTCGTTTATTTATTTACTTCTAGAGAAGAACAAAAAATATGAATTTTTTATCTTAAAAGAGATTGTAATACCACATGTAGATAGGTCTGAAGAACAATGCACTTTAAACCAAAATATTTCTCAAATGTCATGAAAGTCTATTTTGAAATTAAACATTTTTAACAGAAATTGAAATAAATTAATCTTGCATAATATCATACATTTAATCTGTTGATGAAATTCATACTGTATGTTTCTCTTCTTTTATTCTTTTATCGCTTAGTGAAAATTTTAATTCATTCACCAACATGTTCAAATATTTAACCGTCATTTACCCTAAATTTGTGTAACTTACAGATTTATTTTTTGTAAGCAAAATAAATGATTTATTTCTAGTTGTTATCAATGTTTTATTTATTTTGTTACAAATATTATATTCAGTTAAATAAGGGGACAAAATTATATTTTGTTTTATTTTTCTAAAAATAAATAAATAATATAATTTACCTAAATAACTTTATTTTCTATTGTATTTGAAATTAAAAAGTGGGTTTTAATTTTTAGAAGTCATAAATTTTCAATTTGTAATAAAGCTAATTAATATAATGTCCTCAACATTAAAACGATTTCATGTCACTGTTCTCACCACCACAAAAGGAATAATATAAAAGCAAAAATATCTCTATAAAACTAAAGAGGAAATATACATAACATGCAAGAGCCTCATTTGCTCTCTCCAAATCATCACGTGACTCTTTGTCATCACTATGAGACGACCAAAGCCGCAGACCATTATGAGAGTCGCTAATCAAGTGGCTTTTTTTCTATTCCATAATTGCTTAACCGGTCAAACGTCGTTTTGTCTGACAGTTAGAAAACGTGGGATCGTATGAAAAGTTTATCTTAATACGACTGAGTAATATACATATAAATGATGAAATTTATAATATATAATTCTATAATCACGTTAAATGAAATAATTATAAATAAATTAAATGATATGGTGTATTTTACAGGCGACAACCGGTAGCGGGTATTTTGAAGTGCAGATACTGTCATTAACGAACAACAGAGGCACACTGGTTGATGGACGTTGTTGCGGCGGAGGAAATAACTCAGGGACAAAGGGTAACTACCCTCCTTGCTCCCAAAGTTGCACCACTGCCTTTTGGTTGTGTCTGAAGGAGTATCAGTCAAATGTCACTGCCATTGGCTCATGTAGCTTTGGCAACATATCTAGTCAGGTGCTCGGACAAAATACATTTACCCTTATCGAGCCCGTCACTCTTCAGCTCCACTTCACATTCAGATGGACGGTAAGTTTACCGAAATTCCGAGGTTTTTTTCGACGAATATTAAAACAATTTATTTAAAAGACCTACTTCATAAATGATTCATTATAAAAACGGCATTTTTATTACAAAAACTTCCAGTCAGTTGAACATAAAAAAACCATCTTAGATATTTTAACATCGAAGAAGAAAATAGGACCCATAATTTCCACTCGAACGATTACACGCTTGTTAGTTGAGTTACGCGTGTGGCGATTTACTGGCGTTCCGAACGCTCGAGCATCATCGCTCTCTACTCCAAAATACCTCATCGCTGGTAAAATTATAAATTATATTTGTTAAGTGCATTCTCTGCTGAACAAAAGTTATATAATATCGTATATGAGAAAAGAAATTTCGAAAATATTGAATAAAAAGTATGAGTTCATAAACCGGAAAAATAATTTCATTATGATTAAATTATTTTAGCGTCCAATAACAATATTCATTTTAGCCTATTCATTAAATTTTTTGCTACAAAAGAACTAGCATCTTAAGACTATACAAATCCACTTTCTACCAATAGGGATACTTGTTCTTGTTCTCGTAATACCTAATAATTAAAAATAAAGGAACGCAGTCCGGCTCAAATAGTTGTTTTAGTGTATGAAATAAACGAATCCATTAAGTGATGAAGTACACATAAGATTGTTTGGAGTAGCTCCTCGATGCTGTTTATATATATTTCATAACTTACTCGTGAACATATATAAGAGGCTTCATCCTGCCTCTGTCTTCATCATTATCAAGAGGCAGAGAAGCAAAAGGGTAAGGGTCTTTGATGTAATTTTTTATTTTATTTACCACTACTCCAATCAATCTAAATCTCTCTGTTCTGCTTCAAGTATTTCGAATACAAGTATCACAATCCCTTCAATTAATCATTCAGGTACTCTTCAAAAGTTGTTTACCATTATATTTTTTCTCTCTTTGCTCATACACCAACCTCGCTTCTATTTAGCATTTTTCGAGGCCAATTTAGTTATGACCATGATTATCCAGCTAAGTGTTATTGAAAACAAAATTCAAGTACGAAAAATAAACGTGGCCAACAGACACGGTGCTCTTAACTTCTCCACTCTCTCTCTCTCTCTCTCTCTCTCAAGTGATAAATCTAACCGGAAGTTTGGTTATCTATCTCTCTCCAAAAAAGATACGAATACATCTAACACTCACACGCGGTCTACTTCCATCATTTGCAGAAGTTCCTTTCGCTTTAACTTTCCCGGATATAATCACTGCTTAATCATGCACTATTTGACTCTATTTCCTGTATCATTCCATTTGCCTACCAATAATGCCATTATTTCGTCTGAATATTTGTCTTATTAAATTGCTGTTTCATTACTTTTTAAGTTTTTCTGAATTCAACATGAATTAAAATAGATTACACATCAAACAAAAACAACTACAAACTAATCAGTTACATGTCAGAATTTAATTCATAATCATTGGATTAAACTATGACATAAGGGTAATTTGAAAATAAATGACTCTAATATTTTTTCTTTGACAACTCTAGCAGAAACAAAGATTGGTTCTTTTCTGAACCAAAATATCATCAAGGTTACATACATCTATCTAAAATGTAACCAGAAATGAGCTAATATTTGTTTCTATCAGAGAAAGCAGCTTTTGCTAGTTTTATTTATTCTTCAATTAATTTATTTGTCTATTTAATCAGCCATCAAGTAAAAGCATATTTAAAAAAACTGTCATAAAAACAAAAATAATTGCTCAAATGTTTGGTTTATTGAAATATCACCTTTTCTTCTTATCACAGGTAATCAGAGCTGATTGAAAAAGTATTCTAAAACTAAAAAAAGTTCGATCCCAAATACTTTGAGATTTATAAGATTCTGTTTTTTGATATTTTTCATTAACGATCCGGCTCCCACGGGAAGCCTGAACATTCGTCAGATGCCAGAATTACAACGGTGAAAAGCATGCCAAATCACGATGGAACAGAGTAGTGTGTATCAAGCCGTTCTCTTCGTGAATTCGATATACCTTCTGCTTAACTCAATCTCACCTCGGCAACTGCTCGATCCATGGAGCCTAAGGAGACGTCGTGCTTCCTTTGGAGCCATCTTGAGAATCGAGGGAATGCACGAGGTGAGAGGATGCAAAGTTTTGCACAATCTTCATCCAGTCTCTCATATGTACTGCTATATGTACACCTACACTTTATTGCTGGATCCATTGTTCGTAGATTCACGTCGTTTCACCGATCATTTTCTTTCTCGTCTTGCTCTCAAGCCACCCAAATGTCTACATGCAAACGCCTCTTAACTTATTCTCTTTCATCACTTGATGTAAACTCTTCCGCAGTGCATATTATTCAAAGTAAATCATTGCCATTAAGAACACAAATCTTGGATACAATTACGTCATATAGACACAAATTCATCAATGTAAAATTGATGGATTTCATGTAGATAAATTTTGTATGATAGATTCGATCTAGGGAAAGGAAAATATGAATCATTTATTGACTCACGTATCATAATCAGTCATCTATTCTTAATACTGTTTTTTCTATAAAATAAATACTTTAAAGATAAACATCAATTGTTATATATCATTTATTTTCAATATTTCTTTAATTGATTAAAAATTATAAATCTATTTGTTTCAATATTAATAATTTACTTGAAGATGAACGTTGATAGACTTGCTAGCACTTTTAGTTGGTACCAGTTCAAAACTTTAAAGTGGTAGCCTTTGAAAGTTCGAAAGTTTGATCTAATCCGCTTCATTGTTTGAGTAAAAGTTATTTTAAAGGGTTGGTTAAGAAACAAAAGTTAACTAGGAGTAAGGGCATAAAACGACTGCATCTTTGATGACAAAGCAGAAAAGATTTTGACTAGTCATACCATAAATTTGAGAAAAAGCATGCGAAAGAGTAAAAAAATTTAAGTTATTTATTGACAGGATATGAAAGAAGTTTTCTAAAATACTTGAGCATCTAACAGTAATTTAGAAGAAATATTTTTTACCTGTTAACTTTAAGTGAAATAGTATTCCAACGACTATAAATACAAATAACTATCAATTTCTATAAAACTATTATGAATGCAACATTGCCGAGTTAATCACTAATATATGCTTTCCAGGTATCTAACATCTAATAGCAATTTTTTCAATGATTGCAAATTAATAATGGTTGAATCATTACTCTAGTATTACAGTAAAATGATAGGAATTTCTATAAAAAAAATATTCAGGTGAAGGGAAATGATGAATCCAGAATAATTAGAATTTCTCCACGTACGAAATAGAGTATGTCGTCACTATCTCCAACTGTATTTAAGTGATTGTTTGCTACGGGTTGCGTATCCAATGTGGGCGCCTCTATCAATGATACGACATCACAGAGTTCACCACGTGGCTCCATTACATATATTGCTTAGTATAACTGAAATTCTATTTACGTTTATCCACAAATCAATGATTCCTAACATCAAGACAACCATCAAAAATACACCTCATGAATAAGATAATTTATTTAAGATAAAAGATAATTAACACAGATCGTTTAAATGAGGAAAAGAAAGAGCAAGCATGAGAAGAATAAGAGGTGTCAAAACCAACTCGTGTTGTATTTTTTAGTTTTTATTCACCTCATCTCTCTCAGACTTCTGAGAACCTGCAGGGGAACAAGTGACTCATGCTCCAACAGGTGTATACCTTAACTGCATCTCAGCCAAATCGTGCTGGTAAGATTTGTACATGAGAAGGAAATAATGAAACAGGATAAAAGCATATAAACATCAAACAGGTATAAGAAGGATAAAAAAAAACTTTAAAGGAAGAACATCAACAAAATGAAGAAGAAGAAGAAGAGCGCAAAGAACGCCCACGATAGCGCGCGCTTGAGTGCACGTGACAAGTTTGTACACACATTATATGCAAAGATGAGTATCCTCTTGTCCATTTACCAAGTATTTTGTGTAAGTGAATGCATGTGCATCAAGCAATCACACATGTGTACAATGGTATATGTAAATAAAAGAGATATGTCGCCACGGTTTAGGCAATGACTTCTCTCTTGCTTTCTGCTCATTCACCATCTGTCTCTCTCTATTTCAAACGTGTGTGAACTTGCTCCGCGAGCCGCATACCAAACCTCTTTTTGGCTTTTCGTCTTTCTCCTCGTGTATACCACGACTCCGATACACAAGAGTCCCAGTGGCTCTCCGTCAGATTAAAAGAGACCCATGAAGATGCTTGAGCAAATCGGAATGCCACGACCCTCGTTCCATGCAGGTAAACCCTTGCTTACCTCTCTCGGTATTATATAGTTCTATTTCTTCTTCCTTTATTTTATTTTGATACTATATGTATATGCAGTATCTCTGAATTCCCGAGACCTGAACGTAGAAAGATTGTCGGCCTTGGACCCTTTGCAGCCGAAGCAACTCCGACCTTCTAGCTTTGATCGTTATTCATCGGTCAATGTAATGAATTCTCCACAAATAAATGTTTGGTTGAATCGTATTCGTTATTTTTACATCCGATCTTCTGACACTGAGTATATCTTCTTAAAGGATCATTGTAGATTCTTTTTTTGTTGCCGATTTAAAAAAAAATTAACTTGATTGATGGTTTTTTATAAATCAACCCAAATACAGTTAACTTTGAATTGAATGACAGCTTCTGAAAGATTTTATCATTTTTTTTTCTTTCTTATTAATTAAGTTAATTTTTGTATCATGACAAAAAATTTTCGAGATGTTTATTTTATTATAATGTTGTTATTTTTCAATAAATCAAATGAAAAGCAACAATGGAATAAATTATTCAATATATTTTTAAATAAGTATTTTTTAGAATGATCGAAAAAAATATCCTTTCAAATAACTGTACATAATTTTAAAGAAATTTGACAATGGTGTAAATGAAAAAAGTATTCATTAATTTTGAAACTTGACATCATTCGTCAGAGATTTTGGAATGTCATACAAAACAAACACTTGAAGAAAATTATTCTACCCAAATCATTTATCGATTTAATAACTTAAATCTAATAAAAATATGATTTTTTACTCTTTAAATAATAATTTAAATAATTCATGTAATGTATTCCTATCGAAAACGATAAATTTTTCATTAGCAACTGAATTCATTACGTTATCACATTCTCATGTCGATACATAATCACCAGACTTTTAATTAAACATCAAAATCTTTACATCTAGAAGTCATTATTTAAATTCTTGATGATAGTAAATGGACAATTTCTTGATTAAAAATCCCCATAACTTTTATTAAATCAATAATTACGGCATCTGCATGAATAAAAATCCTTTTTTCTGCATACTCATACATGTATTTTAAAATTTTTTATCCCTCAGGATATGACACCACATTACCAAAGTAAAAGATGAATGCAACTTTAATGAGTTGAATTTAATATATTGTTATATTTGACAGATTAAAATGAATGGATTATCACCTTTCTCAAGTTACTTAGTAATGGCTGGAAAAAAAGTTGAGGTCAACTGCTGACAATACAATTGATGATTCAGTTAAACGAATTAACAGAAAAATTGATTAAGTAAATGATCAAGTACCACTTTTCTCTGGAGCTTTTAACGAGATTGTTGACGTTGCGAGAAAAGTAAAAAATTGTCGCGTCGTGAAGTCAGGCGTCAACACACATAGCTAATACTCTATTGATGTTGAAGAGCTAAGCGTTACCAGTACCTGTCTTACGTCTATCTATAAACCTACGACATAAGAGTACCCTTGAAAAGGTACGGTCGAGAATATGATGACAGTGTGCGTGGTACAAAGAGTTACACAAATGCAGTTTCACCTGCACGCGCAACGAATAGAACATATACTGTCGTTGTCTTTCTGGTTTCTCTATGTCAGTCAACGAGACTCGCGTTTCGCAGAAAGGATCGAACAAGTTGTACGTGAGGACGCGTACAAAGTCTTGGCTTGGTCGATGTATACACGCCGACAGCTAGCAAGACGTGCAGGCACGATGACTCCCTCGAGCGTTCCCCTTTTTTTTTCATGGCGTCCTAAATCGAAGTCGCGGCATCATCGCTGATTCAAACAAGTCTGTTTCAATCAAGACAGAAGGAAGAGTCGCTTTAGAAATTTCTCACGCCAACTTAGTAACTATTTTTTTATTTCATTTTATGTAAATTTCCAATTAAATCGGGCTCAATTTATTTCATTTACTTGTCTAATTATAATTTTAAAGACTTTATTGTGCTCTTTTTATTTCTGAAAATTTATGACATTGTTTGAACTTATCCTCGTTAGTTATTACAGTTATTTTTACTAAATTAATCATTTGAAATAATTAAACGTATATCAATAACTTATGGTATTGTCAACAAACATTTATTTCTCTCTTAATCGATCCTTTAATGTTTTCAAAGTATTAGTCTAATATTAAGTAAGATTTTATTTGAAATTAAAGTAAATTGATAAGAAAAATTTCTAATTCTACAATGTATACTGATGAACATAAAATGGTTGGATTTATTATCGTACAGTTCACTCAATATACTTTTAAAAAGTACAAATTGAATAGAATTTTTCATAATACATGTTTTTTCGTTATCTTAAGAAGTAATCACTTTAAGTGTTTTAAATTAAAACACTTCAAAAATTGGAGATTTGCAGCGATAACACTCAATTAATGTCAAGTTGTTTTATACATTTGGCATAAATGTAGCTTCCAATCAAAAAAAAACTTCAAAAAGTTTATTTGTTGATGAACTACAATCAATTGTTTAAAAATCGTGGTACTTTTCATATAAACAATTAAATACCATATCTCGAGAACCATTAGTCACAGAGAGTTGAGACTGGTCTCATTTTTTGCTCATGAAAAGCTCTGAAAATTATACGCATCATGTTTCGACCTCCGATGCATTGTTTTCAAGATATTCAATGAAATAAAAGCCATTTTTTTGTAAACTAAAAAGCACAATATGACATATGGTCACAAATGCTTACTGAAATCTGTTATCTCTAAAAATATAGTTATCAATCTAAATCAATTAACGTTCAATCGACTTTCAATTTTCGTCCTTTTCCAAACCATATTGACTGGACTAGTATGTTAATTTTCCATATAATATCTCACAGTTGAGTCCTTTCAAAATATTTCTTTTTTTGTGAATAATATTTAGTAGGAAAAAAAAGATAAATTCTAAATTATCATTTCAATACCAAAACTAGTGATTCGTGTTTACATTTTTTTTAAATATAGTGTCAAAAGTACAATAATACAAATAACACATAGGTTAAGAGAAATTAAAACAAAAATTTAAAAAGTAGGGATATGCACGTGCTGGTGATAAGGTGAAAACCAGTAGAGTATTAGCTTGGATTAGATGGATTCATTGAGTAATTTTTATTCCAATATTCAGCATTATATTAGTAATAGTAAATTTTGTTGAAAACTATAAAATATATATATACAGAAGAAATCAATGTAGCATACATCAATAATACCAAAATATTGAAACAATTTGATTTGATCACACGTGAAAGAAGAAACAATGAAAACTTTTGCAACAAAAACACTTTTATTTATCAAACTCTTCTTTTGAAGCATAAAAAATAGAGTTTATTGTCAAATTGAGAATGGATTGGATTTCCCAAAGAGTTTCTCTTATTGTTCTCGAAGGAGTCCAGCCTCTTTTTCGTAGTTCACAGAGGCTTTCGCCGGAACTTGCGAGATTGCAATTGATCCGTCAGATTATTACAATTCCTGTATTGTGCCTTCGTAACCGGATGAATCAAAAACATAGTTGAAACTATGTAGAGAGAACTATTCAACATTATATTACACCAGTATTTTTCGTCTCACACATAATTCAGAAACAGAAGCAAAATCAAATTCTGTGATGGTTCTTACAATAGTGTACACCACTCATGTCCTCTTTTTTTTCAGTATAAATTCAATGTTCATTTTTTTGCGATCTGAATGTTGCAGAGACCGCCCACAGTGATTGTTAGTATCTTTCTCTTTGATCCCAGAAGAAGAAAAACGATAAGTTGTGGTGGAGAAATGACTGGATATTCCGACAAAGACATGATCCGGTCTCTCTTAAAACCAGCTGCATCATAAAAGCGTGTTTTTTGACAGAACCAAAATAGTCCACATGTCTACATATACACCCGAGGTGTGAAGACAATGTCTAGCAGTAGAGAAAGGACACAACTGATGTTTAACAAAGGAAGAAGAAAAAAATGCGAGCGTAAAAGTCGCGGGCGTGGGAAAGCCAAGCTGCAAGCGAGCCATCAATTAACACCAATTAGTTCTCATCTACTCTAGGTGCTTCAAACGATGTTAGTGACTTTACATTCGACTGTCTGGTCATTCTTAACATAGACTGTGTACTCTTCACAATGCACCCACGCATCAAAAGTCCAACTGATGAAAATTTCAGACTTCACTTTCTCAATTGTTATCCTTCAATTCTCTGATGCTTCCTTCCGTTGGTCTGATGGCGCTCGTTACTGAGATCTTAACTCATGATCTCTTTGAAAGAAGTCAAGCCTTTTCAAACTAGAAGACAGTATCAATCATGTTCCTGGGTGTTTGTATTATACTTGTTCCTTTGGAGCTTCGAAAAGAGCTACGCACCCAGTCAAAGACGTCTCTGCAACACGATTAGTATTTATTTATTGCATCAGCCGACCGTCACTCATGGCTCGTTCGATCAGGCGCGGCAATCTAACCTGGTCGTTAAGTCCCAACATCCAAGTTGCTCATTCTTCTCTGGCTATCTTCTTGATACATTAGAAAAAAAAACTCCGGAACTCCTCGTTCAGGAATTTACCGCGTTCTTCAACGTATCATCAGATACTTTTCATGTATGGAATGCACCTTACTCGTCAATGTGCATTGTCGAGATATTTACTTTACACCGTGAGACTCAAGTGCGATACTTTGTGTGGAATAGCAATAATTTTTCAATTATTTGCATATAAACTGACACCCATAATAATGGACTTTAAGAGATATCAATAAAAAATCTTTTTTGAAAATATTGCTGAAGACAAGTAAAATTACTTTATTCATAAAAGACACTAGCTTTATGAATAAATTGATTTAGATTTATTTATTCCATTTCAGAAAAAAAATAATTTAATTATTAAAAGAGAGAATAAAAAAAAAATTTTTTACACTTGAAATAATTTTTTTTAATAATTCGTGAACTAAACTGGTACAATGTTTAACAAGTTTGACTGGAAATTTTTGATAAAAAGTATTTTTAATGATGTTAAACAAAAAACTAATCATTAATTCACGAATGACTCACGTTCTCCATTCTTCCAATTATAGAATAGAATTGCTTCATTCGATTGCCAATAATTAAATCGTATATGTATATAAAAAAAAACAACTCTATATCTTTTTTAACCAATACTCCATTGTCGGAAAGCCATTTCCAAATTTGGACTATGTTGAAGTAGAAGATAAACTCATCGGATCCCAATGAGTGCAATCTATAATGACAAATTGTTGTTTCCTTTTACAGAGGCAATTCACGCTAATTCTTCAAGCACGCGACGAGCCCTATGGAGGAGTAATCGAAGAGGCCAGTTATAGTGGGATCGTTCTTCCTGGTGCTACGTGGCACACTTTAAATCATCAGGGCCGAAATGCCCATCTTACTTATCGATTAAGGGTTCAATGTGCCGATCATTATTATAATGCGACTTGCACGAAATTCTGCCGGCCAAGAGACGACATATTCGGCCACTACACTTGTGACGAAAATGGTGATAAAGTCTGCATACATGGGTGGAAAGGAGCAGATTGTGAAACAGGTGAGTTTTTCGACATTATATTCATATTTTAATTCATAATGTAGTTTGTAATGAGTATTTATTTTCTAGTTGCAATAGTTATAGATACTGATACTTCGATCTAAAACAAAATTGGTTCATTTCTAGCTCTTAAAATATATATATATATATATATATTCTTAAAACAATAATAATTAGCTTAAATGTTGTTTAAAAAATTAGCTCAGATTCAATTTAGCTCTATATGTCAATTTAATAAATTTATTACAAAAAAATTTTTTATTTTCATTTTTAAAATATCAGAGCTTAAATTAATTGTTATATTTTTCTAATTCAAGATGTTGATAGGTTCATTTTCTTTTCACTGTTTGGATTGTCATTTTGATATTAATTTAAATATAGCCAAATCCTTAAATTAAATCATAAGTGAAATTCATTATCTATTAATTGTTTTTAATATTTGTATTTATAATTTATTTTGTCTAGTAAGAGGAGAATTATATATAGATACTCCCAACTATTTGAATTCAAGTTACAGCGAAATACCAAAACTAAGTTGATATGATTTAATCAGAACTCGCAATTTTTATCCAAAATAGTACTTCCTTATCAAAATATTCAAGTTTTAATTTTTATATCATTTATTCTTCTCTTATCATCATTATTCACAGCTACTAAACAAATTAATATCTTTATCAAATAAATTTCTTCCAAATTTAAACAATTCTTTATTTATGCATAAACACAATAAAGACAAATTAAATTTAAAGCAATCATTTATTAATCTAAAACTTTCTCTAAAACATTCTAATTAATCAATAATTTTGCAAAACGTAAAACTACTACTACTTAGAAAAAAGTTTTTATCAATAATTTTCAAGTAATCTGAGCTCCAAGAACTTTCTCATCTGTAATCTACTCTCATGCAAGTAATCATTTTAAAATAATTTGAAGGTAGAGAAAAAATGGTTCCTTTTTGCAAATACTGTGTATACATAAAGCCAAGTAATTCAAGTAAAGAGAATGCATGGCCTTCATTTAGACAACACTGATGATAGTTTGCATAGATTTGAGTGTTGAGTGTCGGCTCGCGCAATCAAGCGACGCTAGAAATTGCTTAACGGTAGCCGGCGGCGTGAGAAAAAATATTAAGTTCCCAGTTGACCTTTCACTTTTGCAACATGAGGAAAACTTGTCTCATCCGGGACTACTGAACACCCGTTCATTAGAAAAGGAATAAAAAGTTAATGGCTTTGATAGTCAAGAAAAGAATGAATTTATAAAACATACAAATTATCCAAGTGATACGTTTAAATGAATCGAACGTCATAACCGAGACATCATACGATTCGCAACAAATAAAGGTATAGGTCAGCTGACTAATGTTTGTATGTATGACAATATAGGCCTGTTACAATAACTTGATGAGACGATATATGAAGCTCTTTCTCATTCATTGCTTAATCATTATTTCCGCCTTACTGATCCTCGATGTAGTGCATATGACTTGATCATTCAGCTCATCTTCTTTCTTCTTTTTTTCCATCTTTCTCCCGCAGACTGGCTTTCATATGAAAGATCAGTTGCTTCAAGTAGGCTACCAGACCTTCTTTACCGCTTCAGGGGGTCTTCGTATTCCCATCATCCTTTCAAACTGGAGAGGGAAACCCTCGCACGAGAGAGTACACTTACCAAGAAAACTGGCTGTAGCATTTTTGTCATTGAAAGGTCGCTGGTAAATTTCACTCCACGACTCCTAGAGATCTTCTTCGCACGCCAACACTGCATGTCTGTATGCATGTATATGTATATATGCTTGAAGTTGCAGTTTCACTTCTCTATGAGAATCGAAGCCTTACAACTGTCGTTGAATCAGTCTTAAAGTTCGTGGGGATAAGGATTGCATGAGAATGCCGCGATGACGAAGGATATTGGATTATATTCCCATCTTGGCTATGACTCGTCTTATCGTATTTGTCATCTCGACTTGAAGTCACTCAGCGTTGTCAAGAATTTTGATGACCGAAAAAAGACAAGAGAAAACGGAGCAATACACGGAAGATTTACTTGATTGGTGTGAATACATATATCCATATGTCAGGATCATCTTCCATCTTCATATCTACAGATAATTCTCCTCATACATATGTTTCATCTTTTGTATTATATATGAAGCTGACTTGCGACAAAGCATCAGCTGCATCCTATAACTATGCACTGTCATTTTACCTTGGGTTTCACGTATAGTCATATAAATATCTGTAAATGTCTATCGTTCAGAGAACCAAGATGAAGTTGAGCTATTAATCAAAAGACGTTACTGCGTGATGTAACGGTAAAAGAACATCAGAATGTGCACTTACTTTTTAGTTTTATCTACTAATAGATTTTTTAATCATGCATTCATTTGTATCATATGTATATATACGTAGATACTTTAACATATGAATTGAATTATTACTAATAAATATATTTTTACTTGACACATTCATAAAGAATTTATTGAGTATCTAGAAACTATTACAATTGCAATCAAAGAGACTTTATATTCATTCACAGCTTACCTTTATATAAATATACATTTCATTAGTGTTTAACAAATCCACATACCTATGTTTGTTCTTCTAAACTACAGTTATTTACATAAATATTCTATAGAGGTAAAAATTAAAAAGAAAATCGTTAAAAATTGTTTTAATATATACATGGAAAGAATTTTTTTTCAACTAAACAAAGTAATTACTAATTATAAAAACAACAAATCAATATGCAATGACATAAAGCTGAACTTTATTTCTTAACTAATTAAAAATTTTCTTCTGATAATTAATAGATGTTTCATGAAAGTTTCTAATAAATTTATTTATGAGGCACCAATGAATTCATCTTAATTAATTTTTTCTTCTTAGTATCAAGTAATCTTAAATCCGACACACATACTTCCATAACCGTTAAATCATAATTTATTACACCGCAATATTCGTAATACATCTACAGAGTCAATATAATTCTAAACTTTATTTTATACTTGCAACCTTCAACCTTACCTAGCTGTTACAAAATATATACTCAACAATAAATACTTTAAGCAGTCTAGACAGGTTTGTTAAAAATAAATACAAGCATATTTACAATAGTCGTTGAAGATTCTACTTCTAAGAAAATAAAATCTTCATAAATCATTACACATGACCTACTAATTATTTTATTTTCAGCGGTTTGCAAAGAGGGTTGTCATCCAATTCATGGCCACTGTAATGTAAGCGGCGAATGCAAGTGTCGTCATGGCTGGCGTGGAGAATTGTGCGATCAATGTACACCTTATCCAGGCTGCAAACATGGATACTGTAATGGATCAAGTTGGCAATGTATTTGCGACACAAACTGGGGTGGAATACTTTGTGATCAAGATCTCAATTATTGTGGTACCCATGAACCTTGTCAGAATGGTGGGACTTGTGAAAATACAGCACCTGATCAATATAGATGTACATGTCCTGAGGGTTTTTCAGGGCCAACTTGTGAAAAAGTTGATAATCCTTGTGCTGCAAATCCATGTTTAAATGGTGCTACATGTCGAGAACTTGGTGAATCAGCAGAATGTGAGTGTGCTCCAGGATTTTCTGGGCCTTATTGTGCAATTGATGTTGATGAATGCGCATCTCAACCATGTCAAAATGGTGGTACATGTATAGATGGAAAGAACGAATTTATTTGTAATTGTCCCCCAGCTTGGCAAGGTACACTTTGTCAATTTGACGTTGACGAGTGTAATCTTAAAGAATCACCGTGCAAAAATTCCATAAGCTGTGTCAACCTTGCTGGAGATTACAGGTAATTAATTTTTACTGAATCATCATCATTACCCTTGATCACCATTACAAATAGTTAGAGAATAATGCTTTTTCAGTTAAAAATACTATTATTTGAAATCTCAAAATATTCTATGATTTTTAATTTCAAGTTTTAATCGTAAATATCAAACTTTAAATGGAAACGTGATTTGTAATAAGATAATATTATTCTTTGAATTGATCATTTTTTATCATTAATATAGCAGATTAATTGATTAACAGAGGGGTAAAATAGAATAATGCATCTATATTTATTTAGCACTCATAGAAATAGCTTTAAAATCATTCTCACTGATTTATTTTTAGAAATAAAAAACAATGGTAGAAACAATAGTATATTACTCTTTAAAAAATAATAAATAATCATTATCACTAATTTGGATGTATTTTTTCTCATCATTCTTAGATGTCGATGTCGAAGTGGATTTACTGGCAAGAATTGCACAAAGAATATTGATGACTGCATCGGCCAATGCCAACATGGAGCTCTTTGTATTGATCTAGTAAATGATTACCATTGTTCATGCAATCCTGGATATTCAGGAAAGGATTGTGACGTTGACATTGATGAGTGTGCATCAAAACCTTGTCAAAATGGTGGTGAATGTAGAGATCTCGTAAACACTTATGAATGTGTTTGTCCAGTAGGCTATACTGGATATCAATGTGAAATTGATAAAGATCATTGCAGTCCAAATCCTTGTAAAAATTCAGCACCGTGCTTTAATACTCAAACAGATTATTATTGTCATTGTCCCGCACAATGGCAAGGTAAAAACTGCTCTGAATCAGCTGTACACAATCCTCAGATCCGTCTAGATGATGGAAGTCCAGGATGTGGGAGTGAAGGAACGCCTTGCGGTGGACGTGGGAGATGTAACGGAGGAATTTGCATTTGTGATCCTGGATATACTGGTCAGCGCTGCCAAGAGAATATTAACGACTGCCGTGGGAATCCATGTCTCAATGGTGGGACTTGCGTTGATCTTATTAACTCATTCCAGTGCATTTGCCAAGAAGGCTGGACTGGTGACCTTTGCGATGAAGGTAAATGAACTTGATTCGTTTATTTTTAAAACTCTGATTCATTTTCTCTGTTAATTAATGCTAATTAAAATGTTTATTTTAAATTCATTGATTAACTAAACAAAATTTTTAACAAAATAAAATATTTATCTGTAATTTATGAATAAGTTTATTATATTTTTATCTTAATCTAATTATAATGTTAAATTATTTGCATATTAAAAAATATTTGTAAAGAAGCCGTTAAGTTGTTATTCACTGTCAGTAATAAAAGAATTTTATTTAACAGACGTTGACGAATGCACGAACTCGCCTTGTCGCAACAACGGAACCTGCATCGATGGAGTCGCCGACTTTACGTGCGAATGTCGAGGCGGATGGAAAGGCAAGACTTGTACTTTAAGAGGTGGTCATTGTGAGCCTGGAACTTGTAGACACGGTGGTACATGTCAAGATCGCGGTGACGGATTTACGTGTCACTGTCCTCTAGGTTGGGAGGGTGCAGCCTGTCACATAGCATCACCCGCTTGTGCAAGTAGTCCATGTGAAAACGGTGCAACCTGTGTGAATACTGCTGACGGAGGATACCGTTGCATCTGTAGAGAGGGATTTGAAGGCCCAAACTGTCGAAAAGATGTTGATGATTGTCAACCACTTCCTTGTTTGAATGGTGGAAGATGTGTCGATGGAATCAACTGGTTCAGATGTGAATGTGCTCCTGGGTTCACTGGACCAGATTGTCGCATCAACGTTAATGAATGTGCAAGTGATCCTTGCATGGCTGGTGCAGTTTGTATTGATGGAATAGCAAGTTATTCATGTATTTGTCCACCTGGACGAACAGGAGTTCATTGTGAAATACGAATGGCAAACGGTGCTGGCTGTGTCACATCAACATGGGATAATGATTGCAACGTATGCGAATGCAGAAATGGCAAAAATCAATGTAGTAACGTTTGGTGTGGTCAAGGAAACTGTTTGAATGGAACATCATGTTTAGCGCATGAAGTATGCGTTCCTTCTCCCGGTGAAAGCTGTCTTGCTCCACCCTGTTCACCTTGGGGTGAATGTCGACCGATAGAAACTGGAAGAAGAGTCGGACCTCCAGCTCTTCCAGCCCCATTAACCTGCTGGCCTGGTCAAGCACTCCCAGGCCCAACTTGTTCAAGACTAACTATACTGTTAAGAAGAGACACATTGGCTTCTGGAACATCTGTAGAGCTTCTTTGTAGACAATTACGAAGGTTATTAGCAGATCCAAGGCGACCTCAATCAGTTGTTCTCTTATGTGACCTAAAACCTGTAGATAATGACACTGTCGAAGTAACGATATTCTCAGAAGCCGCAATAGATGCCGCAAGAGACCTTGGAGAAGCTCTAAGTCGACCTCTCAGCAGGCCTCTGGCTTTGGCCTCTATACTTGAAGTCAAAGTCGAGACGGCTTTACTAACTGACCCCATTACGGGTTCAAATAATGCTGGAGGCAGTGGATATGTTGCTGTTCTTGGTGGATTGCTAGCAACAGTTCTCATTCTTGCTCTACTGGGTGGTCTGTGGTACCTTAGATCAAGACAAAGATCAGGATTAACAGCCACTACAAGCAGCGAAACGTCGTTACATCGTCATCGTAGTGATCTTGATGAGAAATCTAATAATCTCCAGAATGAAGAAAACCTCAGAAGGTACGCGAATCCATTAAAAGATCAAGATTCTAGTGAACCAAGAGTTTCCATAGTAAGGCCACTATCAGGAATGTCTTTAGGAACGCTTGGAACAACTGAAGAAAGCTTAGAGATGGTTGCCGAAGAGGGAAGACATCGACTTCCACCTCTTTATAAACCCACAAGTGCTGAAGCAAGAAATAATACAGCAAGTTTTTCATATGAAGAAAGTCTTCATAAACCTTACAGTAAACCTCGTCTTCAGGAACCTGGGTACTCACATCAACAACCCGGAACGAGTGCTCAACTCGCTCCACGTCAGGTGCTAACTGTACATGTTTAATCCAAGATTTTTAATTCATAACCCATCACCATGGGTCTTGTGATTTTTGTTAATATTATATTTCTCGTGTTAATAATGTTTATGTGAATACTGCGAGAGAGTTATGCTATGAGTGATAGAGGATGCTGTAGTCGAATGGCCGGATCCATAGTCGCTCCTCTTAAAAAGTTATTTTGAATTTCTTTTTATTCTGAAGGTACGACTGTAAATACGGCCATAATTTATAGATTATAATTCACTGAGACAAAAATTCTTTTCAATTTTAGTTATAAGATATTAAATAAATTACAATATTGACAAATAGTTATCAGTAAATTGACTTAACAATTAAAAATTAAATTATGAATATTCGATTTTTTTACATTAATACAAATAAACATTTTTTTCTCAGTGTTCAAAGGTAAAATAATAAAGAGAAATATATATATACATGAAAAAAAAAAGAGAGAAAGTGAGTGAGAAAAAATTATATATAAAATATAAAAGCTGGATGATGTTGAAGACAAAGAAAATAATGAAATAAAATAAGACAGCATGCATTTTTTTATATACAGCCTCGTCCGAGCTGGCTTGTCATGGGTTTGCAATAACAGACAGACAATCCCGTTGCCGCGTGCCTGTCGTGTTTGCTTCGTACTCTAAGCACACTACGATCCAGTCTGACACTTTGCTTTAAAATTCTCCGGGTCAGAGATGATACGCCCAGCCAGGCGACGTGTTCCGCCGTGGGGTGTAATAATCCCTCCCAATAAACCTTTAAAACGTGACAATAAATCACTCACGATTATAATTAATGATAATGATAACGTAAAATTGTTATCGTTGTACATATGTACATATTCTGTACTTATTAATTTTACTAAGCCTGGAATTGTCTTCCTGGAAGTCTCCAACAACAGCCTTAACTATTTTCAATTCTAATTATAGTTCTTTTTACTGTAATTTCCTCTATCATTGAAACAAATTACTATTTCTACATGCAAATTTTTTAATTTTATTATAAAAAATTCAGTTAATATTTTTTGACGCTTTTTTTTTAAATAGATTGATTGACAATTGTTTTTAACTATGAAAAATAATTATATTGTTCATTAAATTAAGAAAAAAGTTTTGTTGAAATATTTTTTTTTGTTTAAAAATAATTTTTTTTTCTCATTCCATCAACGTTATTGAACATAATCATAATTGTCACTAATTTCTAATAATATAAGCTCGATGTAACGTAGCTTGGATTGTGATAAATCATCTTACAATCAGAAATGTACATCATGAAGCTAATGTCTAATGATAATAATACTGTTCGGTACATTCCCCCAGACAACATTGTGATAATCATGTATGAAGAGACATTTTACTGTAAAACCGCACGTACTAGTATATTATAATTTTACAATATTTTTGTCGTTTTTTATATTCTGTACTTTGTTTTTACTGTGTTTTTATTGTTTAATTAAATGAATTTCGTACGAAATATAGCTGAATAATGATAAAAATAGCACATAAAGGAAGATTATTTTTACTGTATGATATACATAATATTCAGTTAAAGAATCAATACGTGATGATGAAATACTCATAAAATATGACAAATTTTATGCAAATGATTGTGAGGATGTAGCCAAGAATCGTAAGAAAATGACGGTATCACTAGTAATGTAAATTAAAGTAAACCATAACAATATTAAAATAAAAAAAAGAAAAATTAGAAGTGATGATATAAATATTTTTATGATTTTATAAATTATCGAATCATCGTATTATATCAATTAAATTGTATATAAAACCATATCACTATGATCTTTTTATAATCAACGTGCAATTGTATGTATTAAATATTTCATCGACGCTTAGCGAAATCCATTAGAGAATTCCGTCATTATCACACATTTATATTAGTTTTTAATGACCCCATAGATCATATAATTCATAAGTTTTCTCAACACAAGAAGGAAATACAGATTTTATGTCATAGTTTTTTGATTTATAGAAAAGAAATTATATATTACTATATGAATTGATAGAATTATATTGTATTATTATTAATATTATTATTTTTATTATTATTATTATTATTATATTAATTATATTACAGTAATGATTTTCATTGTCTTTAATCATTATTTCTGATCATCAAAGGCAATAATTCGTCATTATCAAATAAACGAGTAATCAAATAATTACAATTTTAATGTTTAAACATAAAAGGCAATTTATGTTTGCAATGTGATTTTCTAATGATGAATTTAAAGTAATGATTATGATTGTGTGATTTAAAAATTGGATAAAGTAAAAAATCGAAGAATCATTGCCTCTGGTCGATGATAGATAATAAAAAAGATACGTAGGTTCGTCAAATCAACTTGTGTCTGCCTTGAAATATATGAGTGAGAGAGTGCGTGTAAATAAGCTCCATACTGTCGTCCCCACATGATCCTACAATCCCGAGTGTTAAAGTAATGATAAAAAAGTTTCAATAAAAAGTACAATCATCATATAAAAGAGTTTGAGTATTGTTTTACCTCATTTCCCTCATTACTGATATTTAATAGGTCATATTATTTAATATTTAAAGTGACAATTAATTAAATTTTATTAGTTGACTTGATCATAAATCCATCAAAACAATAGAAAATAAGTTATCATTAAAATACAGTTTATTCTTAGGGCACATATCAAACTAATGTGATAGCTATTTATTATCAAAAAGTGCTTGGTTTTTTAACATAAATTGCGCATTTATGTTAATCGAATGGATGAGTAACATCTAAGGATTATAAATTCTGTCTACTTATTTGAAATTACCAATTCTTCATCATTATAAAAATTTCAATTAAATTAAAAAGGTTCAACCATTAAATGATTTAAATATAAATTATCTTAATTTGTGAAAATTACTTTTTAGTCATTTTGTATTATTTAGACTTAATTTTAGTAAATAGTTTACTCAACTTGTTAAGTGTATTTAAAAAAAAAACAACAAATTTTTCTATCTTTTCTATGAATTCATTCTGAATTGTTAATAATTAAATCCTTTCAAATAAAATAAATAATTATTTAACATTAATTCACTGCAAATCCCAGTTTTCCAAAAAACATTATTTTAATGCGGATAAGTGTGTTAAATACATCGTCACCCACTTGATTGAAATTGTAGTCACTTTAAACGCATTTCTAAGTGTGTAAAAAGTGACTACAATGTTGATCAAATGGGTGACGATATATTTAACACACTTATCCACATTAAAATAATGCTTTCTGGAAAACTGGGATTAACAGTGTTTTTATTAAAAGTGAAACATTGTTTTTTTTTCATGTTTACGGTCAACATCACTTGTTTAAAAGTATTATTATTAAAAAAAAATTTTAGAAAAATTAAGAGACATGTCAAATGTAAGAATATGAATCTCCGTGAGGTGTGAAATAAAAATATAGACAGTTAAAGAAATAAAATGTGATTCCCAGTGCAAGAATCGTGAGCATAAAGCGTTATTATGTAGAAAAGGGCTCGCCCTTGCTCTTTCTTCTTTCTACCTGTCGACCTCTAGGTTGTTGTTGCATTCAAATCACAAAGATCGCGGAATCTCAGAAAACGTGATTTCCGGGAGTGAGAAAGAAAAGAAGAAAAGATGACGGTAAAGCGGCTAGCGAATAAAGGATAACATCCAGCAAAGCACGTAGCCGCGATTCTTCTTCCTACGTGAACGAGTCTTTTTCCCTTACAAGAGGATGACAACGACATACAAGGGACAAACGTTAGGTTGAAAGAGACGAATTCGCGGTCGAGAATGGCAATCGTCTGCTATCAAGTCCCGTGAGAGACGACACAAGAGATAGACGAGATGAGAGTCGGGCTGAGAGAGCCACAGAGTAAAGGGCATTATGCGCGTGGTTCGCGTAATTGTTAATTGAACGCCTCTTTCGGAATTACAATACAATGGGGGAAGTGAAGAGCCACTTGACGAATGTCCGAGCGGGATAAAATGAGTCAGCCAAATGCTCCGTGTGAACATAACCTTCTTTTCTTTATCATTATGACGCCTTTACTTCTCTCATTAACGACGATTCAAAAAAATTTATATTTTTCAAATTTAAAAGCGCACACCAGTGATTAATGCGTGAATGATTAAAAATGAAGATTCTATGGTCACGCAACGACTTTCAAGTGTAACGTGTTCTAAAATGTATATAAAAGTGTACTTCACTCTTATTAAAATGTGAATATGTCTTTAACATTATATTCTTTCTTAAAGACAACCGATTAGACACATATGAGAGTTGTAATGACTACATTTCTTGTTCACTTACTAACGGGATTACTGTGACTTGAGAATCTTACCACAAGATTGAGATTAACCGTCATCTGGCAGAGGGATAATACTCTAACTAACTTAATCGAGATCTAAGAAATCTAAAAAGAAATATCCCACGAAATTATTTGAATTAAGCATAAACAATATACGGATGATAACCTTATTGTTTCAAGTATGTTTGGATTTTGTTAAATATTTTGATTAATTTAAATAAGTACTCGTTGATCAGTAAATATTTAAGAGTGACATTTCAGCTTCGTTGTGCTCCAAAAACTTTCAGATTTAAATATAAACATAAATCAAAATAATTTTTTCTTTTATTTTTTACCTTAAGATGTGCATTCTCAAATTTACTAATTATCATATGTAAAATAATTTTTGAAGCACTTTAAATCTTGAACTCAACCAGTAAATACTCACTTTTATTAAGTAATTGAAGAAAAAAGATTCATAATAAATAAAATTATCGAGCTAATTAGTGTGAAATTACATGAAAGTACGAGACCCCTTTCAATGTTTCAAAAAGCAATTGTTTACCATTAGAGTGCATTATTTTGCAATATTAAATTTTATTTTACTCTTATATTTTACAGGTATATAAAAAAGAATAAAATCTACTGTGATATGATTCTCAAATAATTTTCTTTATTTTAACAATCAATATGAAAAAGTTTGATTTGAATTAAAAAAATATTTTTATTGTTGTTCAGATTCAATATCAACTGTAATTACATGAAGCACTATAACAATTGTAAAATGTACTTCTCATAAGCATGAAAAGTTTGTAACCCTTGGTAGAAAACTTGAGATAAAACTCATGGATAAACATGTAAGTATAAAACAGTAAATACTTCCGCATTCGACAACGTCCGGCTATGGTTAATGACTGACGTTAAGTAATAGAACCATGATTCACGCCGACTAAGAGAGCTCATGGTTTATAACACAAAAAACTGTCTTCCGCTCAGTCTCCCTTTTCTCTTATTTCTTCTGTCAAGTGCACAATGACATTCATTATTTCTAAATGTAAGGTTATATCGTCATTGTTTTTGATAATTATTTTAAAATATCAAGTAAATTTTGAGCAAAAGTTATTTTGATAAAACAATAAATACTTTCAAAATTCTATCATTGTATTGTAAAAATGAAACAACTAACTATGTTTATAACGATTCATTGATCAGAACATGACAAATAAAATTTTCACATAAAAAACATATGATAAAATAATGATAACTAATTTTAACAGTAAACCAATCAATCATTAAAATTTATAGATTTATTTTATTTTGTAAAGACACTAGAGTTAAGATCGAGTTGTCGGTTCTAAGGGTCAACAGACTATAAGTCATTACTTAACTAAAGTAACTAAGTAAACAATCTAATAATTTCAATAAAAAAATTCATTTTTAGCAATTATCAACTTCCCCTGAAGAGTATCACGAAAAAATTTATCAAGAAATCGATAAAGAGTTTGAAAATAACAATCATGATTCCGAAGATAATTACCTTTTTTCTATCTATTCACAAAATAATTCAAACAAGGAAAGTGACATTTTCAATTATAAAACCTCTAATGCTTATGATGATCAATTAATTAATTCTGAATTCAAGAATGATGATCAAAAAGAATTGTTAAAAGTAATTATAACTTATCTTCTTCAATTTTAGTTCCTAAATTGTATGTTATTTTAATTTTTTTGAAAGCTTGAAAATGTCTTATTAATCTCAAACAATTATTAATCATATTATTTGTTTAATTACCTTCATAACTATTATTTACATCAATTGCATAATCAAATTGATTAAAATAATTTTTTTCAACAGTTAGAAAAAATCAAGTCATATAAATCCTTTGAAACTATCATTAATCATTCTCAATCAGAATTCTCGACTTCAGATTCTTCTGATCTTGATTCTTTAATATGTTTAGCTGAATTAAAAGTTAGTGATTCAAAGTTAAAAATCTTCAATGAACTCTATCCAATACCGGAAGACCCCGGGCTCGTTAAAGGCTTTTGGATTCTTTATCCACGGCCACCTGAGTACAATGATGATGGCTTAGAAAAATTTATCAACTTAACAAAAACTATGAAAATCAAATCTATTCAAAGAATTCTTCCCATGTTTAGAACTGATGAATTAAATCTGAGATATTATAATTTAGACTGTAGAATTATGAAAGTTATTTGTGAAGCTCTTTTAAATAATCCATTTATCAAAAAAATTGATTTAACAGTAAGTTAATTTTATGCTATAAAAATATCTGATAAAATTTTAGAGAATATATCAGTTTTTAATATAAAATAATATACTCATAATAACTTTTATCAGGATAATTGGCTTTCTGTTAATGCATGCTTTCACTTGAATAAACTACTCACAGACAATAATATCTTAACTCATCTCAATTTATCTGGATGTCGCTTTGGATCTCTAGGAGCAAAGAAGCTCCAAGAAAGCATTGGAGCTATGCATACTCTCCAGTATTTAAATGTTAGTCGGTGTGACCTTGGTAATGATGGATTTAAATATATCAGTATTGGAGTGTATTGTAGTTCAAGCATCCAAATAGTTGATTTTTCGCGCAATGATCTTAGAGAAAATACTGCCAACGATTTTCAAACGATGCTAATACAAACAGATACTCTGCAAACATTAAATTTATCATGGAATAATTTATATAGTGAAGAGTTTTGGAAGAAATTTATCATTGGATTAATCAGAAACAGTAGTCTAACTGATCTTAATTTATCTTGGAATTCTTTAGGAACAGACTGTTTACCATTTTTGCAAGAATATTTAACGAAAATTACAAATTTATTGAAATTAAACCTTAAAAGTAATTGAATTTTTAAGTTATTACAATTAATATACACATTTAAAATCATATGTGTACAATTGTTTGCAACTCAGAATAGTATAAAAATTCATACATGATTTTAGATAACAGAATCGGCCCTAATGAGGTAGCACAAATTAGTCAATCACTGATTAAAAATAAAACACTAGAAATCTTAGATTTGGGATATAATCCTCTTATGTTAGAAGGAGTATTTATACTGATAGATAGTTTGAGAAATATTTCAACTGATTCTAAACTTCAGTTAATTAACTTGGAAAATATTTGGGCGAACAAAGAAACTTCTGTATTAATAGCAAAATTAAAAGAAAAATTACCAAATTTGGATATTAAATTGGAAGGAATTTACAGTAATTATACACTAGTAGGACCTGATCCCCGCAAAATATTTCTGAAAAGAGCTAACTTTGAAGCCATGAAACCGAAAAACGTGAGTCGAAAACGAGACTTTGGCCAATTTATTATTTTGCTCCAAGACATTATTGTTAAAAAAGGTAAGATAAATTAATAAGAAATTGAAAAAAAATTAAATTAATCTAAAGGAGCATATTGTTAATAAATTGAATTTTAAAAATAATTGAAAATTTATAGAGGATTTTCGAAAAGCAATAAAAAAATATAAATTACAATTATCAAAGTCATTAGTCGAAGAGATAATGAATGTATTCGAAATTGGGGATGATGATATAGATCAAAAAATACTTAAAGAATTTTATTTAAAAGAATATCCGGATACAAAAATTACTTCTACAGAAGATCACAAGAAAGTACATCGCATTAGAAAAAGAAAAAAAACCAAAAATAAAGATTAAAAATAGTTACTTGCTGTTACAATAGTAGAATTAAAATACTCTTAAATATCAATAAGTTTTTCTTCATTTTCATTTTTACTTATAATATTTAGTAGTACGTTAATAAATGAAATTTCTACATAAAATGATAAATAGAATTGTATCATCAATCTACATTAATTTACATAGAATATTCGAGCTGCAATATCATCAACGATCCAATCAATTCCTTTCACAAGATTTTCAGCAGTGACTGCAGAACATTTATATATTTGCCAGTGATGAGTTTTGATAGTTGGAAGGTCAAGCAGTTCTGCGATTTCTGATGGAGATAGAGCACCTGGTAAATCTTGCTTATTTGCAAGAACTAAAAGACTTGCACCTTGAAGACGTTCTTCTTGGAGTAATTTGTGAAGTTCTACTTTACAGTCTTCTAATCTTCGTTTATCCGCACTGTCCACTACCCAAACTAATCCATCAGTACATTCAAAATAATTTCGCCAATAAGATCGTAATGATTTCTGACCTCCAACATCCCAAATATTTAATTTATAATCTCTGCGTTCCAATGTTTTGATATTAAAACCTAATGTTGGTGATATTGTATCAATTGGTTCACCGTTAATTCTTTTCAATATTGTTGTCTTGCCAGCGTTATCCAATCCCCTGAAATAAAAATAATTTATTGTCATATTTTATTCTCTTACCTGTCGTAATATATTTAGATTAATAATATACATGTATAAAATGAAATAAAAATTTACGCAGTAATTGGGAATAAATGAATGGATAAAATTAGAAAACATCTACGGAAAAATATTTGCGCTATCATTTTTAATGGAATGAATCAAAATCAGATCCATTGGTCCATGAGAAATCCTGAATTTTAAAATTTTATTTCCTGTTACTCATAGTCACTGCGAATAATTAATCAAAAACTGTCAAATTACCTCAAGATTTTAATCATTCAAATGTCTATTTCTTTTAGAACAATGATCCTTTTTTCGTTTCATTTTATACAAGGTTATAGTTCGAATATTTGATTACACATTTTTTTAATTTTATTCGTCCATTTATTCATAATTATTGCGCAAAGTTTTATCTTATTTTATATATGTGATATTTCACACAAAAACTAAATTCAATAAATGATTTGAGTACGCCATGAATTGTGAGTAAAATCATTAAACTTAACCTAAAAAGATATGTCAGTGAAATATACTACCACTTACAGCATAAGTATTCTCATTTCTTTTTCTTTCTGTTTTAGTTTCTTCAATACTGTTAGTAATCCCATAGTGATGAATAATTTAAACTAGTAAATCACATAAAAATACCAGTTAATTTACAATATTTATTCCTTTAACATACTCATTTGATAACATATGACATTTAACGAATTGTTTACTGACCTTGACGCTCTCTAGTTTGAATTCAACAAAAACGAGACTAACTCCAAAATAGCAGAGAAGAGAGACGTGAATAGAAGTTTATTTCAAATGGGCCGGTGTTCCAAAAATTTAGTACGGGTTCTTATGGAGCCAGGTAGGAGTTTAACACGATTAGGGTGGCCTGGGGAAATCCCTAAACAGAACACAACATTGAACTTCTATTTTCTCTGGAAATAGTAACGTCTTTGTCATTTAATTTTTACCCATTTATCATTATTATATTGAAAAACAATGAAAAAACAGTTGAAAAATAATATTAATAAATTTGATCAACAATTATAATTAACTATGAGATCAAATATATTGAAAAATAATATTGACAATTTTATTCATAAAAAACAAGTTTAACATTGGTTTTCAGTTAATAAAACTTTAACTATTTTATCAAGTACGTCTGAGTGGCAAAAAGTATCAACAATAGACTTTACGATATACATATCGTCTTTATCAGAAAATGCTTTGATGGTTGAACAATTGATATCATTGCTTGAAGAAAATCGTTCACGCTTATTTATTAAAAAGTCTTTTAATTCTTCTTTACTTAAACTTAATAGTTTATTTATATGTAGTGGATATTCCTGGGCTAACTTTGATGGATTCCAATTAGCTTTCTTTTTTTTAAAAATTTCTTCATTGTTTTTTTTTTCTAGTTGATGGCATTGCTTTATACATTCTTTAATCTAAAAAAGATGTAATTTTTACAAATAACTATATACATATAATTGATTATTTATAAGGTAAGAAATACTTACTAGTAAAATAGAATTTTGAAGACTATCAAACTTATCACTATCTTCAGCTGAGGGAAGACCCTCTCCTAATCTCGTCATAATTAATTTAACAATAGCTTCTTTTAAACGGGCTTCATCATCAGAATCCAATGGTAACCAGATATTGACACTTAAAGTAGTATCTAAAGATTCTACATAATGCCACCATCCTTTAGGAACAAATAAAACATCTCCTGGCTCTAATATAACTAACTTTGGAGTTTCAATAAATTTTAATACTTCGTTTTCGTCATCTTTTGATGGACAAAAAAAATTTATCTTGCTATATATTGTTGACTCTTCATATGGAACTCTCGTTTGTTTCAAATCATCGCCAGAATTTGGTGGAAAAAGGAGCCATTCTTTCCTATAAAACGATTTAATTTTTATTTTGTATTCACATTTCATATTGATATTAGATAGAACTTATAATATTATTATTGCAATTAATAGCGAAAAACCTTACTTGCCATGTAATTGAGCAATTAAATTACATCCATAGGAATCTTGGTGACAATTTGTATGAGCTCCTTTGCTTCCAATCCATAGAGTTGAATCTTCTCCAGATTTATCAAATCCAAAAGGCTTCCAATCAACGGCTTTTAAAATTTCTGGCTTTAATTTGAACCATTCATGCATATATTTATAGTCAAAATAATACCATTTTTCATTGTTGATATTATTATTTTGAACTATATCTAAAAACTCCATCATTGTCATCATTTTTACTGGACAATCTATGTCCCATTGAGGCTCCTGAAAAATTAAAAAATTGAAAGTATTAAAAATGCCTTAGATAATTTTTGGTTTTGAAATATTCTTAATTACAGAAGTTTTTGCATTTAATCCAACTCTGAAAGCTAAAGGCATATCTTCAGTTAATTTTATAAAATTATCCATTTCAAGTAATTTCCAATTGGTTTTACAATCATTACTATTAATTATGCCTCGAAATAAGATTGGTTCTTCAAGTTCTAAAATTGCTTCTTTTAATATTTCAGGTAAAGGAATCTTAGTTTCATCCATTTTAAATATTACTTTAACAATTATTTCTTAGAAACTGAAGTTTTATCATTTTTTAATAAGATTATTAATCAAACATATATGTAAACATTTTTTTCATACACGATTTTGTTATGTTTTGGTTATAAAATTTGATCAACAATAACGTTTCGTAAACACAAAAAAAACTCAACTGATAATTTAAAAAGCTATTGTCAGATGTCTTTAGTTAATTATTTTACCTGGATTCGAGATCATTGTAATGGCAGCGAGATGGAGCACTAATGCACATCCCATCATAACAAAAGCACGAAATCATGATGTTTTTTAGACTCAATGCATGAAACCAGAGAAGAGGGACGTCTGCTATGGTGACGTGTCCGCAACGCACACGTGGATGTAGACATTCGACACGTTGCAGTAGTATTTTGAATCTAGTTTTACGTGTCGGTAACTCAAAGCTTGAATTTGTATTTATTCATTCACTGTCACTACGATAAAGTACTTGTATAGTCCGATTAGTTTGGTAAAGATTTTCATACTCTAATACTTTTCTGCCCAATAATTAGTTTAATTTTAGAGAAATACTACATTTAATTAACTTAAAATGGTAAGTTTTAATTATTTTTGTTATAAATAACAGTGAAAAATTTTGACTGAATACGATTAAATTACCATATGTAATTACATTATGTCAAGAATTTAATATGTTAATATTTAATATTTGGTGTGTGCTCATTATATCACAGAATTTTGAAATTATTCGTTGATTCTGTTTTTATACAGCCAGCTGCACCAAGTTCTACATCAGTTGGAGCAGGAGGTCGTTCTCCAAGCAGAGTAGTAGCATCAAGAACCAGCGGTGCTGGTACCGTTAGGCAAAGGAAAACTGCTCCAGCTACATCAGCAAGAAACCGAACTACAGGAACAGGATCTGGAGGAATGTGGAGATTTTACACAGATGATTCCCCTGGAATTAAAGTGTAATTACATTTAAAACTGAAATATTTACTATTGATAAATACTTTGTTGATAAAGTCATAAATTTCTTAAAATATTTTGCAAATTTCAACGTTAATATTATTATTATTGAAGAAAATCTAACCGTTACTTGAATAAAATACATAACATTTAAAGTGTATGTAAATTGTGAATGTGATAAATTTCATAACTACTCAAATTAACACGTAATTATGTATTAAGCCGGCATAAAGTTTACTCACTTAATTTATTTTTAAAGAAATTGACTTATCATTTACAAATTTCTGTTTCAGTGGACCTGTTCCAGTTCTTGTAATGTCGCTATTATTTATTGCATCTGTATTTATGCTTCATATTTGGGGAAAATATACAAGATCTTAAAGTAAAATGACTTAATAATTAAAATCTTTGAAGACTGGACGAGATCCGAAAAATCATTATGCGTTTAATGCATTTGATTTAAAAATTCATCATCAACTCACGGATATCGCAAAAAATTAAATAATACTTTAAATTAAATCATCTTCCGGATAAGACAAATAATTATTAATGATAGATCATGAACTTGCATTAATCATTTAATTATGCATTTTTGTAGTGAAAGATCGTCGAAAAATATAATTATTCTTCTTACATTTTATTCGCCAGATTATGAACTGGTAATTTATAATTAAATCTTTTTAATCTTTAATCAATTCATGATAATACTAATATAACCTGATATTCGTTGAAAAGAGATGTAACTTGAACATTTTTTATATATTATTTTTCTCTGTATAATTTATAGTATTGATAATAATTATTACAGTTAAATAAAAACAATAAAATATTAAAGTTATTATACTGACATTGAAAAATTCTTTATTGATAACTAATACAATTTTGCTAGAGAAACAAAACCTTTAGATCTCATTTTCAATAATTGACAAGAAACTTAATTAAGCAAAATATCTATCCCATTTTGAAGTTTACAAAAATAATATAATTAATATATTTTCAATTTGTATTTTATTAATGAAAAGAATATATTATAATGAACTCATTTAAAAATTGTAGTTATCTTTGAACGAGTGAAAATAATGACGTACAGTCATTGCTATAAACCTTGATATGACATATAATGAACGAAAAACATTATTTCAAGTTAGAATTAAAATATCTGAGCCGTTGAAACGGTGATATATTTTGTGAAGAATTATCTCGCCAGGCGTTTCCTTGTTGCCAGTTTCCTAATAGTTGTTGTGGTGGTGCATTATTTGGTAAGTTCCAACGACTATTATTATTTTTATTGCTTTCAATGTTCCCTTGCCATAAAGGTTTATTATTCATCATATTCATCATTTGGGGTTTTTTTTGCCACTCATCATTATGACCTGGCCAATCTGGCATATTTTTTTCTGCCCAGTTATTGCTCGAAGATGGTTGTGGATTGTCAAGTTGTTTCCATCGATCATTTATTCCAAGATTACCAATGCCTCCATCATCTCCCCAAGGATCTCTTGCATCTTCTGGAAGATCATGCCAATCTTCTTTTTCTCTTTCTCCACCTTTATTCCATATATTTAAATTATATGGTGGATCCCATCGCTGCTTATTATCCATCCAGGAATTACTTCGAGCAGAGTTCATTACATCCATATTACGATTGTTCCAACTATCATTACTTTGATTCCCATATCTTTTGTCTAATATTTGTTGATTTTTCCAGCTATCATTTGATCCGCTTGGTTTCCAATGATCATTATTTTTATTTGCACTCCATGTATTGTCTATAGTAGTTCTAAGTTGCATCAATGGTGGAGGATCTTGTCTTATATTTTGCGGCCTGCCTACTCCTCTTTGCCAATTAGGATGTTGTTCTACAGCACCTCTTGTTGGAATATCCCAATCATCAGCCATTCGTACAGGCGAAGATTGTCTTCTTAGTGGAGACAAGTGTCTTACTGGAGTGGATGCACGATGTCGTAGAGGAGATCGCTGACGTTGTGGAGATAAAGTTCTTCTAGGTGGAGAGAATTGTCTTTGATTTATTAAACTCATATCATAAGAACGATTTACTTGTTGAAAGTGTTGAGATTTATCTTTAGGCGTTGATGAAGACCATGGAGGAGGCGAAGTCATTGATCTTCTTGATGTTGATAATTCATCATAGTGACGAGGAGGTGAAGGTCGTCTAGGACAAGCAGTTGGAGCCCAACGAGTTTTATTTGATTCTTCATGATTTCTTAATTCGTCTTGAGAAATTTGATTGCGTTCAGACTGGTTGTAACTATTATCATGCTTTGGAGGTAACACAACCCATTTTTCTTTTGGAGCTACCAAATTTGGTTCTACTGGAGGTGGTCCAGAATTATTGGAGCGAAATTGTTGTTTATTTGGAACAAATTCATCATTTGAAGTGGTAATAATAATATCATTTTTATCTAATTCTTTAACATGACGTCCTTTGAATATAGAAGGACTATCAAATTCTTGATGAGGGAAATCTTTATCATGAGGAGCAATTCTATCCCAGACTGAACGACGTAAATGACTCTGAACTTGATTCGTATTTTCTATAGCTATCTTTAACATATTTTGAAGCTGTTTTGCTGTTGAAGAATCTACAGAAGTTCGGGATCCACTTAGTTTTTGCTTTGCTACCTCTAAAAGTTTTTGTTGTTTTTCCATCTGTTGAATTAAATCTGGTGAATTTATTCGATTATATGATAATCTAAATCGAAGATCATTATCATCATTACGTGTTTTTTTAACGTTTAAATTTGATGATCCGAAGTTTCTTCCTTCCCAATCTCGCTTTCTTTTTGGCACATCTTTCTGCTCAAATGATGGTAGAAACTTTTTATCCTTCCGATCGTTGTTATAAGAAGGCGTCTCTATTTTCGGAGATTTTTTCTTGTTACCCATTTTAACATTCGGTTTATTCTTTTCCCATGATTTTGGAAGCGTATCATAAAATGGATTTTTAACCAATTTCTTTCCTTGTCTACGTAATCTTGATGGTCGACCTCCTTTTCCCTTTAGAAGATCAAGTTTTGGAGACAACAGATTTTTGTTCGCTTCTCGTTTATTACTTTTACCATTATTGAATTTTTTAGACGGTGATAGTGTTTTATCAATTGGTTTACCTGGTGAACCAACTTTAGAATTTTGACTGTTTTGATTCTTTAATTTTGATAGAGGTTTAGACAAATGCATATTAAATATCCGGTGCATTGGACGACGATCCATTCGGATAACAACTTCAAATTGTGGCCCGATTGGAAGAGTATCCACAACGATTGCACGAATAGGTACAAATGGATCGCCTAAAATATCATCCGCAGGCTGAATTAGTTTTAATATTGAATGTACTGACTGTTTGGTTAGAGTTGTTATCATTACGACTCGACGAAGTGATGGAATTTTTCTCAACCCAGTTATTATGTCAATATCTATAACAATAATAAAAAATTGTTGTATCTAAAAATCTTTTATATTTAGAAAATTAATCAATGAATTAATTATAATACTCACTTCGACCTACTTCAGCATTAGCATTAATAATAGCTGATGTTTTCTTAGTAACTAATGAATTAGAAAGTGTAGCGATCATTTCTTTAGGATCTCCCATTACAAATGACGCATTGTTTATTTTGTTAAGTTCACAAGTCATTTCAGCTTCTTCTACTTCAGATGGTGAATCGATTCCGATTACTTTTTCGCATTTCTATAATTCATATTTTTTTTTTAGTTCAAATATTTATTATTATTTTTTTATATTTTACAATTAATAAATCAAAATGTAAAAAAAAAATTAACATACCGGTGCCATAATAAGTCCAATTAAACCAAGTCCACATCCAATATCCAGTACTACCGTGTTGGGATTAGGGACAATCATTATTTCTACTTCTTTCGCAAGTTGTTCAGCTCCTACTGTACTTAACCAGAAATTCGTTTTTGGAGCTAACTGAATTTTTAATCCACCTATCGTTTCATCCAATGCTTCAGTTCCTAACAAAAAAGTTGTATTTGATGTTGATACCTCACCAACCCTGAAATGCATGATTGATAAAAATTTCATAAAAGCACTAATTCTACATTACTTTATAATTTAATATATATTTGAAACTTACTTTGTTAATGATTTGCAATACAGAGATTTTACATTACAATCAGCACCCTTGCCTTTTTCGAAGAAATGCTTCATGCTTTCCATTGTACTATCAGAGATACATTTTCCAGTAGCGAATAACATTAGTTCATTTTTACTGTTACTTCTTACTAATAACCATAGCCATTGTTCTTGTTCAATTATTTCATTAGATTGTTTTTCATCTTCCAATTTTTTTTCAATGGTCTCTACGACGTCCTTTGTATAGTCGCTAGGTTTGCATGATTCATTATCTTCTTTTTTACAAGAGGGGATTGAGTCTTGTTGTTGATTATTAGAATTGATGTAGTCTTCAAATATCTGTATAATCACAGTAATAAAAATATAGATTATAATCAAAGTTATTATTATTTTGGTAATAATAAAATAATAATATAAATTTAATCCGTTTTTGTAAAGTTATTAGTTAGGGTGAGGTAACATTTTTTTACGAACGAATCATTTTACGAATACTCGTATAACAAAAATTATAAAAAGAAATCGCTTTATCAATTGCTGAGTTAGTATGTAAATCATACAATTATTTCTGTTTAGATAAATAAACTAACAGAAAAACAGCAATATAAATCAGAGAAAGATTATAACGATCTCTTGTTTTTTCAATCATTGATCAAGTGATTGATCAAAATACTGTCATATCACTTGCTATCATATAATTTATCAAGTAGTTTGAGTTCGTATTCAAAGTTTTGATAATTCAGTTGACAGTTCAAAAAAAATTATTCACAAGGAATAGACTTATTTTTTGGCATATGCATCAATAATCAGCACTTGTATTAAATTAGAAATCTTTTGGAAAGATTTTCCATACATTTATAAAAATGTTATGATACCATACTTTGTATTATGTGAATCATGAACATTGAGTCCAAGTTTCGTTCAACGTAGATAATTTAACCACTCCATTACATGTTTTTATTGAGTAATGATCCATATATATGTATATACATGTATATATAAATAATAATGTATATAGATATATATGTATACAAACATGTATTTTATTTTATTCTCGCAGAATTCGAGTTTAATATGAATTCAATGATTCATGCGTTTTTTAACGACTTAATTTCTCAATTAACTCATCCAAAGATAATTAAAAAGAAATCAAACATCTGTAGATTGAAAATTACAATTTTAACTGCAATTTTCGTTCATACATAGAATGTATGATTATTTATTAAGTTTGCGTTTGAATTTCTTTGAGAAGAATTGTTTTCATGATGCTTTTTATTGGATGTATATTTCAGTCATCCAAACCCATAACAATTATCTATTTCTATCAACTATATGGTACACAGTGTTGAATTTCATTTATACATGAAAAGTAAATGTACCTTAACAACATGCATTACAAAAGTTGGAATCTTTTGGTAGTCATTATTTGCATTTCTTGTTAATCCCTCACTTGGTTCCAACTGCCAAACTGTTTCGACTTTCTTGTCAATAGTCATATCAATGTTGTCTTCCTCCATTTTGGCTATTGCAGGCTCCTCGAGAGGTTTTTTGGTGCCTAAACATGCCACATCAATTTTGTACTTTTTTCTACTTCAAAGAAATCATAACTATCTTTTACTTTAGTATTATTATCTATGAAAAATAGTAACACTAATAGATTACTATTTTGTTTAAGTAATAGTTATGATTCTTTATAAAAATATAAATATTATTTATTAATTTTCCACCTAGAACACATCAAAAATCACGTTAAATTTAATTTCGTAATTTATTGTAACGGGTGCCGATAGAAACCATTTAACGATAGAAATATTTTATGCACTCCAATATCTCATTATTTTAAACCTAGAAACTTGAAGCAGTTTAAATGAATAAAACGAAATAGAAACAGCAAGGGAATAAAATACTGAATTACTTTGGGAAGAATACAAAAGGACGCGTTTAATTGATACAAAAGTTGCATTATATTGCAATATACCAATTAAATTCCAATTTCTCTTCTTTTGTTATCTCAAACACTTAACAAGTATTAATTATACACTTGAGGTTTGAGAAATTTTGTATGTCCATTTGTAGTTGTTAGAAATATGTAGTGAAGATCTGCAAACTTCACTAATATTTCATCATTGACTGTATGTTGCTCAGTTGAGTATTATTGAAAGAGAAAACTGTAGAATGGTAATTTTGGTTTATTTTTCACTAATAATTCATTTATCGGAAAAAATTGCAGAGGAGCAATCTAAATCGAATGGAAAACAATCATGATCATGTATCATTTAAAAAAATAGTATTTTACTCACAAACAAATCGCCATCGATTTATGTAAGGTTCATTTAAAGGACATCGTCGGGGAGGAAATAATTTACAGACGGGTGTTCCAACAGCAGCTTCAACTCTATCTAAACATTCTTGATAACATCCATATGAACGTTTCAGTACTCTAGATAATTTGGTAAGTCGTTCTTTGGCTGTTGCAATTTTTTCATTCAACTAGAAAAATAAAATGTAAAATAATAATACATTTTATATTCTATTTTATAGAAATATGATGACATATTTATTAGATAAATAAATCACACTAAATCTTACTTTTTCCTCATACCATGCTGGTATTGCAACAGGAGTTTCATCGTCGTGCTTCTTCCTTTGTGGATCATCTACTATTATGATATCTGAAGATGTAATACTTTCATTAGTAGTATTGTCAGTTAGTTCAACATTATCTTGTGAACAAACATTAGATGAAATTTTATTAGTTTCAGGATTATCTATATCAAGTCGACAATTCTCAGAGTCAAGGTTAATATTTTCAATATCATTAACATTTCTTATGACATCTGTATCATTTAACTGATCTAAAGAAATATCTGCAGTAAAATCTATAGTGTTAGTATTTTTATCAGGTATATCGTTTGTAGTTATTTTTTGTGACCCTTGTATTTCTAGTGGAATAATATCAACATCTTTGTTTTCGTTATTACTCTGATTTGTTTCGAAACTTTTGTTTGATGAAGATTTTATTACTTCTACTACTTCTACATCATCTTTTTCTGTAAATACTGCGTTTGATTCATCGTTTGTTTGAATTTTTTCTGATAAAGTATTTTGTTCTTTATTCGTAGTTAATACGTTTTCTAAATTCTCTGGTGATTTATTTTGATCATTTACATCAACTACGTCATTTTCATTGTCTTTCTCTGGTATGATATCTTCATCTTCACCTTCGCATTCATCTACAACTTCAAAATCTTCGTCCTCCATTTCAACACATTCAGGATCAGCTGAAAAAATAAACAATAAATTGAAGAGAAATGATGTTAATTTTTTAGATATGTTGTCTGCAGACTACATTTGTTTGATTGTTCTCTGTTTATTGGAAAGAATCGAGTTTAGTTTGAATTTTTCGGCCAGTTTAAAGTCTAGACCAGAGGTGGGCAAACTTTAACTTTTGCAGAGCACCAGTAAAATCTTATACCTCTTTCACTCTTATTCGCAAAAATAATAGCTCTGAAAATTATACCTGGAAAATCCCATTGGCTTTGAAGAGCCACGTTTACCCACCTCTGGTCTAGTCAAAGTAGCTCCGCAGGTATAATTTTTAGAGCCATTGCTCCTCTAAGTAAGAATGATAAAGGTATAGGTTTTTACTAAGTAGACCTTTTTAGCCGGTATATATTGTTTCTTACTTCTTAAGCTATCTTACAATCAAACTTTGTCCACCTCTGATATAGAGACAACTTTTCGGCTGTATGAAACACTAGTTACAACGCCAATAAAATATTTTCATTACTAGAGACAACTTTCCATAAGTTATCCAAAAATTGGGTTTTCCTCCATGTCAACAAAAGAAAAGAGATATATTATAATACCTCTCTTCTCCGCTTGATAATCTTAACAATTTGCCTATTTTCTAGATAATGTATGTCCATTGGTCTGTTTATCTTATATCTCTTTAAAAAAATATTTATTTCAAGACTGGAATTGTTTTTATAATTTCGTAAATTCTTATTTATAAAGATATGTTCAATTGATTTAAACTTAAAAAAAAATATTTAATAAGACAAAAAATTGTTTCTCACCCATTGTAGATTATTATTACTTGAAAAGCTTCAAAAAACAAATCATCAGCATTAAAATATTGCACGTTAAAATATTGGAGTCAATAAAGTTGAATCAATTTAAATAAGATATTATCGATGTTAATATTTCATACATTGTTTTCGTAGAAAGAAAATGTCTGCATTGATTGATTTTTCACTCGAGTTACAATTCGCCTCTAGTTATAAACTTTTCCTCTAAGACGTAATACACTTTTTATGAATGGTTGTAACGTTCACTTATTCTTTTTGTGAAATTTACAAATAAAAATGACCTTAATTTTTATGTGTGAATTTCATTTAAGAATTATATTATGATGTATTATCAATATCACCCAATGATGCAGTTCTTTTCAAGGGTTGTATTGCAATGGTTTTGAGATATATATATCTCTTTGCAAATTCAGAGAACGTGTAGACAACTGAATGATATAAAAACTCACATGAACCAGTTGGTGGAAAAAAGAGTAATATCCCTACTTCGCTCAACTACGCATGCTCTAATTATAAAATCAGTGACGTGACTATACATCCATATACATTTTATGTCATGTGTTCAGCACTGGCAACTGCTTTTTCCGTGAAATGTACTCGATTTTTATTTCTGCGCCTGTGTAATATTTGTATCTACTGAGGTTAAACAGGTTATAAAGTAGGGATAATTACATTTTACCTCTTTGACCAATTTGACTATACGTGTAGAAGGGTTTTCCACACTACAAAATCATTTAACAAATTATCAAAACCATAAGTACAATAATTATTTATTAATTTCAATCCATTTGAAAAATGGCACTGTTTTCGAATAACCTACGCAAGATAATATCTGTTTCTAACAGTCTATCCAAACGTCAGTATCAAACAATTATTTATTTATGGTGAATATAAATTATATAATTATGTTGTTATTATTGTAGGATTCAACTTATCATCTTCAATGTTAAAGAATGTTCATACATCTGGTGAATCAGAAGAAGTTAAACGTATGTACTAACAACAATGATGGTTGATATGTATACATTAAGTCAAAAAATGATATGGATGATTTGTTTTTTTCCAGCTACAATACGAAAATCACAGGATATTAATCAACTGAAGGATTTTGGTGCTTATGTTGCTGAATGTTTACCAAAATATATTCAAAAAGTGCAAATTGCATCTGGAGACGAACTTGAAATCCTTACTAGTCCTGATGGCATTCGTCCAACACTGTCTTTTTTGAAAGATCATCAAAATGCTCAATATACTATCCTTGCTGATTTAACAGCATTAGATGTACCCAGTCGTCCATATCGATTTGAAGTTTGTATTAATTTAGAAAAATGAACATCCATCGTACACAAGTACATCATACAATAATGGTTATCTTTTTTTACAGTTAGTATACAATTTACTATCTATTCGATTTAACAGTCGTATCCGAGTTAAATCATATACAGATGAATTAACTCCTGTTGATTCTGTAGTTTCAATTTATAAAGGTGCAAACTGGTATGAAAGAGAAGTCTGGGATATGTTTGGAATTTATTTCACTGATCACCCGGATCTTCGGCGAATTTTGACTGATTATGGCTTCGAAGGTCATCCTTTGAGAAAAGATTTCCCATTGAGTGGATTTGTCGAAGTGAGTATTAAGAATCTATTATGACATGTCCGAACCAGAAATACTGCGCCCATAATTAAACCTAATACGATAGCAGGTATACACTGTACCAGGTACAATGTACCTCTAATAAACTATTTGTAAATCTTCGTTACTAGCTAAATTCAGAATTTGCTTTAGTCTGCCATAAAATAATAAAACTTATTTAAAATATAATCCTAATTACATGACGGTTTCTAGGTAAGATATGATGAAGATGTGAAGCGTATTGTTGTCGAACCATTGGAGTTAGCTCAAGAATTCCGTAAATTTGAACTCACTGCTCCTTGGGAACAATTCCCTAATTTTAGAAGTACTCCATCAACACCTGCAGAACCAGAGAAAGAAAAAAAATAGTTCAACAATTAAGTAAAATAAAATATTTATAGATTTTGCATATAGCGTCGTGTGAAATTTATAACATATGCACTTCTTACAATAATATAGAAATCTTATTTAATTTTATGTTATTTACATTATCTTGTAATCTCGCAAAATGGGAGTCATTGAAATTTTTGTTGTAAATAAAATTTAACAAAAGAAGAACAAAATTCATTATTATATTTATATTCCATAGTTTGTCTTATTTATTGCATATCGCAGTAGTAAGTCTTTTAAATAAACTGGCATTTTATTTGAACAAATATCTACTCATATCAGATAATAAGAACATAAAATGTAATTTAAAAGTTGTAATTTTAATCAGATAATTCAAAAGTAGTAGTAAGTAGACGATAGATCATAAGCATTTTTGCCAAAAGAATTCGTATTATTGTAAAAAGTCTCAAATTATCTCTATTTCTTTAAGAGAATGTGTAATGATGAAAATACTCAATATTTCATTTTTCCAAAATTTCAAGCATTTTTGTAATTTGATTACACATATCTATATTTTGTACACCTGTACATATGTATGTACCTGTCCGATTTGTGTTGGGAAAATATAATTTAAATAGTTCTTGCGAAAGTGGGGACAAAAACTTTCTTCAAAAGAGGCTTTTTGACCAATCCAACTATTGCTAAATTGGAAAAGAGCACGTACACGGACGACGCTCTCCCTCCTTCATCCCAATTGGTCGTCAGAGACTTGCGCAGTTAAGCAAAGTACGTTAGAAGTGGTAAAATAACTGTGGTGGGGAGAACGCAATCATCCGAACTTTTGAGGCTCTCCTTTTCAGTTCGACTATAGAGTGTGAATTAGCAACAGCTCTTGTATCTTTCGAATAATTGTTGACTGAGCATTAATTTAATATAATAACAATTACATTTATTTCAATGAATTAATGGTTACAACCATTTTTGTCATGTTTTAACAGCGACTTATTTAAAAAATGTAGTTTATCTACACATGTTGTACATCTTATAAAATTCCAAGATGTCTGAGTGTTCTTTTTGTGAAATTGTTCTGTGTTTTTATTGTTGTTTTGTTCATTAACTATAAAGTGACTTAAAAAATTTGCAAAAATGGAAACAATATCTGAAAAAAAAACGATCGAAGATTTTACTTTGGATGTATCTACTGAACCTGAACGAGCATCATCAAATTCTGATTCAGATACAACAAACTTTACTATTACTGAAATGGTAAGCCATAAACGATTTTATTTTGTGATTTTACTTATTTTAGTTTTTATATGATGTTTCAAATATTTTTTGTGTTATGTATTTATTATTGAGTAATTTTGAATTACTAGTTTGTTCTAAACTAAGACTTAAATTTTTTACAAAATGCTTTCTTCAGCCTTTGTTTATTAATATTTCTTTATAAATAATTTTAAACATATATATGAATACATAAATATTTGAAATTTACATATAAAATAATAAAATACCCATTAACCTTGTATTATTTTATCTAGGGATCTATGGAAATATCATTGGAAGAGGAAGAAAAATATGGTTTAAAAACTTGTTTGGTTGAACTAGAACGATGTGATAAAATTTGGGAAACAATCCAATTAATCAGGCATTTGCAGGATGATCCTAATCTAGAAAGTTGCATTGAAAATAACGAAAATTTAATTGAAGAAAAATCATTGCTCAATCTGTTGGAACCATCTACTAATGATGTAGAAACTAATAATGTAGAAATTAACGATGAAGAGATCAATAAGGAAGAAAGAAATGAAGCAGAGAATGATCCATCAGAAACAACTAATACTATGTTGCCTTACATCAAATATCAACCAGTATTAAATAATGGAAATGCAGCATTACCTAATTTTCAATTTTCTGTTAAGCGAACACGAATTCTCTATCCTTGTCATATATGTGGTAGACAATATAGCCATACCAGATCATTAAGAGAACATTCTGAAAAAGTGCATAAAATTAGAATTCCGCGTGTTCGTAAAAAGAATGAAAATGGTATTGATAGTAAAAATATCATAAAATCTGAACCAAATGATGCAGAATATTCAAATGAAAATGAAAGTAATCCAGTAGAACCAACAAATGATAGTAATGGTTCACAAAACTCCGCAGACGACGATGAATCATCTAATAATCAAAGTGAAGTTCGTTATAATTGTGAAAAAATCATTGATTCTAATGTGCGAATGTTTTCATGCCCTTTTTGTGATAAATCATACAAAGATAAATACACATTGAATAAACATCTTAAAAAAATACATGGAAAACAGATTGGATTAACTCGAGCTTACAACCGCAAACAAGCATCAATGACTTCTGAAAATGTTTCTTGTAAGATTCGTCGAGTAAAACAATCTCGAAGCTTGGACATTCATAGATGTAAAACATGTGGAAAACATTTCTATGGTGCTAAAAACTTCCGCCAACATTGTCGAAAAGTACATGGAATATATGTACGTAAGAACGTCAATTTATCTGACCATCATAAACCACAGAATATGGCAAAATTAGATAAAAATTTGGCACAGACAAACCATTCAATGATTAATACTGATTTTAAAATGACTAAAAATAATACATCTATTGCAGCGAGTCGTAAGCCTATTCGAAGATGTCCAGTTTGTAATAAATTATATCGAGATCATTTTGCTTGGAAAAATCATTGTAAGAAAGAGCATGGAGTAACGATTCAATTTATTGGCTCATTTCCAACAGAATTAGGATACAATAACTTTGATTGTAAAACTTGCAATAAAAAATTTTATAAAGCACGTGAAATAATACAACATTATAAAGTTGCGCATCATCAACGTCTTCGATACAAATGTGAAATGTGTAAGGCATTATTTTATGATATTAAAAGTCTTACTCGACATTCATCAAATATGCACAAACTTATTTTATTATTACGCCGGAACCCAAAAGGAAAGGTAACTTGTGAAGTATGTGGTATTTCTTGTGTTAATAGAAGTGATTTAGACTTTCATAAAAAAGAAGAACATCCAAATAACCGCTCATCTGGAAAGTTAAAAATACAAAAATTATTTGAGCAAAGAAAACTAAAATCTACATCTTCTCGAAGAAAACAGTATGGGAAAAACAATATCAATTGTGAAACCACTTTTTCAAATTCGGTAAGTGCTAATCAGCTTTCAAAGAATTCACAATCTTCTGAAAATACTTCTAGCGATATTGTCTACATGACTAATTGCATATTATGTGAAAACCGCAAATTTAAACACATTCGTAAGCATTTTATGGAGTATCATAAAGTACGTAATCCAGAAGCATTGATTGCTCAGTGTTCGAAAACACCAATAGAACCAGTTGTCTCCACGCTCAACTCCAATAATGTTCATGATAATGTTGAAGATATTAAACAGAATACAAATAATACTTTAACAAATTCAAAATCTAATAAATCTCAAAAAACACAATGGCGAAATCGTAGATGCATTGGTCCAGAACGTTTCTTTTTGAGAATATCACAACCTCACGAAAAAAAATTCTATGCCTGTAAATATTGTTCATTTTCTTCCAATAATTACGATGCAATGCGGAGTGATGAAAAAAGACACAAACGTGAAGGCATTACTTCAGAAACAAAACCATTATATGATCATGTAAATAGTAGTGTAACTAATAGCAGTTCATCATTTATTTTAAATAGAAAACGAAAATGTGAATCGATTGATAATAGAAATACTCGCCGTCGTAAACTCTCACCTTCACTTAATCAAATTCGTACGACACGTGCGAGTACAAAAATAAAAGAAGAATATTATCATATATGTTCACTGTGTGGCAGAACTTTCCGCAGTACAGAAATATTAAAATCTCATAAAGTTTCATGCATAGCTCGCCTAAATCAACAGTCTGGAAGTGAAACGAGTGATACTCGAGCAAGCAGTGATAGAGATTCTGGAATTGGAATAAGTATTACAATAAAAAAAAAGAATGATTCATATGAAATCGTAAATCGAGATAATAATGATGATAAATTCAATAATCAAATTGAACTTAACAAAGAACAAAATCATTCATTACCTGAAAATTCAGCGAGCCTTTTACTAGCTACTTCAAAAAATTTAAGTGAACGATCTGATGAATCTTTTGAATATAGTAAACATCATAAATTCGTAAAAATACAACAAGCTGAAGATTCTGATGTAGATATTTGTTCTGATCTGGAAAATCAAAATAATGTAAATTTTAATAATCAAGAAAATAGTGTTAATGAAAATTGTAGTTCTGAAATCAACAACAAAAAAACGGATGTCAGTAACAATGATTATCAAGTTCCTTCATTGAAAATCTTGTGTCAAAAAGCATTAGTTAAGCGAATTGAAGAAAAAAATAAACCAATTTATAAGTGTCCTAGTTGTTCAAAAGTATGGCCATCGATGAACTCGTTGTGTGCTCATAAAAAAGTTCATATGAGGTATAGAAAATAAATATCTCTAAATTCATACTTAGCTGAATTATAAAAAAATTGTCCTAATTCAGAAAACATGAGTGTGTATGTTCTATATATATATATATATTTATATATAGTATTATTTGTTAAAATTAATTTTTTGGTGATTGCATTATCCATTTTGCATATTTAGTGATCAGAATAATCATGTATGCAAGTAAACAAATTTGATAAAATTTGTAAAGATAATATTGTATAAAATATTAGACGTATAATTTATTTGCTTTATAATCGTGAAATATTAATTTTCAAAAATATTGAATTCTACTCTTACTATCAATGTCACTCTATTACAACATAAATTATTTTTATATTTTACAATATTCAATTGCATAAATGAATTTCATAAATCATGAAAATTAATGTAACAGTGTTGCCGAATGAAAACTGTTTGTAGAAATTAAAAGATTATGAATTTAAAACTCTACGTTGTTATTATTGATATTTTAGTTGGCCGTAGAAACATTGCTTTATTTGAATGATTTTTCAAAATAGTTTTGGTATGATTTACATTACATTATGATATTATTTCAGGATCATTCCTTTTAAAATGAATTGAGAGTTGTTTATTTTAAGTTTTTTCTAATTTTAATATATTGATTTATTGTTTATAAAAATAAGTTAAGACAATGTTGCTGAACCATTTGGTAGCGAAACTAGCCAAAGAAGTAATATTCTGTCTAAGATATACCATCAACTGTATCCTCAGCTAGAAGGTACTTAGAACATGGCCTTTTTGACTAGTTGTATTTTATTATAATTGATATTTTATAAGTTCACAATACAATCTTCTCCTAAATGATGTTTTATATACTTAATGTAAAAATTGTTCGATCTTTTAATAATTAACATTGGTATAAAAAATATCAATTTTTGTGTAATAATAAAACCGATTGAAAAATATATATTTAATGTATGTGTATTCATTATTTTTCCTCATTCTCTAACTTATTTTCATATAATAAGTATTTGCATTTTAAGCAAATATGAGCACTTCGTAGATAGTAAATTAATGTTGAACTTGTTTTATGTTAATTTAAACTCATTGTATCTAGTTTCACTTAGACATTTTATAAAACCAATTTAAAATTATTTACTTGAGTATTATTAAAACTTTCAACTATTTTGATAAAACACATCAAAAGACAATCATATAATATGGGTAATATAATTTACCTGATTATTAGATATTTCTTTTAAAATTTGAAATCGAATATTGCTAAGAAATTACATATTCAAGTTCTTCATTTATAAGAATAATTATTATAAAGTGTCTATAACGAATCTGAAACATCGAATCATGACTTGTTAAATTTGGAGCAAAAAGCAAAAATAGTTGAATAAATAACATTTCTTAATATTAACTTGTTCTTTTTGCTGCTATTTATTGAGGGTCTGAAAATTAAAAAAGTTTTATTTAATTTGAATTTATTTTATGAGAGTTTCATTAATCGAAATCATAATTTTGTTATCGACTAAAATCAAGTCAATATAAATTTAATTATAGCATGATTTCTAACTCAAACAACATGTCTATGTTTTTTTCATAAAATTAATTTCAGTTCAGGTGTATACTTCTATTAATAAATTGTTTATTGTGATTCAATGTATAAATACAATGATGTGTCTGCCGATGATAGAGCTTGTTTTTAATATGATTATCATAATATGAACTACAGGAAGCTGATGGTAAAAAACGTGACTTTTTATCAATGTTTAGCTAATATGGTTTTGCAATAAGTCTAAAATGGATGGTAAGATATATTACAGATACATGAAGTAAGTTAATTTTTTTAAAAATGCTTTTAATGTATCTCTTTAGAGAAAAAAATATGTGAAATACAAAAAAAATTTAGTTATTAATTATTAAAAAATAGTTTCATTGAATAATAATTATTAATGTAACTAAATGATATTCAAATTTTTTTTATAAATGATTTGAATAATTGAATTGATTGTACATTTATATAATCAATGTACATTTAATTCAAAACTTTTTTTCATGTTTTAGAAAAAGTAACCTTTTATCGAGTAAGTGAAACTTTAGTACAAAAATTTTATTTTCCTGAATATATAAATTTTAATGTCACACATTTTTATTATATATTAAAGGACTTAGTTGATACTTTGTACATAAATATTTTTGCACATTTTTTAATTTTACATAGCTTGAATTGACGAAGCATTTTTTGAAAGTATAATTTCATATTTTTTTGTGTTCCATTTGTTAGAATACATTTAATATGCTTGACATCCTTCATCATTTTCAGCATCATAGTTTTCAGCAACTCCGATAACAACATCAATGAGTATGTGTCTTGGCACTTCAGAGCCACGAATTTTTATTGCATAACAAACATTTTCTATCTTAATAAGACTTTGTTTTAAAACGTAAAGCTTTCTACGAATTTCCTTTCCGCATAAACCAGTGCAACTTAAGTATCCATTATAAATTTCTCTTACGATGTTACATGTTTTAAAACAACTTTCTGTATCAGCAAATGCTAGATTATTAATACATTTTCGCATAAGTTCTCCTGTAAGATCAGCAACGCCTAACATGTATTCATTTGGCGTAATTAGTAGCTTCATTGAAGATAGATTTGTAACATCTTCAGTCGATATTTCATTTTTTATATCTAAATCATTATATGATAAATCGTTTTGTAATGTGGTCCAATGTGGAATAGTATTTGTTTTTAGATAATAATAAAATGTAATAGCTTCAATATATTCTTGAAGACCAGCTGTATAAGAACGTAAATATTGATAAGAATCCTGATTTTTTAATTCATTCGCGATATTCTTGAATATTGTCTTTGCCAGTGCTTCAAGACGAATCTTAGCATTATTTAATATAGTTTCAGTTTCACTCTTTGCATCTAGAGTATGTAAAAGAAAAATTATTCTTTTACTCTCAATCGTAATATCTCTACTCCATTTTATAATTTTTTCAGATCGGTCATGTTTATCATCAAGTTCAGAAGCATATTTTTTAAACTGACATACGATTACAGAATTATGATCTATATTTTCAAGCGTTGCTTTTCTTTTATTTGCATCAATTATTCTTCTATTATTTCCAGAATGGTGACGCCGATGTTTTCCTTTATCTGAGATACCTTAAAATAAGTATTTTAAAAATTAGGTTCTTACTTTACTGTTAATAATTTTATGTGATAGTCAATTTATAGTAGAAAGAAAGAAATATCTATTCAGGAGCATGAAAAAGGTGAATGTTATACAATGAAATAAGATTATTTTAACGAAGATAATTATTACTATGATAGTTCAATAGTATTGTCGATTGAAATAAAATAATTTATTTTTTACATTTAAAAAAAATTGCTTATTACAGTGAAGTGTTGAATAAGAATAGTTATTTTATAATTGTAAAAAATGTAATTGAGTAAAATTTAAGTAAATAAATAATATTGGCTTCTATTCATTTTTCTTATCATTATTCCATTGTTTATAACGTGTAACAAAAATTCCCTGTCTCAATTTTTTAATGGTTATTTAGACACTCTATTTCATTTAAAAAATACTTACTTTTATTGGATATCATAATTTTGTTTGGAATTATCTTGTTCTCGGAATGTATCAATATTATGGATAGAAATATTTTTAAAAAAACTAAATTAACTATGTAAGACGGTTATGGTGAAAAATGATTAGATTTACAAGTACTTTTACTAATCATAATATTTTTTGTGCATAAATTTCATAACAAACAAAATTATGTTGAGTTGTTATTATTGTCAAACTGAAATAAGAAAACCTCAAAAATTTTGATGGTTCATAATTCCACACTACACTTGTTTGACTTTTTTTGCTGTATTTTCTTTACGAGGATCGAATAAATTATTTTTCAAAGTAGAGAGAGTGGTTCTTCTTGACTAAATTATTTTTACAGAATCAACCGGTAAATTTTCTATCAAGAGTAGACTGGCACATGAACGAGAAATATGCATCTCTACCACAAACTGTATCAACCAAGAATACTGGTTGTTGGCCTTCTTTGGCCAACTGTACTATAGAAAGTGTTTATTATATATTATTTGACTGTGTCAATTGTAAAAAAATATTGAAGGTGGTGAAAATTTACTGAATTGTTGCAATCAAATTTATCTACAATAGAATATCATTATGTTACGAATTATAAATAAACCAATTTTTTTATTAAAAAACGTTCGAAGAATCACTACGAACACACATGCAAATAATAATAATCCCACGTCATCAAGAATAGAAACAAATGACAAAAACAAATTTGGTAATTCATTTCTATCGAACACTTTTTTAACAATTATAATTGGTTCATTACATAATATATTTATATATTTTATTGTAAACATTTATGAATGAAAAGAGTGCTTATTATAAAAGAATCCATGAAATAAAAACAAAAAAAAAGTTTTTTAAAATTTGTTCGTAATTCGTGCTTCAACCAAATTATGACAGAGTATCAAAATAATTAGGCTCATCAAATTCATTTCACAACTCTAAGCTATTTTTCATCTCATTAGAATATAATTAATTCAATCATCTTCGATTGTTTTGATAGAAATTTAAAAATAAGTACTTGACAACACACAACAAGATTCATTTCTGTAACTAAACAATGATTATTCAAATTTTACATGTAAAAACCCCTCAAGTAACAGAGAATTTATAACTACGTTGAACAATTTTAAGATATTTTTATGCTAGAAGTTAGCATGTTATTAAAACATTTTTTTGTTATTGTAATACCTGATTTATCAAAATTAATTTAACGAACGAATTTGTATTTAAAAGTAAATTTTAAGTATACAAAAATAATTGAGTACTTTTATTTACAGAATCAAATTTACATTCAACCTCACTTTTTGACAAGAAAATTTTGGTTTGGACAAAGAAATATGCAAAAGTAGAAGATGTTCCAAAACTAGTACCGTAAGCCCCAAAACATTAGTATTTATTCTTTACTTAGTACGTTTTTCAAAGAAACTTTACTATTACAAGAATTATATTCGCTTTATTTTTGAAAAAAATTAAATTTTTTACACTTATTATTTCAAAAAATAAAAAAATTCCAAATAACATTGAAGAAAAATATGATTGTTTTGTTGACTTATACATGCTAACATAATTTTTTTATGTATCAAATCGTAAAATTTTTAATGGGATAATTTCGAGAAACATAATTTAAATCAATTAAATGATGTGTGTTCAATTTCTTTGTTAAAGATATTTAATTGTATATTTATTATAGATTAGACGTTATGCAGACTGCAACCAGCCGGCTTCGAATTCGTATTGCAAATTTTCTTCTAATCGGCACAGTAATCATTTTTCTTATAACGATAATCCAAGGTCAGCAAAAAAAGAAAAAAAAATTAGCTGAGATGAAGATTGAGCAAGATAATACACGCCGTGAAATTATTGCTAACATGAGAAATGAGGCAAAATGATGCTAACAATAGTACCAAAACAAATTGAATTTATTTAGTACATTACAAATCATAATAAAATGTTGAAAAATTCAATAAACATTATTTTATCGAAAATCGATCTGAAAAAATCTTTATTTAAATACAACAGGTATGTATTGCCCAAATTATTTTGTATAAAATTGTAAAAATCAAATATGTTTATACTTTATCTGTAATATAATACAAAAAAGAAGAAACTACTTTCAAAACAATATTATTAAATGATGTTTTTTTTTAGTTATTTTAAGTTATTTGGTTTATAAAACTGACGGCACTTGGCTAAATAAATTTTATTTGTTCTATTTTTTACTACTTCTTCAACGCCAAGTTCCGATTCTAACAATCGAAGAACTGTTTGTTCTTTGCTTAGATCTTTGAATATTTTAATATCGTCTGGTCTATTATTTTTTTCTATTTTTAATTGTTTAACTTTTTCACGAGTTGCATTTAAACAATTTTTTATCGCAATTTCACGCTGAGAATGACCGGCATGAATTTGCTGAAATAAATCTTCACATTTTGCTTTTGCATCAATTTGACCTTTGAAAGATTCAGTAGGTATTGTTGTATTAAGTAAATAGATTATATTATCATCTACTTTGCGCATTTTTTGTAGTGCATCCTGGAAAAAATAACTTTTAAATATTGTTTGATGAAACAAAATGTAAAAATTTTTTAGATATTTAGAGTATATAATAAACACTGTATTTATATGATTTTATACATATACATATAATATAAGGAAAATAAATTAATAAGTCAATGATACCTGGAATTCTAAGAAGTCGCCGCATTCTATATTTGAAGCTGTAGCCATTTTCAATTTGAGGTTAAAAAATATGAAAAACAAAATCCAAAAGTCACGTGAGTTTATAGTCTTATTTACATGTAATTTTATACAATTTTACATAGAGATAAGAAATACGTTTTAGCCCGCCAATTCAGTTTAATTTTATGTCGCTAAATTTTGTATACATGTAGTAAAGATAATTGTTCATAATAATCTTTCATTTTTATTTATCTTGAGAAATAAATCAATTTTTTTCGACTTACATTTAACTATTCCGATATCTAATCTGGTTCCAAATCTAAATTAAAATATTTGTGAGTGACCATTAACCTTACTTAGCTCACTGAACACGGTCAGAGAAAATAGACCCGCATGGAAGTTTTCTGACACGGTTAAAAAACCCTGGTCAGTAATGCATAATTGCAGTTAGTTAACCGATGTTAAGGCTGTCTAACTTTGGTTTATTTTCATTCATAAAAGTACGGACAGACATATTTTACATGTGTTAGCCGAATTTTTGCAACGTATACCTGTTGCAAATCGAAACGTACAGTTTTTTTGAGTTTATACATACAACTTCCCTGTATTCTTCTATATAGTCATCATTTATATATATTATACACATGTTGCAAGAAACACTACGGCTTCTTTCAACTGGAGTTTTAATATTGATGTAAAAATTGAATTATTTAATTATATTTATCAATAATATTATACAAGTTTAAAACATTTAATTTTAATTCATTGAGATTGCAAAATGTTCAAATCAAAACTAAAAGCTTTGGACTACATGTATTGGGATAAGGTTAATGGTAACAGTAAGTTATCTTTTATGAGACATATTTATTATTTTAATAATTTTTTTTCTTGAATAAATGTGTTCATTCTCTTTTTTTTAAAGACGTTCAACATTTTCGAAAATTGGTTGTTTGGTTAGAAGATCAAAAAATACGACATTACACTATTCAAGATAGAGCAGGATTAAGAGAAATTAATAGCAATGAATGGGACAAACATTTTGAAAAATATCTTCTTGATGTTGGATGTCCAATAACTACAACTAATATTGATAAACTTGAATGGTTAGCTGGACTTGCTGTTAGACTTGAGTTTGAAGATGATGGTAAATATCATAAAGTGATTTTTTTTTCAATAAAATACAAAAAAATCCTGAACTAAGACATTTTTATTGAACAGTTGAAAAATATCGTCAATCAAAAAATGAAAATAAAAAGGATAATGCTGTCCCTAGTGTTAAATCAACGAATCCTTTAGACAACCTCAACTGTAAGTTAATTAATTAATAATTTTACGTGTATAGTATTTTATTTATTAATTGTAATATTTTTCTCCAGTTCAACAAAATGAATTTAAAGATGGTGTCAAATCTCTAGCTCAAATTTTAAAGATTGGTCAACATTCTGATCATCTTACAACATTAGATGCTTGTGGAAAATACATTACTCATCGGTTAAATCCCACTGCATTAAAGAATCCTAATTCTGTGATTTTGAAGGGTACGCCATTTCCTATTAACAATACAGAAATGGGTTTTGATATGGGAGATAAAATTTTGAATAACACAGCAAAAGCACTGAACTTACTTTACATTCAAGATTTAAGAAATCTCCAAACCAGTATTAATGAAACAATTGTAGCTGTTCAAAATATTACAGCAAATCCTAAGACTGATACAAAAGCTGGAAAAGTTGGAGTATAATTTAATATAGTCATAAACGTGCGTCTCTTGTCAATAATTAAATACTCATTGATACCATTAATTATTGTAAAAATGTAGAAGTTAGATAACAGTTTGTGGAAGAATTATACAAATCGTTAACAATAAAATATGTTCTAATACAATGTGTGAATAATGTTATTTCTTATGTGGCATGGAAGCATTTTTCGTTTACTTTTATTTGTATTAAATCGAAAAATGACAAAACACTTATTACGATGAAATTATTATATTATAAAATGTACTGAAAGCCAATTGATTTATTGATAAAATAAATTAACAAATCAGAATGAAAAACATTTATTGGATATACAATAATTTGAAAAACTGCATAGAATCATAATGTTGTACTTCGGAATGTTTGGCAAGTTGATCATAATTGTTGATAAAATTGACATCATATTAAGATAAATAAGCAAGTATATATAATAATAACAATAACGAGATATAATAAAAAATTAATAATTATTATATTTAGTGAATTGATAATATACAGAATGGAAATATAGAAAATTTTTGAATATTTATAATGGATATCTCAAGTTTATGTAAATTTTAAAAAAGCTCTAGTATCGGCGATGAATTCTGGAAAAATCCTAAATAGTATTGATATTAAATTAAAAAATTTCCTACCTAAAATTTATTTAAATATTAATCATAAAATTTTTTACTATCTCTTAAAGCAGAGTAAACATGTATGCATCCCCAATCTGGGGCGTATATCATTGCCGTTTAATTAATACAAATTTATCATGAAGACACAGTGGTATTTTTGAGAATTGCGTTAAAGTAATTGTTAAAAAATTTTTCGTTTTATACAAAAGGTTTTATTTGTTAATTTCAAAATTTTTGTGATATCTAACTTTGTTATTGATTAATTGATATATTTAATCGCCAAAGTCTATAATGGGAACTGTAAACAAACTTAATATTAAAAATATTTGGTCGAAATTTTTACACTACTTAAAGATCGAATTAAATCTTTAATTTTTATAATCATACTTCATGAAAAAACCACTGTTTGATTGGATTTCCTTCGTTGTATTTTTTTATATCTATCTGAGACAGACAGATTGCAGCCTTTTGATTAGCATCTAACACATATGAAATTTTCACTTTGACATTAGATGAAAAAGTTATCGTTATAAAAATAAGCAAAGATTCTTGCAATAGCTAAAAGTTTATGAGAGCATGCACCTGTCACGACTTTGGGAAGGCACTGGTTGCAATTGTTGCCGACGATGTAATTCTTCATCTTGTAGGGAAGCTTGAAGAGCTCTAGCTAGAGCTTCATCTTCACTCATAGATCCTTGAATATTACGAAAAGCTTGTGAATTTTGATTAATATTCCTTCGAGACCCATGACTTGATGAAGTTTGTCTTTGTATTGCTTCTAATCTTTTCAATCTCACAGCCTCTTCCCGGCCAACGCAATGATGATCAGCAGGATGACGATGTTTTAGACAATAATTCTTCCCACATTCATTACAATCTACTCGAACTATTTCTTTGATTTTACAGCCTTTACTTGAGCATTTATTGGTGAATACTTTTTTCTTTGCTTTATCTGACTGACAATCATTATCCATATGAAGTCCAACAGCTAAGTCTGGAGGATCTCCCCGTTTTAATGAAATTGGAACGTTACATAATGGACACACTGGAACTTGGACGTCTTTTTTATAAGCACTTGGACATGAATGTCCTGAATAAGATATGTGATCGGTACAAAAGATTGATTCACAAGCATCACATTTCAGTGGCAGAAAATCCAATCGATTGCACGTTTTTTCAGTGCAATGTTCACCTAAATTGGGAAATTCCATTGCTATCACTAATAGAAAAAAAAAAATATATTCAATTAGTTCAAATTTTTGTTTATTATACTTATTTTATAATATAAATATATTTTTATTCATTATTTATAAATTATAAATATATTTTAAAGTAATTAACTCTTACGTGGAATAGTCAACGTTAACTTTTCTTACAGACACTCCAATTATAACTAACTAAATGACTAACAATTGATTTCATTTTATTTCAAAAGTACACGTATGTTCGAACATTCTAATTTTGTCATGTCACGAACTCATGAGCTCCTTCATGAAAATTAACTCGGAAAATGATAATAAATCAAAGGATTCATAATGGCGGTGTACCATAAGCTGGTGACCTCTGATGGACACTTCAATAACTTTAGACAACAATTATCTCATTTAGAGTATTTTTAAACGACAAAACAATTAACACTGTGTCATAGACAAATATAAATTCAATATTTTTCTGCTGAATTCTATTCATGGGATAATACATGACGAAATGGGGGGAGATCTAATATCCTTGCTGTTCCAAGTAAAACCAAAACTGAAATAAAAAACAGAATAAACCACTCATAGTGATTAATCAGATTTTTTCCAATAAATAATGTTTAACAATAGTGTTTGATAAATAAGAACAACAATTTGAATAATTCCATACCTGCGGCTATAGAATTCATAATTGCTTTGCCAGGAGTTTTATTGAAGTTTCTAGAATGATAAGATACATAAGTACCTGCACCAATTAATCCAGTACCACTAACAAGTCGGCACATCAAACAATCTCTATCTCTATTTGTTATAATTGATCCCGACATATTTATATCAAATTATTTCTCTTATAAAGAGAACATTTTTTTAAGTATTCTACATAGACATTAGGGTTATGTTTTCTAGCTTCATAAAACTACTTATTTTGAAATGGAATAAAATAAGATCGTAGAGTCATCAGTCGGTTGTAAGTTAAAAAGATAGTTTTGGCTTCGTTTAAATTATCACTTATCATATTTCAATACAAATTTTATCGGAAATAATATGGAATTAAGTTAAAAAACTTTCAATTCTGGAGTAGCCAAAATGCATTTTTTTGCACTTGATACGTAATTTTGGAATCCAAGCATATATTTTTCCGGATACAATTGTATTACTAATATTAACTATTTTAATTATATTAGAATAATAATAAATAAATATTTTTAATGCTCTTAAACATATAACAATAAAATTACGGATTTCTCAATAAGAAGGAAATTAGTACTTGTTGAAAGTTTATCGATGATATCAGCTAATTATTATCGATATTATTAAAATATTCAATTAATTTAGAAATTTCAGATTTAACATAATTTGTACAAGAATGATTAAATTATTCATTACTTCCACGCATTACTCAAGGTCGTTTGGTCGCTCAGAAATGGACTTGTAAGAGCAGCATTGTCTCAATGACGAAGAGTTTGTCATTTTGATAATATTGAAGCTATAGGTAATTCCTTTTACGATAACTTCATGTTTTCCTCGAACAGTCCACGTATATGCATACCATTTATAATTTTTACACCCTTTCAAACACCTGCGCATTCATATTCGAAGTCAAGGTAATTTACATCTTCAGAAAGATGTAATATTTAACCGTATGAACATAAAGAAACATATACATGACAGTCATCCAATTGTTTGGAGTAATAAGGAAACATGTTTGTTACGGTAAATTTACAGTCGTGGTTTTATCATTAAAGATACGATCTGCTATAATTCTTTCACTTTATACACGCTAATATAAAACATTTAACTTTTTTTTTCTTCGTAAGAAAGATTTAATCAATTGATTTAGTTTAAAAAATAAACCGGCTGCATGAAATTCTTATCTATTCTACCATGAATGGTTAATAAATAAAGCCAAATCGTGAAACAAATTCATGTAGAGTCATTGAAAATATCGTGTATTAATAAAATCGTGTCGCTAAGTACAATCGACATCGTGACTAAAGAAAACTCGTTCCTTTCTTGAGAAAGGTCCTCTTCTTTGAGTCACGTGGGAGGGTGAGCGCACGATTATGACAACCAGCTGGTTCCGGTGATCTTGTGATCCCTAGAGGGGCCATACATTTGAATTCGTGCGAGTGTGTAAGCTAAGAAGTAAAGTACACGAGTAAGTCCCCGCGATTTAGCTCAACTCGACGTGACACCAAGAAGAGAGCGCAGCCACTAGACCAGGCCAGTCCTGGCCAGACGTTCCAACAAGCACACGCGCTTGTTCTCCGTCCCGCCGATTTTATTTTTAATTTCGTTTATAGACTTAAGTGTTTTTTTAAGTTCGATTTTTTTGTTTTTACTTTTTCATTTATTTTTAGTGTTGAATTCATTTGGATTAAAATCTCTTCTTTTATTGAAATATGTAAGTTTTACTATTTTTATTTATGTTTATTGGAACGTTTTTATGTTAACTAACTTTAATTTTTATCAAATGAATATTATTTCAAATGTAATTTAATATTAATAACATTTCAAAGCAAATAACTTTGTTTAAAAATATATTTAAATTTAGAAGATTCACTGAAAAGTATTTAAATATTAAAAATTTTACAAATAAAAATTAATTGTGGTATAAATAGGTTTTTTATTAACTGAAATCATTATGAATAACACCAAAAAGCTTATAAAGATGTAGAATAAACGTTATATTATACTTTTGAATGAATCTACATCTGTCAACAATTAATTGAAGAAAAAAAATGAATGAATTAAGATATCATTAACACTGAATATTATTAATTAGTTAAATTTAATTAATATATGTACGGAAAGATAAACCGGAAGATGTTAGCTTCTGTGTTTCATCATTTTGAATAAATAAAGTGAAAATTCAAAATAAATTTCAGTTCATTAAAACATCATCAACCACTTCAAAGTGATTTTTCAACCAAGTTTTAATTGGTACCACAATTTATATAGCATCTAGTAATTTCAAAAAAAAAATCATTTGGTAATTTTGTGTATGCGTCAAACGAGAAAACAAGTAAAAAATAGGCACAATGCCAAAAAGCATTGGTTTGAGGTTTATAGCGCATCGTAGTCGTCAGTTCGGTTTGAGATGCTGAATATAGTCTGGTTTGTGGGTTTAGTCATCGTCTCTGCATATAGTCTTCATGAACATACATGTTATAATAACAAGGTCTTCGATGAGTTTACAAGTAGTTACATGTAATTATTACCTTAGAACTCTTAACTATTTTTTCATGTTCCATTAATCACAATTTCAATCTAATGATGATTTTTTTTTCATACAAAAAATAGCCTCAAGCATAATCAGTTATTTTTCTTATTTATTTCAATTATTCCACCTTCCTGGTCTTATAACAGTAGTAATTCAACTTATTGTCGGACGAAAATAATGAAAAACCGGATGAAGAAAATAGAATGCGACATGTCTGGATTGAGTGTAGGCGTCAGAAGTTGAGGCGCCGTCTATTTTGGCACTGTAAGAAACGATCGTCTCCATCAATAAAAACAAAAAGAAATCCAAATATATATAATCTGAAGGTGAAATGTTTTCTGGTCTACCTTCAGCCTAAAACTGACGTCATCTTCATTATTAAATTTTCACGGTTACTAGAGCATCGATTTAACTCTATCAATGAATAGAAATTACGTAAAAGATCATTAATTTTCTCTCCCGCGTATATGTGTCATAAATAATCATCTCATCCAATCAGAGACGGAAAAAAAAATTAATGAGATATTGAATCAATAAATGAGTCTTTTTATAAAAATATTTAAATATTTTATCATCCATTGGACTTAATCTGAAGTTATCAATCACTGTAAACATTATTCAAAAGATTTTTGCAACAACTTAATAATAATGTTTTGAAATATTGGTTTATAAAAAAAAGGTAGAATAATCAATTAGAGACAACATGATAAAGTGTAATGAAAAATTCATTAGAGTGAAAAAATGATTTTTTATTTAATTGGAAAAACTTCAAACAATGTAGTTGATCTTGGTACTCATATATGACTGACAAGTTCATTAATTACTGACAAGTTCCGAGAGAAATACTATATTAAAAATAGATCGTTTTGCATTAGTACATAGAAAACATGGTGTTTCTGATGTTTCAAAATAATATTTTTTCAACTTTTGAATCAAAAAATTTCCTGAAATAATATAAGAATTCTAGTAATGTTTTTTAGAATCAATTACTGGACTAGTCGAGTAATAAGGCTCTGATTATTTTTCTTGACGTAATAAGTACCTATAAAATGCGGTTCTACATGATAGAAGTACCTTTTTCTATCAATTAAAAAATATCAAATGATTTGAAAATTTTTAAATGGAAAAAATATACTCTAATTTTACAAAACTTTTTTTCAATAACAGTTGTTGATAATATAACAGTACCAGATAATTAAAGTTATAAATAAGTTTGAGTTATCCATTGAATCGAGTATTTTTATTCAAATGATTTTTTTAAAATCTAAATATTATTTGAGAAACAAAAAAAAAAATAATTTTACGCCAGATTACTCATAACAATTACTCATATTCATAATAAGAATAAAAATACGAAATATTTATGCGTAAACCAATTGATGCGTGGGTGTAAATGCACGTAACACTCGTGCACTTTTCACACATCAGCTTGACCAGACGCACGTGCGATGTCCTCCGATCCGGCATTATGTACTTCGCTCATCCATTGACGCCTTTCCTTTTTGGTATTTCGCCATGACTCTTCTCTTTCTCTTACGAACCTTGTCGGAACCGGTCTTCTCCTCCAAAGTTCTACTGAGTAACCTTATCTCAAAAAATAAACAACATGCTTTCCGACTGACTTGTTTAAATTTTTCCATTTTTTCTTCTTATTCTCATTCCACGTGATTGAAAAGAAAAAGTGACTAAAGGTTTATAAAATTACCGAAAATAAATATATAAGGTGCAATGAATAATGTGAGTAAAAATAGATTTTTAATTAAGAGGGTCGTAAGAGTATACACTGTCAAATATTCTATCGGTGATGTCAAAAAAATCAGATCTAATTAAAGAGAATAAGTAATTGAATGAATATAATGTACGTTAATATATTGGTCATTATAAAATATATTCATAGAATTTTACTATTACACACTTCAACTTTTAAATTAATTACTAAATTGCGTAACAAGTGTCTCTACGTTTAGTTTTGCGTTCTGGTTCGATATTTGTCGCGTGGCCAAACCCACACATTTGTATATACAGTCTATTCTATTAGTCATTAGAACATATGTATAACACCAAAAGCGGCGATTCGCATCATTCGGTCTAATCGATCTCACTTGTGACGATTTGTTATATCGATCATCAGCCATCACCCACGCTTTACGCCCATTCTTACATACTCTTCTCAAACCAATCATGCAGGAGGATTACGATGAATCTATATCGGTATCTCGGTCAATTCATAGCTATTGAAACAGCTGAGACTTGGCCTCGAAATTAAAAAAGTAACTAAACATATGAAAAATTAAAATGAAATTGATCTCTTATATTACTTGAAATTTAAATTGCCTGTTTTCTAGTACGCAGAAAATCTGTCATGATTGATTTCATCAGTATTTTTAACTTCATATAAATGCAAATGGTTTTTTTTATGTCTATGCGGTTTATTATAAATAGATCTTTTCAAGTTTTTTTTCTATAAAAATAATTTTTAAATATACTTTTATTTATTACTTTTACAAATTCGGATTTTTTATTTTTACGTTAAAAATAACTTTTATTTTTATGGAGGTATTAATAGACCGATAAATTTAAATTAAGATATATTAATATTTTTTAGAAAAATATCAATATTTACAACTGAAGTAAAATAGCATACATTCAAATGTTTGTAAATTGATTTTTATAATTAATATCCGAAATAATATTGTATGGTGTAAGTGATAATGCATTACACACTTCAAATGATACTGACGCAAATTGTAAAAAGATCTTGTAGTACGCAAGAATTGGGTTTTAATCGATTAAAGTTTTATACAATGACAGGTACTTTCATTATAATAAAACATAATAAAACAATAGCAACAAAAGTGTTAATAAGATTAAACGACATGATAAATACTGTTGACGGTGAGATTAAAGATGCTTATCTTTCCAATCTTTAATAAATATAGTTAAATTAGCTGCAGATTAACTGTTATCAATAATCTACACAGCTTAATAAATAATTATTCTTATTGAATCATATGATTCAACTAAATTCAACAACTCACGATTAATAAACAGATTTGTATCATTTTTTATATTAATTAAATTCCTTCATTAGAAAAATAATCTAACGTGTCTTTATTTTTTTAAATCTATTTCATTTTAAAAATTTTTTTATTCTGCCAATAATTTATAGTTTCCTTGATTAATAAATTTAAACTAAACAATAATTAATCGATAGTTGAACGATTTTTTAGTTCTCTTGACAATTTATCACCATCATTTTAATATGCACGACAAGCAATTAAAGAAGTTATTTAAATATTATTCTAAGCACAATAACTAACGATTAAAAAGCAATCGGATAAGAATAATTAATGAAGAAAAATAAATCTGACTTTCATTCAACAAAAAGTAATATTAAGTCATATAACATAGAATTCCCTAGCGGCAATTCGCATCCTGTGGCTTTGATCCATACGACCTGACTTACGCACATGTAATTATTCTTATCGTCAATCAGTTACGCGAGGAAGCTCGTTTCCATTTAATCGATACCCGTTATATGATAATGCTAGTTACTACTGCAGGGTAAATCAATGCATTAATGTCGTTCCTGTAATTCTAAAAATTACAATCCTCAGTATAGATTATACAACTCCGTTTATGTTAATTCATCATACGAGTTAAAGATAAATACCTAATAATACATAGTTTGAGGCAAAGTAAAAAATTAACACATGAATCAATTGCTTCATTTGCTTAGAAACAACCTTCACTAATACTAATATTTATGTGCGTACGTGTATGGGAATGGCAAACGATTCTTCTACTTAGCCAGCTTAGTTTAATATACTTTCTCAACAATGTCATAAAGAGTCTTGTAAATCGTGATTAAGGGCAATCAAATTGGTCCTGACAGCTCACTCAAACTGATTAGCCTTGAAATACATGATTAACCTTGGGACTTAAATCGTGAAAGATTTTAAATTAACCCTTGTTTTCTCTTAATTTTCTTTTAGTCCTTACTCTTAATTAATTTTATGTTCAATTCATTATATTGTAACTAAAATTTAAAGCAATATGTAAAACAAATTTTAAAAAAGCTCAATGTCTAATTTTGTATGACAAATTTTTGTGATAAAAATCTAGATGGAAAGTTTGATTTTTATTTTTAACATAAATTTCTATCAAAATCAAATAATCTATAGCTAAAACTCCAATGCTAACTAAAATGATAATATAATTTTAGTGATATATCATGTGATTGTCATAAGAATTTATATAATAGTCAAGACTTTAATTTTTATTTTCTCAAAAACTGTGTAAACAAAGACGTTCAACTATGAAATTGTTTAGTATTGAATTTATGTCGTATTAAAGTTTTATCAAAATGTTATCACATTGTATTTAGGATCTCTGAAACTCTTAAATAAATTTTTTTTTTTTAATTTTTCATCGATCTAAATTTAACATAGTTCTCTATCACTTTCTGTAACAAAATAAAAATTTTTAATACGAATGTTAGTTTGTTTTAATCAACCTGTTTGATGAGTTGAATAATATTTGTTGTTTACATGAAACCTTCGATAATGTTAACTTACTGCTAGATAAATCTATAAAAATTTATGAATAGTTTCTTGACTGATAATTCATGATTTTAGTCAATATTTTTTCACAAACAAATCCATACGATTATTTATATCGTTTACAAGGGATATCCCACAAGCAAACTTTTATTAAAGACTAGTTAACCTTTCTTGTATCTCTGTCTATCACAATTAACATAACATGAAAATGTAATTTATTTTATCGTTGCTTCCATACAATTTTTATTCATGTTCATTTATGTCAACGTGACAAATGATAATATTATGAAAATAGTCGTGGTCAAGAGCACAATGATTTTTTTTGTTATAGTGATCTAAATAGATTATTGTCTTTAAGTTACAAATACAATAGCATTAATTTTTAAATATTTATGCTTGTAATAAGACAAGTAGAGCGAAAATCTCTTCCACAACAGAATGATCTAGTGATAAATGGGCAAAAATTCATTGAATTTATTGAAACAAAAACTATATGAATATTGGAGTAAATACTATAAAAATATCATGGTGAGATAAAGAAAAATGACAACTCAACTTTAATTTAAAGCTGAATGTTGATCTTTACTTGACGATCTTCTTTGGTTATCAAGTCTTTAAACATTTCATTTTCATCAATTTTAAGATAAGGAACGCTTAAATCTTATTCAATAATGGAAAAAATTGACATCTAATAATTACAATGTATATTGTTAAAACAATCGATCAAATAACTAATTGCAAATTTGAATAATATTGTTTTTAAATGTATTAATTTTGGATAAATTGATTAATTGTTAATTTCGTTTATATTATTTAATACTTGAAATCAGACAAAAAAAACTTTATTAGTGTCAAAGGCTTATAGCAATTCGCACTTGAATTATTTAAAGCCTCTACAGTTTAATATACTAACAGACATAAAGTGCTGAGTGCAAGTGTTATAAGCTGCTTTCGCGGAAAAGGCTACTCGCACGTGTCTGGTGTGCTGCAGTCATGACAATTTTGGACTCTCATATGTAGTAATTTATTTGCTGATTCTCGTAAACACGCCTTGACCCCATTTGACCGCAAAAAAGAATGCACATTAGTTATGTCCTTGCCATATATTATCAAGATTCCACACATTTTTATTATTATTCCACTATTTTCAGTTTAAAATTCCAAATTATCGAGTTATAATAAAAATGGCAAACTTTGGACCTAAAAGAGATATTTGTTGTTTTAGATATCAATCGCAGAAAAAGAAGTAAATAAAGAAGAAAAAAAACAATGTCATCAGTAAGGGAGAGCTCACATGTGAGCAGAAAGTACGTGAGTCATGGAGCCACTATATCCGGACAGGGCCACTCAGTGAATTCGACCAACAGCCTCGAGAATAACTTGGGTAAAGATTGAACAAACTAGTCTTCTCCAAGTTGCTTGTGTAACTTTATCCAGCTGCTCCCCCTCCCTTTATGTTGCTATACACACTCCTCTTTACGTTCATTCACTCCCTTGTAATACAATCCCCTGTTTTAAGATGAAAGAAAAAAATTTCAAGTGGAGATAAAATGCACTTAAGAAAAGTGCAATATGTTTATTTAATTGATTTTTAGATGCTTTATTGGAAGATCTGCAGACAAGTGTATCCAGAAGTGCTACTCCCAGTGGACGTCGGCCTATTTCGCCTCAAGTTGAATATAGAACTGCAGCCAATCCTGTCAAAACAGTTACAGAAATCAGGTAATTCATATCACCTCCAGGGAAAAAATATTTTGTTGCTGAATTTAATTTAATCAATCATATCGTCGCTGCCACAATTTTTATGGGAATTGTTATGATATTTTAATGAAACAGTTTGTTGTCTCTTCTAACGAATGGATGAAAAACACATAGAGATGTTAACAAAGCACACCGACGATTAATAATTACAATCATTTTTGATGCTCAGAAAAATGCAAATCCCCTACTAAAGATGTGAGAAAAATAATTGAAATGAAAGACAGAGAAAAAAGAATTAAAAAGTTAGAACAATAAAAATTCATGTATTCGACATTGTTGACCAGTAATTGTTACCTCTTATCTCTGTACGTAAATTGATAATTTTTAGTACAAAATAGAAATACTAAATTTAAAACAACTCGTATTGTATGTTTGCTCCGATTTGTTATTTCATTTAATTAATTATTGGAAATTCTAAATAATCTTAGTAAGTTTCAAAGCAATTATATTCAGCCTAAAGTAATTAAATAGTTATTACGATAATTAGCTAACGAAGGTGAAAAATTATATTACATCATACCGGATGTTCAAACCCATAAAATAAAATTATGTATTAATCTTCAGCAATACCATAAAGTATTATCTCTGATAACATTACTATTAACTAACTTCATAGAATATATATTCAATGATAAATAAGTGATAACACAAATACATAATCATCAGTATCATAAGTGTTTCACTGTACTGCATCTGAATGTTACATTACTTTAAATAACTCCAATTACTTATAATCCCAGCAGGACATTTATTATGAATCATTTATAATCTACATAGCATTAAAAATGTTTGTAATTGTTTCATATCAATCTTTTTATTATAATTTAATGCAAAAATTTATCGAAATATTTTTGTTAGTTTTTTTTAATACTTCTTTTATCTAAAACCATTAAATAAATAGATTTAAATAAGCTTTGGCATTATTCGTTTTCAGATCTATTTCACCAACACGAACGACAACGACAACACGAGAAAAGTATGTGAATACAGGACCAAATGGAGTAGGAAGCGGCATTCTAGGCTTCGAGGCATTAGACTCTGAATTGCGAAATGTAAGTTGTTCTTCTTCTTGTTCTTTTGCTCATCATCCCACTCAAGATAGATATCTATTAACTTCCTGGTTTTAATGGTAGAGTCTTCTGAAGCTTCAACTTCCGGCATGAAAATGTCTAGTAGGGTGAGATCATATGTAATCTCGTCACTGACTGTAACAATATAAATAAAATATATAGCATGAGTTTAGAGAGTTCAAAAGGCTGTGCGTTTTATGAGTTAAAGCTATTATATATATAGTTTATGTTAGACATAAAACAAATCTTTAAAATAACTCTCTGTGTAGAATCATCAGTGGAATATATGCTATATGGTCACAGTATTATTCCTAGTCTCTCAATGTCATTTTCCATATTCAAGATTTCTCAATGACCCATTGGGGTTAAATTGTTGGGACTTACAATTAGCTTTTAACTCATAACTCACGCTATTACCTTACGTACTTGACGGTCTCACGATTATTTATTTTTAAAAAAATAAGAGAAAATTATAATAATTAAATATCTAAAGATTTTTTTTTCTTTCTTTTTAATTTCACACCTGGAAATAGAATTTAGTGCTGGTCAAGTTCTGTTAGTGTTGTTGCATAAATACGTAAATTATTGTGCTATTTAATTTGTAGGATGCATTTAAACAAAGAAGCAATTTTAAGGCTGTATATTAACGACAGAAAAAAAATTTTACTAATATCAACTAGATAATTTATCAAATTTTCGTATTTAATTACTAAATTCATTTAAAGGATAATTGAATAATAATTGATTTTGTAAAAACCAGAATTAAAAAATGTTTTTCAAATTATTAATAATGTTATTGTAGACACGAAAAATTTTCTAAACGAATAAATAAACTTATTGCAAATATTATAAAAATATTTTATCGATTGATGTAAAATTTTTTTTAGTAATATTTGATTTTAAAAATAATTTTCAAACCACTTGATAAATTATTATTGTTAATTCTATGACCTTTTCAAAAGATAATTCATGAAACTATATTCAAAACATCGAGCCATTCATTTTATTTAATAGCAATGTATTCAAATAATTTAACATTTTGGCAATGTAAATTGGATGCCAATAATTAGTAGTCACATAAAAATGCTAATTAACTGCATTCAAATTATCATAAAATTTGCAATTTTTTCCTCATTAATAAAAAGAATTTGTTTAAAATGTAAATATGTATTACTAAAATTAAAAGTGTTTTAAATGATGAATGATAAAAAAAACAGCTTTTGCAATCGAAAAAAAAACTTCTATTAAACCCAAACAAAATTTTTAATCTACTCCCTAGAATGTAATTTATGGAGTAAGTTACAAAGTAATTTATCGTAATAATTAAAATTTTTAATAATACTTCTGGCTTTCTTAACTTATGAATAAATTACCAACAAAAAGTAATTAATTGATAAAATTTATTTTACATTTTTAACGAATTTGTATGAATAAAGTTGTTAAAAAAAACATCTATAATAATTATAACTTGACATTGAGTTGTCCTAATTTATCATACTGAATAAAAGATGAGTTGACGACACTTTTAAGAAATGTATATAAATAAAAATTGAGTAATAATAAAATAAGCAATGTGAGCTCATATCAAAACATTGAGATCAGCTGATTAAATACTCAAGTCGTCATTGAATGACGTTTTACTATTTTGTGTCAATCAGAGTAGATTCACAATCTCCAGTCGTATAGACATCAATCGACGCGGAACCTCCCACGTATTGCACGTTTCTCTCTTCTCACGAAAGCGATACAATGCCATGATTAAGTATTCACTCGGGTGGCCCCTAGAGGCCTGGAATTCCGAAGAATTTAAATGTGCTACCGATCCGCCAACGCGTGCTTACGCGGAATGATTATAGGTTGTATATGCTTCAACGACCGCAGCCTGTTTCTATGCTCTTATAAGGAGAGCCGGTTCAAGCAAGTCTTTTTTTTTATCTCTATGCTTTGCACTCTCTTTTGCTCATTCTATCTCCTCTTCTCAGCTCTCTGCATCGAGTCATGCTAATTTACAATAATTATTATTCTTCGATCGCTCACGGTGCCAGTGACCGAAAAAAATAGACATTGAATCGAAAAAAAACATTCTCTGCCCACACATTTATTTGCTCGAAATCTTTCTTTTTCATTTCGCTGTGTTTTCCGTTAGTTTATGGACGAGAATGTGCTATTAATTTTCCGTTATTTATTACGCCAGAATCGGCTCTTTATTTTGTCCTTTTATAGGATCAATTTTTTACATTAAGTTAATACTATTTTATTTTTTCGTTATGATTCACTTTGCCAACTTGGTTTATTTCCCTCAATACGAATTTTTTCATTCAATCGAACATATTTGAAACCTTTATCGGCTTTCCAGCAGCATAAAAACTATTTAATACCCACAGATGAAAATAGTATAAAATATTAATTATAAATAATTTGTTTAAACAGAAAGGCGTAATGTTTATCAACAATAATATAATACTAACGTAATAATTTGCTTAAAAATTGTTGTTTACTTCTTAGCATCCGCGATTGACTAACTGTCCTTGATTAATTACTTCCTAAATTCTTAAATTTTGAAGAACGCTGATGTGTGTGTGTGTGTGGGTGTGAGCATATGTACAAACTGAAACTTGTGTAGGTAGCTAACAAAAAATGGTACATAGCATGATCATTTTCAAAGTAGTTGTATGAATGACTACATATGTATTTTAATTTTTTATTATCCTCTTTTTCTTGAATTCACATGGATCTGTGATGTTAATCAACAATCGAAATATATCTAATCATTGAGAGATTTATTCCTTATTGAGTAATTAAAAATTTAAAGATTGATACATTCATCGGTATTCTAGTAGAAATAAAATCGTAGTAAAAAAAATTTAACTCGGTATGTAGAAAGAATTTATCTTTTAAAATTGCTTGCTTAAAGAAAGGTGAGAATGTGCTGGCAGACTTTAATATCAGGCTTAGCTGTGAAAGATTCTATCGATGGAGGTAAAACAATTTTAAGTTTTTACAAAGAACTTTGAAATACTGATTATAAAGAGTGAATTTTTCGCAATAAAAGTTTTATGAAAATTATTGCAAAAAACAATTCAAAGATCCCATATTGATCATATTTTTCACCATTTCGAAAAACTTCTAACTAAATAATGAAAATTTTATAAAATTAATTAACTATTCAATGATGAAATATTTTCTTTGCTAATAAATATTATTCTTCCTAAATGATTTTACCATAAATGTTGCTGATAACAGCCTGAGGCTCGGCTAATTTTATTTAATGTAAGCTCTTCACATCTGTTGAAAGGTGTACTCTCTAATAGCTAGATAAGATATTTTTTGTCAAATTTAATGTAACATAACATTAAAAGATAAAATTTTCATCATGTAGATAAACAAAATTCATGAAATAATTTTACTTTATCTCAATCATCATTATTAATTTGAAAAATATTAATACATAACTTTATTTCCAATAAAACTGCAATAAATTATTGTTGAACAATATTGGTTATGATTTGTTATCAATAATTATTTGACCTTATCGCTGCTCAATCAATTTTATCAACTTCCCTTATACTTAATAAAATCAAACTTCTTCTCCTTGCTAATAATTTTGTTTGAATATTATGTCTAATCCTTATCATAACAAAGCTTGTGTTCAATCTTTTCAGGTTCAGCCAGGACAAAGTAAGACCGTGGCATACAAACAGGTCTCTTATCAGTATAACAAGAGTCGCGACGGGAAGCCAATAGGTAAGAGTCATTTTCTCACGTAAGCATTGAGGAAGAAAATACCTGTGGGGCAATTGATCAGTGGCTTGGATAATTTCCCGACATGTATGCACAAGAGAAAGGGGCTCTAGGCTTTAAAGTAATTTATGCTTGTATTTTGTTGTGATACAGGAGAAGTGAACGGAAACGATTGACGTTTGAATCGCTCCTTTTACAGCTGAGGCCTTGTTTATAATCACCATAAGATCCAATGTCACTAATTTCTTTTATTTTTCGTGGGCTGACTCCATCGGAGCTTAATAAGAAGGTCACCAGACCGTAAAAATTGTTTAGTAGCCTTGAGAAAAAGAGGTTGATCAAATTGCAATCGTCTTTTCAGCATTACTTTTATCCATACTGAATTGATCGATTGTAATTTATTATTGGTATTCAATTGGTGGGGTGATATTCATAAAGTCATGAAAGAAAATTTAATTGAAGTAAGAAAATACCTTTATAATTGATCATTTATTTCTTTGTGGGAAGATTGAATTAATATTTAGTATAATTTATCAATAAATTCAAACAAGTGTTATAAGAAGAGAAAGTTATTGATACTATAAACGTTTTTTATAAAAAAAATTTCCAATTTATCTTTGCTTATTTTATAGCATTTGATTATTATAAGCATCGAACCTTTTTTATAGTTCATTCTCTTGAATTTTGTGGGCGGAAAGAGAACGTGAATGTCGACATAAAGATCTTATAGGCACATTAGGAATTTCTGTTGAAGACAAAAAAAGAAACATCGTTAGATAAAATTTTTATGTTCAAAGAATGGTCATATATGTGAATAAGGTTCCTATGTTGTCAGAATAACAATAGTTTTTGAAATCGTTTCAATACACTGATTGCAAAAATAATTCTAACTTAGCAACATCACGTTTAGATTTTTATCAGTCCGATTCTTCTTGCATTTATAACGATAAAAGTACAAAATATTGACCAATTGTAAAGAAAAAAATTGATGTTTTCAAATTTTAAAATGAAAATGAAATTTATCAACAAAAAATCTTACACTATAGGAAAATTTATGTGACACGTGATATAAAAAGTAATTTTTATAATAAATGTTAAAGAATATAATAAAATTGATATCTTTTAGAAGCATCAATTTAGTAAATTAGATGTTGTTGAAGTAACAAAATAGCTGTTTACACAAAAATACAATTAGAAATTGATGACAACTTATGTATCATTCAATAGTCATATACCATATTAGGATTGATTGAAGTTGAAGAGGTTTGACCTGATTTCTCTGACGATGGGAAAAATTCTGATGGGTATACGAGAGATTGGATGCGATAAAAAAAATATATTGAGCTTGTAACTTATAATGGTAGACTATAAAGTCACTTGTTTGCAATTTAAGCTTTATTTGCTCCGTGTCAAGTGGTCAACAGCCTGCGATTGCTTGTTTAGAAGATAACGAACAAAACATTATAATCACGACTCAATTACATGTTCCAGATTCATTTGCAACAAGCGACAATATGATGACTAGCAGTACTACACCCTTGTCGTGAGTATAATAACTTTTCTATAAATCACGTACCAAAATATCTTGATTCTTGGCAGTAAGCCAAAGAGAATGTTATTGTGTAATCGTACTTGGTAGCGTAGGCGTACAGTGAACAGAATAATTTACAATGTCTTTATACAATTCATTATTTTTTTATAGAGATGATATACACGAAACGAGTTACGAAGAAATTCACAGAAGAAAAAATGCAGAGAAAACTACTTTTACCAAGACCTCAACGGTTAACCGAGAACTAGTTTATGGAGACACTTATTCATCATCACGTTCAAAGCAGACATCACCACTCCCCGGAAGTCAATCGCGAGATGTTAAAATTATCCGTGAAACAACTGGTAAATTTGAAATTATGAAATCGTCAATACTCCTTGAAAACTTAAATACTAATATTTCTGCTAGCTTATTTATGAGACTTCAGTAAAAACATCAAGACAAAAATTGAATAGAAAATGACAAGTTAAATAACAAGCCAGAGATAGAAAATTTTTTCTCCAATTTCGATAGATATTCTTACTCTAGAATTACATATTTATTCAGTAAAGTTAAATTTTTTGCTTCTCTTCTAGCTTATCCCGAACCCAAGGCAGTGTCAACAACATACAACACTGCAACACGAGAACGGATTCAAGAATATGGAGTAGAACAAGTTCCAGTGCCTTCACCAACGCCTACCATCCCACTCAATTTAGCTCCAGGCCCAAACACTAAGGTCACTACGACAATCAAAACTTACACCTATGAATTGCCAGGAGCACCAGAGCATTATTTACCAGTTGGACATACTGGAACAGATCAAACAGTGACCTACAAGATAGATAAGACTCTTGAAAGATCTGCTAGTCCTATCAGATACACAAGTACTCCAGAGATAAATCAAAAATCGTCAATTCTTCATAAAGAATCAAAATATTATCAAGAAGAATTACGTGGATCTCCAAACTATGGAAAACCAATTTCTTTTCCTTCAGCACCGTCTCCAACGAATCTAGAAACAACGACCACGAAAAAAGAGAATTTCTATATCAGAGATGAAAGATATGAGAATAGTTATACTCCAGTTGATCGAACAGATTATCCAGGACATCCAAACCAACCACCATATACAGAAACTACAACAACTACGTTAATTGATAGGATCGAGGAACATTATCCTGATAAACCTGCTTCACCAACTCGGGGTTATTATACTGCCTTACCACAAACACCACCACTAGCCAGTTCAAGTGTTTATAAATACTCTAAAGAATCATATAACAACAGCCATGCAAGCGACCGTGAAGTTCTTCTGCCCAAACCTTTCCCTACTGGAACTCAGTTGTATCCTGTTAACGGCAAAGGGCCCAGTAATGGTCAAGGACCACCTGCTAAACTAGATGATCTTATGGCGTCATTTTCTGACTCTGAGGTTAGTATCAAATAACTTTTGTTTTAACGTATAGAATTAAATTCTAGTACAACCACTTCAGGCGGTATAAGATGCAATTGAATACATTTATACTGTATTATTATTTTTAAGAGTGAAGTCTAGACCTGTTTCGAGTGATTCTTAATGAAGTAATCTTTTTTAGCGTGAAGTGCTGGTGGACATCCAAAGAGAAGAAAGTATAAAACGTAAAAATAAAGAAAATACCGGTGAAATACAAAAGAAAACAGTTGACTTCGTCGGTCATTCACCTCCTAAAGTACAGAGTAAAAATGTAGCAGGTCCACCGGTTTATTACCCCCCAGGTTCGGCAGAGTTTAAGTCGAAAGAAGAAGGAGCAATGATGCAAGCTAGTGTAAGTTGAAATGAATTCAATGGAAATTTTAATCATAACAATAATAATTATTATGAAAGAAATATTTATATTTTCCAAAATGTATACTTTTATTTTTTTAGGGAGAATGGGCAAGGGCACGAGGACAGTATGAATATGAAGCATCAAGCAAAACAAAACAAAAACAAACAAGTGGAAAAGCTGTAGTTCCTGTGTGCCTTCCTCTTTGTTGTGCGCTTCCTTGTGTCATAATGTAACAAATTTTTTACTAATTAATTATTTAAATGATTTTTTAAACAAAAATATTATTTAAAAACCGAAAAGTTATTCATTAAAATATCGACAATCAATTTAATAGAATGTAGTCCTGATCATTAACATCTGTAAGCAAACTCACGACTGACCCTAGATTATCATGTGTATGATGGATTAATCAAAAAATTTAATGTTAAATGCTATTAAATATTGTCAGCGAACAATATTTAATTATATTATAAGAAAATACGTAGTTTAAAGATTATTTGATAAATCGATGAATCAAATATCTTGATGTATAATCAAATTTCTTTGAGGACTTATGTTTAACAAGTTTTCATTATATTTAATTATATTTATCTAATTAGAATAAAGAATTATAATTTTAAAGATAATTGTACTTTTACGTATGTTATGTGGAAAGATATTATTATATTTTACTGGACATGACAATATATTAATAATGATGGTCATTTGGTAAAAACTAAGGTACAAAATTAAATTTAAATATGATATTGAAAAATAAATCATCTTTGTACATTACCAATTTTAATTCAAACTCTGTTACTTCTTCTGTTTATAAAAACAAAAAATTTTATATATTTAATATAAAGTTAAATCATTTGGCTGTTGGACTGTTCTGTATGTATTTAATTGTTTCTACTTTCCTTCTTTAAGTTTGCATATTTTCTCAATCTTTGTAACTATCACTTCATGTAAGTAGTCAATATGCATTCTTATTTTAAAGTACTTTACTACTATCACTGTAATACTTTATTGTTTTAATTATTTATTTATGAATATAAAACTTCTAATTTCTTTTTTCGTTTATTTGTTTACAAAGATCCTATTCAGGCTTCAAATCTTACATTTGCGGCTAATGTTAGCATTGAATTGCAAATGATCAATCAACAATAAACTCCTATTTTATTGCAAAAAAAATTTGATACTTGATCAGTTTTAATTTTTATTATATTTCGTGTAATTAACAATTATTTTTTTAATAAAAACTTCAATTATTTCAGTATCGCGCAAATTGAACGTTTCGAAAATGAAACTGTTTCTAAAATTATTATTCATCTTTTCCAGTAGAGTGCCTAGCTTATCTTGTGCACAAATTGTATATATTTTCTGCTCTTCTTCCGGTTTCGCAATAAGCTTACAGCGCCCCCTGCTGGCAACTAATCGGCACTATGTACCAAAACCGGGATCACCATATTTCGCAATGGCGCGAAGTTTCAATGTTGTTTGTCAAAAAAAACTTTAATTTTCAATATAATGAATAATAATTTATAAAGCAAAATTTTTTAATAACATTACAATAATTTAAATTAAAATCTTTTTAAAAACTGTAAAAAATTTAATTTCAATACAAATTAAACGTATTTAAAAAAACTGTGTTGTTTACGTTCTGAATTGCAGCATGGCGATAGTTGTCGAAATCACATTGACATCAATCACGTGTCTTTAAAGCCATGCGTTATTCTGCGAGTAATTGTTGACAATTATTCTTGATATAGTGGTTTTAAATAATATTTATTATAATGATAGTATTTTAGTGAAAATTTTTTAAAATGATACAACATAACTCCGGATCTTAACTCATTGTTATAACATTGAGGTTAAACTCCACACTTTATTGTTTTGATAAATATCTAATTATTGTTATAAAAAATGGTTAAAGAACAATATCGAGAGACCGACATCGCCCGAAAAATGTACGTTAACATTATTAATATTTATTGATTTTATTAAGTATTTTTCATAATAATGAATGGAGTAAATTTTTGACTTATGCAAAAAGGAACTGTAATTCATAATAATTTTATAGATCTCATGTATCTTTTGGAGTTGATAGTCGGCATAACATAGAACGACAAGCGCATATCCATGTTGTGGCAAAAAATTTATATTCGCAAGACAGTCAACACACTCCAGTTCCTTATGGAGTATTGGATAGACGAATGGTACAATGATTTCTAATCTATTCTAAATAAAATAAGAGATAAATTCTGACTAAGTAATGAATTTTAGGGAACCTGTTCAAGTGTAACACCATGTGAAACTTGTGGGAAATCTTTAAATGAATGTATTGGGCATTATGGATACATTGATCTAGAATTACCTGTTTTTCACGTCGGATATTTTAGATCAGTTATTGGAATTTTACAATCAGTTTGCAAGGTATTATTTTACTATATTCCTTGATAAATCGACAATATAAAAATAATACATATTTTTTACAGAAATGTTCTCATGTAATGTTATCGGAAAAAGAAAAAACAACTTATTTAAATCGAGTTTTGAATCCAAACCTTGGATATTTAAGCCGGAAAGCTCTCAGAAAACAAATTTTAGAAAAAGCAAAAAAAACAACAACTTGTCCTAATTGTAAAGAGCTTAATGGAACAGTAAAGAAAGCTGGACTTCTTAAAATTGTTCATGAAAAATATAAATCGAAAAAAAGTAGCAATCCTATAGTTCTAGAAAAATTAGCTGAATACAGTACAGCTACAGAAAATAATAAAGAATTAGAAAGCATCATTGATAATGGCCTGGTGACTATGCTTAATCCTCTCGAGGTAATTTCGTTATCATTTTACCGAATAATATTCGTTTGAACAATTTACTACATTATATTTTTATTTTAGGTTTTGGGAATTTTAGAGAGAATTCCTGTCTGTGATATACCTTTGTTATTAATGAATTCAGATTGTGCGATGCCAAAAGATTTAATCCTTACTCGAATACCTGTTCCTCCAATTTGTATAAGACCCAGTGTATTATCAGATTTAAAAGCTGGTACAAATGAAGATCATCTGACAATGAAATTATCAGAAATAATATTCTTGAATGGAGTCATTAGAAAGCACAGACAGTCTGGTGCTAATGTACAATCTTATAACGACGCTTGGGAATTTATTCAATTACATTCTGCACTTTATATTAACAGTGAAATGTCTGGAATTCCTCTGAATATGCAGGTAACTTTTTTCAATCAATCATAACAATTGTTAATATATTCATTAAAAATATTAAAACTAATCTAGAAAATATTTTTAATAGCCAAAAAAATCAGGTCGAGGTCTAGTCCAAAGATTAAAAGGAAAACAAGGCCGTTTTCGTGGAAATTTATCTGGAAAACGAGTTGACTTTTCCAGTCGAACTGTCATATCACCAGATCCCAATTTACGAATTGAACAAGTTGGTGTACCAATTCACGTAGCGAAAATTCTAACTTATCCTGAACGAGTGCACCCAGCAAACATTGAACTTATGAGGACTTTAGTCAAAAATGGCCCTGATGTCCATCCAGGTGCTAATTTTGTCCAAGAAGGAAGAACACAAATTAAAAAATATCTTCGATATGGAAATAGAAATAAAATAGCTCAAGATTTACAATATGGTGATATAGTAGAAAGACATTTGAGGGATGATGATGTGGTTTTATTCAATCGTCAGCCGTCACTTCATAAATTAAGTATCATGGCTCATAAAGCCAAAGTCTTAGAACACAGAACATTCAGATTTAATGAATGCGTTTGTACACCATACAATGCTGATTTCGATGGTGATGAGATGAATTTACATTTACCTCAAACAGAAGAAGCTCGAGCTGAGGCTCTTGTTTTAATGGGAAATAAATCAAATTTGGTGACCCCTCGAAATGGAGAGCTACTTATTGCTGCAACTCAGGATTTCATAACTGGGGGTTATTTACTCACTCAGAAGGATACTCTATTAAATAAAGCACAGGCTTGTCAATTAGCTTCTTGTTTATTAGCAGGACTTGATGCAAACATGACAATTGATCTTCCAACACCAGCTATTTTAAAACCTTCCCAGCTATGGACTGGTAAACAAATTTTCAGTCTTATTTTACGTCCAAATTCATCTTGTAAAATATTAGCAAATTTAAAAACAAAAGGGAAAGCGTATACTCATGGAGAAGAGCTTTGCATTAATGATTCTTTTGTAATTATTAGAAATTCTCAATTATTAGCAGGGACTATGGATAAGTCTACTCTTGGTTCTGGGTCAAAACAAAATATTTTTTATGTTCTTCTACGTGACTGGGGAGAAGACGCTTCTACAACAGCTATGTGGAGACTAGCAAGAATGACAAGTTATTTTCTGATGAATCGAGGATTCTCCATTGGCATTGGAGATGTAACTCCAGGTCACGGATTATTGAGAGCCAAACAAGAACTGCTGACTGCTGGATACTCCAAATGTACTGAGTATATTAGAGAAATGGAGGAAGGTCGATTAACATGTCAGCCAGGTTGTTCTCCAGAAGAAAGTTTAGAAGCAGTAATCCTGAAAGAACTATCAGTTATTCGTGATCATGCAGGTAAAGCTTGTTTAAAAGAACTTCATCCGAGTAATAGTCCACTTATTATGGCATTATCTGGAAGTAAAGGAAGTTTTATAAACATATCTCAAATGATTGCTTGTGTTGGTCAACAAGCCGTTAGTGGCCATCGTGTACCAAACGGGTTTGAAGATCGTGCATTACCACACTTCCAACGGCATTCAAAAATTCCAGCAGCTAAAGGTTTTGTTGAAAATTCCTTTTACTCAGGATTAACTCCAACTGAATTTTTCTTTCACACTATGGGAGGTCGAGAAGGTCTCGTAGATACTGCTGTAAAAACTGCGGAAACTGGATATATGCAACGAAGATTAGTGAAAAGTCTAGAAGATTTATGCCTTCATTATGATATGACTGTAAGAAATTCTGTTGGAGATATAGTACAAATTGTATATGGTGGAGACGCTATGGATCCTACATATATGGAAGGAAAAGACTGTCCCGTTGATTACAAACGAGTTTTAGATCACGTTCGAGCAAAATCTCCATACAAAAATGAAGAAACATTAGATGGTCCAAGTGTAATAACAGCAACAAATGAATTGTTAAATACAGAAGAGTATTCTTGTTTAAGCGAAGAATTTAAACTAGAACTAACAACATTCTTGAAATCTATATCAAGAAAGATAACTCGACTGAGACATAATTTATCAGCTAAACTACCAGTTGTTCAACAATTGGAACGATTAACTGTTTCCCAATTGGTAGAATTTATTCATACATGTAAAGAAAAATTCATGAGAGCAAAAATCGAACCTGGTACTGCTGTCGGTGCTTTAGCTGCTCAGAGTATTGGAGAACCTGGTACACAAATGACATTAAAGACTTTCCATTTTGCTGGAGTAGCTTCAATGAATATCACTCAAGGAGTACCTAGAATCAAAGAGATTATTAACGCTAATCCCAAGATTAGCACACCGATCATTACAGCAGCACTAGTAGATGATACCGATCCTGAGTTTGCACGAAGAGTCAAAGGAAGAATAGAAAAAACAACTTTAGGAGAAGTTACGGAATATATTGAAGAGGTTTATCTTCCAGATGATTGTTTCCTTCTTATTAAATTAGATATTGATAGAATAAAGTTATTAAAACTCGAGGTAGATATTAATTCCATAAGATATTGTCTTTGCACTTCAAAATTAAAATTAAATCCAAAACACGTCAATGTAAAAGGTGATTCCATTTTAACTGTCACCCCCACTAGTGGAAAACACAGTTTAAATCATTCATTGAATTTATTAAAAGAATCTGTACCTGACGTCGTTATAAAAGGCCTTCCAACAGTAAATAGAGCGGTAATTCACAATGATGATTCGACTGGAACGACTAAATATAAAATATTCGTTGAAGGAGATAATCTGCGAGAAGTTATGGTTACTCCAGGAGTCCACGGAAATAAAACTACTTCCAATAACACAATCGAGGTTTTTAGAACTTTAGGTATTGAAGCTGCAAGAACAACGATCATGACTGAAATTAAATTAGTTATGGAAAACCATGGAATGAGTATTGACAGGCGGCATTCTATGTTGGTGGCAGATTTAATGACTAGTAGAGGAGAAGTTCTTGGAATTACACGACAAGGATTAGCGAAGATGAAAGAATCTGTTCTTAATTTAGCTTCTGTAAGTAATTCAAGTATTGATGATCTTTAGCTTTTATATACCTTCAAAATAACTAATTGTTTATCAATATGAATTCATTTAATGAAAAAATTATATTTTGTTTTAGTTTGAAAAAACTGCAGATCATTTGTTCGACGCTGCATATTACGGCCAGAAAGATGCTATTTGTGGAGTATCAGAATCGATTATTATGGGTATTCCAGTACCAGTAGGCACTGGAATTTTTAAATTATTACACAAAGCTGAAAAAGAAGAACCGAAGAAGAGAGATTTGATATTTGATGACCCACAATTTCATAAATCTATAGCTTCTTGATAAATAATTCCTGTAATTTTTTTATCAAATAATATGTCATTAAATACTTGCTGTAAATTATGTTTAAATATATTGATTTTAAAAATAATATAAGAATACGATTATTATTACTACTATGTAAGAACTATAGATTGACGTACTAGAAATGTTGCTATGGTGTCTAATAACTTGTTTGGCCCAAATTCAGTTATTATTCAATATTTATGCTGCAGAGTAATCATAATACTTACGAATTGTTCTCACTCCTCCGTTGTTAAATTCAGAACTCTCTTGCGATTTTGAATTAGAATAGTACATTTTCAATAATAGTTATCAGTCTTTTTTTTTGTGAAAAATTTAAAATGTCTATTTGTCAAATTATTTAATTTTGTTTGTATTTATTGTTTTATATGAAATAAAAATTAATAAAATTTTCTTATGCTGTGCTGATGCATCAAAATGGTTAATCAAAGAGAGTTTTGGGCTGAAATTCGACGAAACAATCCAAAATATGGCAAAAAACCAAGAGTTGTTCCCGCATTTACTATTCAAGCTCTTCAGGTATATAATTGATAATATTATGTTTTTTGAATTAATATTAATAAAAAACAATTCAACAATTACTCAGGACAATACAGTTGTAGCTAAACCACCTAAATGTAGCCTCTACAAACCTAAACCACCGAAACCATCAAAGTTTCGAAAATTCTATGAACGAGGACTCTTTCCCATTGCATTAGTAAATGACGGAACGTCCGTAACATGGAAAGTCAACATAGAAGATTTAGATTTCCATCATTATCTTCCAATGTTTTTTGATGGTTTGACGGAAACAGAACCACCTTATAAATTTCTTGTTGAACAAGGAATATCAGACATGCTGGAACATGGTGGACCTAAAATATTGCCGGTGGTTCCACAATTAATTATTCCAATTAAAAGTTATAGTCAAATACTTGCACGAAAACTAACAATGTAAAGGATGATAATTAAAATGAATTATTTTCCAGATGCTTTAAATACAAAGGTACCGGAAATAATTTGCACGACTATGCGGGCAATTCAACGTCTTGTGAAATCAGCAGATTGTGTTGGAGAGTCATTAGTACCATACTTTAGACAAATTCTTCCAATTCCTAACTTACTAAAAGACAGAAACTGTAAGTATTATTGTAGTCAATCAATGAAATAATTACAGATCAATGTTTTGTATTAAATAATCTTTTTTGTTTCTGTATAAAAAGTAAACCTTGGAGAAGGAATTGACTACACTCAACAAAGAGGTGAGAATCCAGCAGACTTAATTCAAGAAACTTTAGAAGTATTAGAAAAATATGGTGGTGAAGATGCTTTTATCAATATTAAATACATGGTTCCTACTTATGAATCTTGTATTATGAATTAAATAATAAAATTTCGATTCGTATGATAATACAATAATAAAACAATTCGTTTACAAAAAGACAGTATTCATACATCATTCAGTTTTTTTGAAAACTTGTATTGAAAAAATCATACAAAATGTTAAATAAGTAAATTTATTACTTATGATTTTCCGGCATCTTCTTTAAGAGTTACAGTTCTATTGAATACCAACTGAAAAAAATATTAATCAATTAATAATTATCATTAAATGTGAATAAAATAAATCTTACCTTGTTTGGTTGAGTATCAGGATCAACTGAAAAGAATCCTATTCTCTCGAACTGAAATTGTGTAAATGGTTTCGTAACAGAAGCCAAACTTGCGTCAATATAACCAACCACTTCTCTCTTACTAGGTGAATTTATATCACTTAAAAATCCATTAGGAACTTCATTAACATCTTCAGGATTTTTGTGCTTAAATAAGCGCTCATAGAGTCGTATTGATGCTAATTTTGGTTTTGATACCCAATGAATAAAAGCTTTAGGTTTGTTCTTATCACTCACAGGCTCCTGTCTAACGACTAGACCAGTTATTTTTCCCATTTTGTCTTTTTCAACTCGCATAAGATTTAATACAACTCCCGCATATTTCAATCCGACTGGTTGATTAGCAGTTAACCGTCTAAATCCTTTTTCTTCCTTTTCTTTAAAATCAGATGCTTCAATATAAACAATTTCATCAAAAGCAATTGTATGTTGACCCTTTCCCGCGTCAGTAGGAAAATCAGTAACATCGATTTTGGTGGGAATTTTTTCACCGAAATTAGAAATTGTTACTTTAAGTGGATCTATAACAACCATGTGTCTTGGAGCTGTATTATTCAAAACATCTCTCGCACATGCTTCTAATACTGCTGGATCAACAGTAGCTTGAGCTCCAGTAACTCCCATCTGAGCACAGAAATTATTAATTGCTTCTGGAGGAAAGCCACGTCTTCTTAAGGCAGTTAAAGTAAACAATCTCGGGTCATCCCAATCATTAACAATTCCTTCGCTAATTAATTTAGCAATTTTCCTCTTAGAAACAACTGTGTAACTAACGTTTAATCGGCCATATTCCCATTGAACTGGACAATAGAGATCCAATACATTGCAAAGCCAATAGTACGATGATCTTCGCGATTGAAATTCTTTTGTACATAATGAATGGGTAATATTTTCGATGCTATCACATAGGCAGTGAGTGAAATCATAGGTTGGATAAATACACCATTGATCAGCAGTTCTATGATGTGGAGTGTATTTTATTCGATAAGCAACTGGATCTTGTTTACCTTCTTCTAGGGTTACTTTCATTCGTAATGTAGCCTCTCCTTCTTCAAGCATTCCATTTTTCATGTCTTCGAAAAGTTGAAGACTTTCAGAAATCTTTCGCTCACGCCAAGGACTTGGAGGTGGATTGAAGCCTTTCATTTCTTCACTCTTCTGATGGCAAACATAAGCATGTCCTTTTGATATTAATTTTACTGCTAATTCGTATAATTGTTGAAAATAATCTGAAGAGTGAGTTATTGCAGCTGGCTTATAACCAAGCCATTCTACCATATCACGAATACCAGTGAAAAATTTTTCTTCTTCTTTCTCAGGATTTGTATCATCGTAACGAAGATAACATATTCCATCAAAAGCTGCTGCATATCTAATTTTTTTTAAAATCATAAAATATTTATTGTTTCAATTATTTGTTTGTGTATATTAAAAAATATCTTATCATACCCAAAATTGATGTTAATAGCTTTAGCATGTCCTATATGAAGAATTCCATTGGGTTCTGGTGGAAATCTTGTTCTTACTTTTCCACCAGTCACTTTTAGATGTTCTTGTAATAATCTATGTGTATTTGGAGTAACGACATATCCTTCAGTTTTATAATTTTCCCCAGGTTTATGAAAATGGACTTTAGTTTTCATTAGTTCACTTATAGTTTTTGCAGAATCTTTATTGTCTTCTTCATTTTTATTTTCTTTTTTTGCATTTTTTTCTTTCTCTTGGACTTTGCCTTTTGGTTGTTTTTGATTTTTTGGAGCAGGAAGTAAATCAGCCTCCGTTTTAGGTCCTAAAATATCTAATAATTGAAGATCAACTTCATTTTTCACAGCTTTGCCATCTGCCCATTTTAAAGTGGTCCTTATTTCTTGCATCAACGGACCAGCATTGAATCGATACCTGGATAGTATTTTTTGAAATAAAAATTACATCATATAAAGACAAAGTAAAAATTTACCTTTTTTCTTTGATTTCATCTAGATGTTTCTTGATCAATTTCTCAACTTCAGCTTCAATTTGTTCTGGTTTTACAACAACTCCAACTCCACAAGCTTCTTCAAATTCTTTAATGTTGATATCTTTATTAACATTAGATAATAAATAACTTAATGCAGCGTCAACTCTTTGAGTTGTATCTAAACTTTTTAAGACAATTTTCTCAGCAACAAAAGACAGTTTGTCAATTATTTGAGCTTTGATTTTCGAAGCCAGATGGTAAAGTAATACTCCAGTTTCTGAATCAATATTATCATTGTGTTTCTTCGCCTAAAAATTTGTTAAATAATTTAAAGGACTTTTAATAAAATAATAAATTGTGTTTTAGTTTATATCATTGATTAATTAAGATAAATTTCATTGAAAAATATAATTCAGGTTATGAAACTTACTTCCAAAATTGCAATTTTCAAGTTTTTGGAAACTTGAGTATTTTTTAAAGTTTCTTTAGCTTTCTGTTCACTTAATCCAATCGATTGAAATAATTTTACATCATCCTCCATTATTTTTTATTTGAATAATAATAATTTATGTATTGAATTCCCTTAAATACAGTTAACCTCCACCGAAAAATCCTCGTGAATTCGAAAAAGTGATTTAAAGGTTAAGAATTGAACGCGTGTGCTTTGATGTTTGTTTCATCATGTAGTTACTTGATATTTATTTATCAACTTTCTTTTATCATTACTTGCAACTTAAGTATAGATAATATCAAGTAAACAGTTTTTACTGATAAAGACGATATAAAATATAATTTTATTTCGACAGAAAATTGTCAAAAAATTTTTCAAGAAAATAATAAATAAATGGATTACATTGATCGTTTTCATCATAATCTTTCATGATATTTTTCTGAACTCTGTCCTATAGATGAGTTAGGGATTATTTATGATAATTTTTGATTAAAGTCTCAAAAAACTCCAGATTTGTAAGTAAATTTGTAAATCAAATAATTGAATCATTGTATGGAAAAAACATTTTTAATAATTAAATAGAAATAATCCTAATTGTGAAGGTGTATAAGTGACATTACTGGCCTAAATTCGAGTGTGTTGGTTTCATCAGGTGTAAGAACCGGTTCTTCAGTTCACCCAGATGTCGTTACACTTCCAGAAGAGTGTGGACTCGTGGAGATTGTCTACAAGTGAATGATGAGAGTGTAGAGTGAAAGTCAAAAGAAGAAATGTTTAGTTTAATTTAATATATTCAATAGATAGTCAATAACTTTTTAATTAATCATTTTTATCATTCTGGTGTAGATAAAAATGAATCCCACAATTCTGGAAAGTTCGGGTACAATTTCAATCACGTTGCTATGCTTAAAAAATAACCTTATTCCTAGTTCACCTTCTTTCAATTGATGACAATCTTTTCATATACTATTATTATTATTACTACATCGATTGTAATATTTTTGTAAAGTATTTTAATGCTGAACTTCATAAATCCACTTAAAATGACTCCACAACTACATTGGGAGAACTCATGCAGATTATGCTCTGAAGAAAAAATAGAAATGCTAGAAATATTTGGAGAAGAAGGTCTTCGACGACGTGTAGCTCAAAAGTTACGAGTCTGTTTACCAGTCATGGTATATAAAAGTGACCCACTGCCAAAGCAAATCTGTCAATTTTGTGCTGCAAGACTGGATGATGCTTATGAATTCAGGGAACATTGTCTTAATGTTTACAAAAGTATGCACTTAAAGTTACTGACTAAAAAGAATTTAAATTCTGTAAAAATTTTCCTGGATGCTATGACCAATTCACCAGATCCCTGTCAAGTAAGTTATTTTAACATTTTATACATCTCAAAATTGAAGACACTGAAAATAATATTAAACTTTTATCTTAAAAGAAGATGTCTTCATTTCTGCATTCTCCTTATGTAAAGTTTTCAACAGACTTATCAAATAATAATAATCATTGAAACTAAAGTTAATCAACCGAAATTATAAATAATTAATATTTATTAACTACAATATTTCCACATTTTTCCTGATGATTTCTTATTGTTCTAGGTGCAACTGTGTATGATTAAGCAACGTGCTCCTCCACCATTGGTTCCTTTACCACCAGCATCAATTTCATTACCTCACTCACCTAAACTACTAGATACTCTAGAAATGAAAGAGTCCAATGATAGTTTGGATTTACTGCCAGAATTGCCATGTGAAGTTGAAATAAAAGAAGAACCTACTGATCTAAACACCAAATTAGGTTTCAAACCAGAAACTGAAAATAGTAACCAAAGTTTTATTGAAGAGAGAAATGAAGATAATCATGAATTTAACGATTCACAAATAAATAATTATAGTAATGATACTAATAGCTCAATGGCAGAAGATAATGCTGAAGGAAAAAGTATTTTAGAACGTGTATTAACAGGAAATTTAACTATTAACGATTGCAAGGATTTAAATCCAAAGAAAAAACTTAGCTCTGAATGGTGGTGTTCACCATGTAATTGTTATTATAAGTAAATATTAATTTTTAAATATTATATTAATAATAAAGTGTTAAAATTGTTATTTATTAATGATTTTATTTGTGCAGGACGAAGGAAAGCCTTGTGAAACATATGCAACTCTGTCCAAGGAAATATGGCTGTGGAAAATGCTCTCTTATATTCAAATCGGTAGAGGAATTAGCAAAACATGAAGGTAAAGATCACTTCAAAGTTACATTAGATTTTGATAAATCCGTTAAGGAATGTCATCAATGCGATCGTGAGTTTGTAAGCTGGGAGATGTTGAGGCACCATCGCCTACGTGATCATCTCGCTGGCTCTATTGAAATCGGAACAAATACATGGTGTTCTCTCTGCAATCGATTTTTTCCAAATGTAGAATCGTATCATAATCACAACCAATTGCACGACGAGGATGCTCTCTTTGATGATGCAAACATTAAAGAGCCAAATGATGATGAAGTGCTAATGCAAGAGGATGGGTCGGATAATATAAAACGTGAAAATTTTGGCGAAAATAATAAATCTTTGACATGTCCTACTTGTGGCAAGGTACTTTATTTTTCTTCAATTCATTAGAAATTTTTTCAATAACTTTCTGTTAATTTAGATTATTACTGTTATTTTTATCTAGGTATGCACCCAACAAAGTGCGCTCTCCAATCACATGAGAACTCACGAGCCTAAGAAGCATAAATGTGATATTTGTGGTAGATCTTTTGGACTGTTTATTCGATTAGCAGCTCATAAGTTGAGTGAACACAATCAACAACCATCAATTTCTTCGGTCATGGCAAGTGTAGAGCAAGAAGAAGCTTTAAATGCTGAGAGAGAAGCAAGAGAAGCTCGAGAAGCCAAGTTAAAATATGATCGATGCCGAACATATTCTGAAGTATATAGTTTTCTTGCACCTGATTCTAAAAAATTCTATCAATTATTTTTAAAAAACTTTTTACCTTTTCTAGACTGTAAACGATGATAAAATTATTCCTGATCGACAGAGGCCAGCGAAACGTAGTGCTTCAGCAAATTTAAATTCTTCTAAAACGGTTACACGTTGTGGAATTTGTCAACAGTGGTTCAATGATCATACAACAATGTTAGCTCATTTGCAAACTCATTCAGATAATTTTGTTGTTAAAAACTTCAGTTGTAGCTTGTGTACAAAAAGTTTTAAAGAAAAATGGCAATTACAAAGACATGTTAAAGTAAGTAATAAATATTCTTAATGTAGAGTATCTATGTAAAATTTTTTTTAATTCATTGTTTTCAATTTCAGTTGTCTCATAAGCAAACAAAAATATCTACATATGAATGCTCTGTGTGTCATAAAAATTTTCCAGATAAAACTCAACTTGACATTCATGAAAAAATTCACGTTGTAGATAGAACTTATCATTGTTCGAAATGTAATAAGATTTTTTTCAAGGAACTTTCTCTTGCCACTCATCAGTGTACAAGATTACCTGTATTCAACAAAAGAAATTCATCTGCGAAATGTAACTTTAATCAGAAAGAACTAACTCCGACCGAAGATGAAAAGAAGTATAAATGTCCAAAGTGTCCATCAATCTTCAATACTCCACAGTTGAGAAACTTACATGTGCGAATTCATGTAGAACCGAAGGTACGATATCGTAAATTCAATTTTTCAAAAGTATTGCTAAATATTACAACTGAATAATTTGTTTTGAATCGAATAGTTACCACAACATGATATGGATGTTGATAATGAGAATGAATCAATGCCTAAATTAATACCAGAAGCACATGTTGGAGATTCTATTTCTCTATTTGAACCAAAAGTTGAAATTAGTGAAGAGCATAGTCTTCCCACACCTATGAAAAGAACATTAATACGAACTGCTGGCGGGTATAATAATATTTAATGTGTATTCATTAATTATTTTATGGATAGCTACTGTTTTATTTAAATTTATTACCATATTTTGTATGAAGATACCGGTGTGGAGTATGTCAATCGCCATTTGTTCTTCGAGAATTGGCTGTAGCACATCTTAGATCTGCACATCCTGTCATGCCTTATCAATGTCCATATTGCAAAAAACGTTTCACAACACAGTACACATTTACTCATCATATTAAAACTGATCATCCAAATAAGTCGGAGAAATAAATTATAAATACAAGTGGTACCTTATCGGTAAGAATTGAATAATATCAATAGAAATCAATTTGTATTATTTATATTCGATTATTTTATTCATTAAAAATTTCAGGTTTTTTTAAGAAAACTGAAATATCTTCTATATTTTCATATAAAAACCAATGTGAACTTATGAATTTATAAGTATCGTTGAAGAAAACGAAAAAATTATTATTCAAGATATTAATAATATTTATAAAAAATAATTTATAACTGAAACAGGAAAGACTCAAATTATATTTTTATAAATTTTCACAAATATTCAGTTATAAAAAATAGCAGATATTCTATAATGAAAATAATATATACATACTGTGAAGTTATTATTTATAACAAAAAAGAATTTTCATAAATTACATTCTCCTAATAAAATTCTACTCTTATAAATAAAGGTATAATCTTTATATTTTCATTGAAATTAACTTGTTATTGTTACTGTTATCGTTCCTACTATGTATAAAAACAAACGAAAAAAAATGTATAGAGTCCATGAGTTTGATTTTTTTCCGTAAAAGTTACATAAACGTTTGGAGTTGCAATAATTCTAATGTCGAGTGGTGCAACTTCAAAATTTTGAGATACTAACACAGTATACATTTGAAAAATGTAGTTTATCGTGTTCCACTTTTGAAAATAAAAATAATAGATGAAAGTTTAAAAATTATAGGGATTATTTGAGATTGATTAAATAAAAAGATATCAATCCCTATTTATTTAGTGAGTCATGTGATTGCTGGAAGAACTACATTAGGCACAGCTTTAAAAACTATTTCGATGATTCGCATTATCTTGAGAAGAATAAAATGCCATTTCTAGACTTCTCAATTGGTAAAAGTAAAAGTATCAAATTAAAAAAGCCTGGTAATTCCAATATAAAAATATTATTTATTAAATATCAAGCTATTTATAGCATATTATTAATAAAAAAAAAATAAATCTAAATTCTTATATAAGTTAGTTTACCATTAATTCTTTGAATGCCTTCTGCCTTTAGATCAAGAATTCAAGGCAGATGTTTAAGGACGTTTTTCATAATTTTTAGTTTGACAATAACAATAGAGTTTCTTACTTACTAAAAGTTTTTTGATTAAGTTTACAGGATATTTTGAGTATCAATCAGAATCCGTATCAGTCACTTCGATAATTTCATTTTGTACTCGCTCTTCTAACAATTTCTTTTTCTTAGCAGCATAAAGAGTTGTTACTTTTAAACAAGCATTACCACACTTTGCAAAAACATTTTTTCTTACATGACGAATTAGTAACATATCTTCTTTGTCATTAGGCATTTGTTGGCTTATTTCTCGTATAGCTATTGGGTTTATAATTAAATCTGGAGGACAATTTTTCTTTTCAGCTAAATCAGCTATAGTTTTCGTAAGAGCAGAGTAACATTCGTCTTCGAGCTTTTTAATAGCTTCGTTAGTTTTTTCGTTGAGTTTGATGTTTTTTATTACATTCAGAGCTTGTTGCATATTCAATCTTTTCCGATAGCAAGCTGATGGATTAATTTTATAAAAATGATCACCAACTTCAAGTATTTCGGGCCTGCAACAGAAAAGAAATCACAAGTATTTAAAAATTTTAACTTACATATAATGTCGATATTTTATTATAAGGCAAAATCATCTTATTACTTACTTGGAAGTAGTTAAAAAGATTTGAGACTTAGAACTCATCTCTTTTAAGATTGTATTCAGACTTTGTCGATAAGTACATTGAAGAACTTGATCAATTTCATCACACAAAATTATTGGTTTTGGAGAACTTTTCTGGATTGCTAAAAATAAGGCCAGTGCTATTGTGGTTTTTTGTTCATCTAATAGCTCATCTATATTCTGTATTGAATGATCTTTGGATTTAGTAAATTTTATGCTAACTCCAGTGTAATCATTAAGGTTTACGTTTTTAGCTTGATCAACAGTATATTCTCGATCATTAATAATAAAGATTAGTTCTGCATGGCCATGAGGCATAAATTTTTGAACAATATTATTCAAATTATCATTAATAACAGCAAGCTCCTGATATACTTGTAATTCAGGATTAGATTGTGATTCGCTGAATGTTTTACGGATTTCATTGTATTCAGATTGAAAATAATTAATCTCATTTATGCTAATTTCCAATTTTCGTGCTTCATTTTTTTTAAAATTTTTACTATCTGTCAATCTTTTTATTTCCTTTTTGATCTCTTCGATCTCCATTTGCTGTTTTTTTCGTCTTTCACATTCTTTTTTCAACTTCTGCACTGTAGATTCTAAATCTTCAGTTTGACTTTTGATCTGACTATTTTCTTTTTCTTCTTTTTCAGTAGTTTCTTGTATTTTTTTTTTCAAATCATTCTTTTGTTTTAAAAACTTTTTTATTGCATTCACCTTGAAACTTATTTTTTGGTTGAATTCGATAGCTTTTTTTTCTTCTGCTTTCCATAATTTGAACAAATCTGTCGTTGAAATCATTAATTCTTTGCATCTACGATACTCTTCGACAGTTATTTCTTCTTGATCAGCATTGCATAGTTTTAATTCTAACTCTTTAACTCTTGTAGATAACTTTTCTACAAAATTATCTTCTTCTTTATGTTTATCATCATCACTTGAAATCGATTTCAATTCAGATTCTCGTTTATTGAGCTGTCGCTTCAATAATATCCTACATTCTACACGCTCCTCTTCCTGCTCTTTTAGTATATTTTGTTGTTTCAAATATTGTGAAATAGTATTATTTAAAGATACGATTTTCATTTTCTGAAAATGTAATCTTGATTTGTCTGATACTTTTTTTTTCTGTGCTACAATTTTTAATTCATTCCTTGCAGTTTTGATTTTTTCTTGAAGAATCTCTAATTCTTTCAAATTGTTTCCCCGTAAAGTTTCCAAATTGTCTAACTTGAATTTTATCAACGAAATTTGATTTATTAACTCAATCTTTTCTTCATTTCCTTCTTCTAGAGAATCTCTTTGCCGTTTTCCATATCCTGGTTCTTTTGAAAAAGATTCTTGCCAATCTTTCATAATCTTGTCAATTAGTTCATCTTTTTTTTCTTCGTTGACTGACTGATCTTTTGATAATTTTACACGAAGACAATCCAATTCCCACAATTCTTGTCGATACTTTGTTTCTAACTTTTCAATATTGGCTGTAAGTAAAGATAATTCCGATTTCATTGATTCAACTGTTTTCTCTTGTAAAGAAATTTTTTCATCCAAAGACTCTAATTCCTGATTTGTTTTTTCCAAAGTACGTTTTTGTTCTTTGTTATTGTTTTTACTATTAAATATTGATATCTTTAATGCAGCTTCATGATTCCGCAATTGATTTATTGTTTCTGTTAGTTCTTTTTCTATATTTGTGAGAAATTGGAAATTTGTATTGTTTTTTGATAATTCTGACTCAAGTTTCTCGAGTTCACATTTTAGTTCTGCATACTCCTGTTTTTCCTTTTTTTGGTTTTCAAGCCGATCTTTCAATTTCTGTTCGAGTTGTGAAAATTTTTTTTCTATCCATGTTAATTTTTGTTCTTTTTTTTCAAGCTTGTCGTAACATTCATCGTCTTTTATCATTTTTGTGTCTCTCATTTTAACCAAAGTATCTGATCTATCATTTTTACACTCTTCATAACTAATCGTATCTAATAGTAGTTCTAATCGTTTGTTATTGGATGCAGTGGCAAATTGTATAACTTGATCTTTTCTTAAAACTGATAAATTAGTAAAAATATTCATTTCTAAGATTCGAAGTAATTCTACGAATTCTTCTCTTGATATTTTCTCAGAATTAACATAGCCGAATTCGTCAGGAATACCATATATGTAATGATCCGTCTCGCTAGTAGTAAGTCGCTGTATTGAAAATTTTTCCGGAAGATTTTTGTATGTTTTTTCTGAATTATCGAAATCAATTGTAACATTAATCATCGGGTAAAATACAGTTTTATAAGGGACTAATTCATTAAATTTTTCTTTTTTTAAATTTGCGCATTTGTTGTTGAATACAAATTCAATTACTTCAAGCAAATGTGTTTTACCAGAACCATTTTCTCCAACTGAAATAAATACTTACATTATTATCATGTAATACTTAAAACTTATTTTCAAAAACGTAAATCCATTTGTACCTATTATATTAATTCCAGGAAAAAATGGGCCGAGATGTGCGCCTCCATTAAATATTTTATAGCCCTTAAGTGTTATCTAAAAAAAGTTTTCGCTAAGTACACAGTAAACAAAAATTAACAAAAGTATAACGAAAAATAAACATTAATTAATTAATGTAATGATTAACTATTAAGCATTACCTTTTTAATAATCATTTTTCATAATTTATTTTTCTTAGAATTATTAAAAAATATATTTATAACAATAAATGGTTATTTGGTTTTGCTTAGTTTCTTTTCAAACGCTAACATCAAACTGCCCGTGAATGTCTTTGTTTATCTCATTTCTCTGGTGTAAGATCTGTCAATAGAGTGGGGGAGTAGTCTTTGCGTCATTATTCTAGTTCCTTTACTAAAATTTGAATCATTTGGCGCCACTTTCTTCTAGGAACTTTTATTGTCCAATATTGTTACTGAGGTAGGGTTTTTTAATTGGCACCCATGCATTCTTGTTCCGACTTGCATGCATCGCGCAGTCGGAAGAATAATGTTTACATTTTGGTGTAGACGATATTTACCGAGTTTATGTCTTCCTTCGCGATTTGTTTGGTTATCAAATTATGCTATTCATTGCAAAAATTTTATAATGAAATCTTAAATATGATAAAATAATTTATCTTATTGTGTTGTCATAGTAATAAAAATCTAAAAATGGGTGGTTATGTGAGTAAAATTGCGTGGATGTCAAATGTCGCAGTTAATTCTGTTTACCGCGGACGAAAAAGAAAGTGTATTGAAGAAGATAATTGTGATTCAGAATCTGATTTCATCGATAAAACGCTACAAACACCAAAAAAGTATGTAATTCATACAATTTATATGACATTATCTAATTGACGTTTTATCAATTATTATCATTTTTTCATTTTGTTGATAATATTTACAGCCTCGATTACCTGTTTAGAATTTATTCCAACAATTAATGTATGAATCATCAACCTAATATTTCAATGAATTGTAATTAATTTTATTATATAATAGCCTTTGAACTAACAGCAATAAATGTTCAATTAATTAATTCAAGAAGTTCGTTAATTTTAGTATCTAATTTTAATCGCAATAAATATGATTAGTTATTTTACTTCTTTTTTGTAACGGTGATGTCATAGGTTTAGTCGTTATACGGGGTACATAATCGTCTTTATGGCATGTAATATCACTATTTTCAGCAGTAAAAAAAAAGATGAATTTCAACTCTGCTCCGATAAATTTGTGCTACCATACTCACATTGCTTCGTCTTATTTTATCTCAGTCCTAATTTTTTTTCGGTTACTTATGAATAATCAAATTTAATAATTACTCTTATTCTGTATTATACATACGGCTTACAGCCGCCTGAAAGGATCTTGTTGTCTTCTTTGTATTTTGTCAAAAAAAAAAAAAATAAATAGCCCTTTTTACTACATGCTTGAGTTTTGTTTTATGTTACGGCATATTCTGGTTAGGATTAAAAATCTCAAGTAACAACATCCTTCAGTTATAAATATTACTTGAATGGATTCATTTTTATTTAACTATCTAACTATTTATGATAGGGCAGGCATTAGCTATCGAGACTTTTCAAAGTCCTTATCAGTACCAGGAACACTTAATACAATTCTTATTTTAACACTTTTTACTTTTTTTCAGAAGAAAATTACTGACGACTGCACAATATATATACAAAACTCTGTTTCAAGAAGAAAAAGGAAGTGATATAACGGTCTCTATGTTAGGAAGACCATGGAAATTGCACAAAGTTTATATAAGTCAAGTAAAAAATAAATTTTTCTCAAATTTTATTTTGTGTTGTTTGCCAATTACTCACTTTGTATTTTTATTTCAGAGCCCATATTTCGCTAGTATGTTTTCTGGATCATGGAAAGAAACAAATGAGAAGTTTGTTAGTGTAGAAATTACTGATCCTAACATAACAACAGAATGTAAGACATTTAATTTTAATATATTTCATCATTTAATCAAACGTTTTACGAATTGCTTTAATAGATAAATATTTTTTTATTGTATAAGTTGGTTAGAAAAAATATAGATTACTAGAACGTTGTTTTCAACAATTTGAATTATTATGACTATTGAGAATGAAAGTTTTTTTTTAGCTTTTATTTTAAAAATTAGCATGTTGTTAAATATCCAGCTCACTAGTTTCTCGGTGCATTGAAAAGTGAAAGTTTTTTTGTAGATTCACACATCTCGTTGTGATTGACCTACTTCTTTATATTTAGAAACCACTGTCCTTTTGTAGTTATGCACCTTATAAGTATTTAAAACATTCAATTATGTTCTATTTAATTGTAATTATAGGCTTAATGATTTACTATAGAAAAAATATTTTTTATAAATAAAAATGAGTAGAAATTGTAACAAAAATGAATTGACAGCAGATTCTTTTTTAGCTCTATCAATTGTTTTGGGATCATTTTATCAAGATGAGGTGAGCATAGAGCCAAAAGACGTCATATCAATCTTAGCCACATCCACATTATTCCAGTTACAAGGTTTAATTGACCAATGCACAGAAATAATGATTGAAACGACAAACATTAAAACTGTCGTTCCTTACTACAATGCAGCAGTGTGCTACGGAGTTCCTAGTGTAAAAGCAGCTGCAAAAAGGTGGCTAGAAGTTAATTTATTAGGATACGGATGGCGATATCCTTCTTTTCTTAAAGAAATAACTCCAGAACTGATGGTTGAATTGATAGAAAGTCCAGAATTGGTTGCTATGCAGACTGAATTTTGCACATACATGATGCTAAGAGAATGGTAAGAATGATAATTATTCAACTGAAGCTGACGTCACTTATCTATAAATATTGTAGGCTTTTCATTCACATACAAAATAAAGAAGATACTGGAGAAGTAGACGAATATTTTAAAAAACACTCATGGACTGAACCACTGCTTGACACACCTTTAGGAAAACAATACGCAGGACCATTTAAAGCTTTACGAATGAAATATTTATTACTTCATGATCAAGATGTTAAAATTTTATACAGTGATAATTTAATTCCCTCTGAATGGCTTCATGATGCTTATAGAGAACAGTGGCTACATTTACTCCGAATTGATGCTAACAAAGACCGTGGGTGAGTGTAGAGTTTATGTCATATTGATACCTATTCAAGCAGTAATTATTATATTTATACCTTTATTTCCTAACCCAGATTCTTCTTCAATCTCCTGTACATTGTGTCCTTGTACCCATTTCGACTGTTTACTTCTCGGTACTTTGAAACTTAACCATTTGAAAGTTTTTATTGCACTAACAATGAAAAAAAGATTATTCAGATAGTTTAAGAACATGATTTATTGAATACATTTATTCATTCGAATGATAAATAATTGATTTAATAGACTGAATTACACTTGAATCCATTAATTAAATTTCAATTTATTTTAGAATAATAAAACTTTCTCAGTCTACTTATTTGATTGATCTTGTTTGAATTGATACTAAAACTTTTGTAAACTCTTAAAAAGTAGTTAAGTTAATAGATTGATGCCATTTAAAAGATAAAAAGATGATTGAAGTTGAATCAAAGATAAATTTCAGTGAAATCAATTATTTCTTCATTTTTGAACTACAAAAATTGATGTATCAGTTTAGTAATTAATTGGCTACTCTAAAGGATTTATGGCGAGTATTAACTTATCTTCGTTTGAAAATTTATAGACCAAGAAAAATGACCGAAGAGGAATTTGCTAAAGAGTGCTTTAGGTGCGGACGATGTGTAGAAAAACCCGGAGATCATTTGTGGAGATGGACGGCATTTCATTTTGGATTGGATTTAGTTGTTTATCTTGATATCACTTCACTGAGAATACGAAGAAATCATCGGATTGATGTAGATCACATTACTGCAAATCATAGTAAACGTAACATAATAATCAAGTAAGTTTTAAAATATTAAAAATTTTAATTTATAAAGACATGTTTAAAAAAATTATCAATTTTGTTGAAAACCCAAGTTTTGTGACTTAATACATCTAGCATAGATTTTTTTAATTTCCCATGTTTTTCATTAAAAATATTCAACTGATAGTAATAATAAATAATTTTTAATTTTCAGAATATCTCTAATTTCATTAGACGAACAAAGACAAATTAAACATTGCCAAAATTCAGGAGTGCTCAGACTTTCTTTACATAAAAATGAAGAGGTGAAATATAATAATTATTCATTAATTTTGAATTAATGTATTTTTCTATAACGTCTTAAAATTATCTCTTACGATTGCAGAAACAAGTTATGTCTTTAGACAAACAATTGACTTACCCGCTGTATATATCAGTCAATATGCAAGTGGTAACGCCCTTCTCTGTACCAGAAGAAGATAAATCGACAGTTGTAACGACAAATCCGTAGTCAATAAAACCAGGATTTCCAATCAAGCTCAAATTATTGTCATGAGTGCGATAGTGCTGGAAACACGTATTCACCATGGTTTCATTGCTATTCTAGTCTTGAAAGTCACAGAGAAACTGTTATGGTAGAATTGACCGAATAAAAAAAGAAACGAGGTAAGAAAACAAATTCTAATTTGTACTGTAAACTCTATTTTTGATGAAGGGGACATTAGTAATGTATCAAAGATATTTTTTTTATAAATATTTATTTATAATAATTCTATCGAATTGTTAAACATTTTCTACTATAATTCGTAGAATTAAATAAATCTCTTACGTAGACTTCTAGTCTTGCAATCAAATAAAATAACTATTCTGCTTATTCTTTACTGTTATTGATCTATTTGAGATTTTTGTATCCGAAAAATGAGTGTCAATAGAATATTACATCAACGTAAATTAGTAATTATTATTCTCATGTTAAGGTAAATTTTTTTACTCATAAATATATTCTATTGAAACTAACATTGTTTCATGTACTGCAATGATATTGGAAAAGAATGTGTTCAAAGAAAATATTAAATTAATTTGAAATGCATCATTCAAAAAAATAATTGATTAACAATAAGCATAAAATGACAGAGAAATTTCTATTAAATTGATTTCTAGAGTCAAAAATTCATCAAGAGGTCAAATAAAAAAATGCATTCCGGCAGAAATTAAAAAAGCGTGTCATAATATTAAGGGTAAGGGAAAATAATAATTAATATAAATACTTACTATAATCTTACTACAAGTATGTGCCTTCAAAAATATTGACATAAGAAAATTTTGTATCTGCAGCTGAATAATTTGAATTTGGTAAACGGCCTTTTTATGCATTTTGAGATGTATTTCACTTATTTTTTTTTTTATTATTTCTACCATTATAATGAATGTACATTATCGCGGTTGTGTACTTTATGATGAATATTTGTTGTAACTAATAGAGATGCTATTATTGTTAAGCCTCATTCTTTCCAGTTCAATGGAAACAAAGTTTAAACAGCCAGTTATTTTGATTGTAATATACAATATTTTTTCAAGCTTCCTCAGGGCTGTGACTTTGTATTTTGTACCTGTCATTGATGTATAATTAGTATGCAACAATAAACTTGTCATACAGTCTGGTGGAATATATTAATACGCTTTTTAGAATTCTCCGGGATATTTAAATAAATAATGATACCCGTAAATTAAATAATACCTTTTCATTTACATTGAAAAGTACTAATTACTCTTAACAAATTTTGTAAAAAGTTTTCTTTTTAAAAAATGATATTAAATATCAAACTATCTCAACTAATCTACAGATATCATTAAGTATGTCAAAATTAATTATATTTATAGACTATATATTTAATAAAGATATTGAGATATATTTGAGTACTAATTAAATTTAATAATAGACTCCATTGTAACCACTCATAACTTTATTAATTTTCATCACTTATGCACAAGATGTTCTAGTGTATAATGTTTTAAGTATTACAAATAATATTCTTCGATCAAAATACTGACATTCTCTTGATACCTTCATATATGATGAGGAAAAAATATGTTATTTTTTTTGGTGTTTATTCATTCCATATTTTACTTTCTTTATTTTATTATTTTTAACATTATATTCATACATTTGTTTAATACTGTATTATAAATTTTCATATTCGGTTGTTAAAACTAGACGTTCTTCATTAATCTTTCATAAAAAATAATATTTATTTTCGACTCTTCATTAACTTTTTATAAAATATAAATAAAATATATATTATTCGATAACGTTTTTATGTCTTCTCTTCAAAATAAATACCAATAACGATTGATTTTTTCCCATTGGCTTCTTTTTACTCTTTGCCAGATATGTATTTTGTATAAACATCGAAATTTGTATCAACAGAATGCCACTGAATCATTCATAAAATATCTAGAAATCGAAGAAATATTTCAACGAACGTTGTAAGTTTTTATTTAAAGAATAATTACATATAATCCTTTTCCTATTTTTGACATTTTTGGATAATTAATCACCTAATTTTTCTAGTATCAATTCAACTTATAAATACGATGATATTTTTGTCGCTGTTTTTATGTTCTAAATCTTATAGACTAAATTAAGGCATTTGCGACTGTTTCGACGAGAATTGTTCAATTTAAATAACTAAATTATTCATGAACACTTTAAATAGCTCGTTTTAATCCTTAGTTGGTTACACTGAGCGTACAGATTGAATTTGAATGAGTTAAACAATGAATGAACTGCTTTGTATTAATGAAAAAAAAATTGATATAAGAGATCCAAACCTGATCAGTCATTATTATTATATGTCTCTATACTTGTCATGCAACACATTGTTAATAGAGTATTAATCAATGATTAATTATTAAAAAATATTTATATTAAGATTCAGTAACATGACTTTTGTTTATCGTAAGTTGAAGAAACATTTATTATTAACATTATTTTCTTTAATTTTTCTTAAAGATATTAATTAATTGATTTTTAGACAGTCAAACTTGGAATATTTTAGTAATTAGTAATATTTTGATCAAATGTTGAAATCAATTTCTTCTATAATTGACTCCTAGAATATTTCAAATTCACTAAATTTTTAAATCTTGAAATATTTTTGTGTTCATAAATTTTATTTTCACAATTTTATCAGTATCTAAATATTTTTAATTATTTTTCTATTAACACATGTAATCAATTTTATATTTACATCGAATTTTTTAGCCTCATCTACAAGTTGTTATCAGTTTATTAGTTTCACTTGAATTAAGAATAATCAGATGCAGGAACTAGATCTCTTATTTTAATATTCATTAAAGGTTTTCAATCATATCATTTCAAGAAAATTGTTTGGTTTTTAAAGATTCTATTCAAATTTATATTTATTTATTTAAATAAAATAATTTTTGTTCAATTTTGTTAATCGAAGGTTTTTTATTGGTTTAAACCAACTGTATAACTGTTTGTATTTTAAAAGTTTCAAACTTCAAACCTATATTGAAACTGTGTTGTTTTCGACCTCAGAAACTTAAATTTAGTACAATATTGTGAAATTGAAAAGCTTCCCATGGTCACATGCAACAAGTAAATATGCTTTGTAAGTATGGAAAACTTTTTATTTTTATTTTATAGGAAGTTTAATAATACAATTTGTATCAAATGATTTTATTTTTGAAAGAAAATTTAAAAAATGAAAACAGTTACATAATATTTAAATGAATGAAAAATGATTAGCGCGGTAGAAAATAATCTCGCCGATACAGTCGCGACATTTTGAAAACTTTCATGACTGAAAGTTTCAATGTTTCCTAATGTAGCTGATATTTTAAGCAAAGTCTTCTATTTACACACCACAACGACTTAATGGTAATAAAATTTCGTAACATTAAATTCACATAAATAATTATTCCATCTTTTTTATCACGGTTCGAACGAGAATTTACTTTATCACCATTTTCTTAATTCTATTTAGTCGTAAGGTTGCCCAAATTTTAATTATTTGTTACACTCGACTCACATTTATTGCATGTATAATATGAGGCGGTTTCTTCATACTGAGGTACGACGTTAGCTCAAACTAATAATGAACAATTGGACAATTAACTGCAGGAAGGACTTGGTATTTTTTTTTTTTATTGTTAGATGAAATAAATATTTCAATTAATCTTCTCCTCAACTAATAATTGGTGTATTAGAAGTTCTCTACTGAATTTCAATTTATTTTCCAATCTATTTAGGCCTAATTTCATTTGCAAATTAACTACATTTTATTTTGTTGAATTACAGTAAAACAGTATAACTTTTTTACATCTCTGGCAGTTTTATCCTTTTCTTATTTTTTACTGATGAACAGACACCTAAATCATATTGAAATTGAATTTATTTCGATTGAATGTAATCCCATTTGAGCGTTTTTTCTGTCAGCAGGATTGATTTTATTAGAATTTCTTTTAAAACTTATCAATCAAATACATAGTCAAAGTAACGTTGAGTTATAAAGACTTAAAAAAATGAATTCATGTGGCTATATAATTGATCATTTGAGGTAAATTGACTTTATTTACTACTTATATTAATAACTTTGATTTCGTAATTATTTTTCACACATTCTCTTTTTTTTTGTTATCTTAATTCCATTATTCAATATCAATTATTAGCTTGATATGACATGTGTTTCCAAAAATACCCGGTTTATGTAAAAACGTGTCTGCTTATCTGATCATAAAAACATTCACCATATTCATTATTCGTTTCTCAAAATAGTTTCATCGATACTTATCATCTAGTTGATCATTTATTAATACAATGATTGGGACGGCATCCTAATTTATCGTCGACATATAAACGAGGCTAGCAATTAATAATAATATTCCGAAAAGAGGAGCTTCTTTAGTTCCAGAATTACACAAATCTGTGGTACAAGAACAATAGTGTACCAAAACATCATGAGTTCCGGATCTTCTTACACAATCTCCATTATCTCTTTCGTCAGTTATGTAACCACATCCTCGAACTACTCTCATCTTTCCATAAACTGGAATAATTTCAATTCATTTTTGATTTATGTACCAAAGTTGGCAAGATTTGAATTCCAATTTCCATATTAATAATTTCAATTATTTTCCAAACTTTATAAGAACTTATTGAACATTAATCAATAATAAAATTATAATACTGATATAAACTCATCAATATGTTAATTCAGTTTACTTGCTTGTTTTTAATTATTTTATATTTTTGCTTTCAAAAAATTAAATTTTGATCTCATACGGTTAGCAAAAAAAATATACCTAAGATAAACTTACATAAGGTAGATACTCAATAGCTGGCTAGTATTGAATTTTGACATCAATAATAAGTATCACTAGATAGCTAAGCTATCATTAACTCTATATACATGTAGTAATATGATCCAGCTATTGATCCATTAGCTTTTGTACATTTTTTCATTTATTGGAATGTTTTCCATTTATCAATTATAGTCTATCATTACAATTCATCTTTATAGTTTTAATATTTCAATCATGAGGTGGAAAATATATCCTTATAAAAATTGGAGATAATTTTAGAATTATTAATATGGGATTGGACTTTTAAATTTACATTTAACATATTTCAGGTGTGCTTAAATGAGGGAAATGTAGAGAAAGAAATTTTCTTACTTTTTTGAGATAATTTCCGACATACTGTAGGCTCCATATTATTTAAATGCTCTAGACGTTGCTGGAAGCTGCAATTTACAGTACCAAGACTGTAGGGGTCGAATGGATCTCCACATCGGGGATCAAAGGCGCTGTTACATTGGTAACAAACAACTGCTTCTCCTGATGAATAAAATCAAAGAAATTATCTTGTGAGTGTTTTTTAATGTTCAAATAAAAAGATTTATTTGTTTGGCTATATAATGAAATATTCAGGGACATTGAAATTAGTGTCTCATGAAACTCTAAATATAAATGAGAATATTTTGGTAAAAGATCAATAAACTCAAATAATAACTATTGATTTCTTCAAACTATTAAATGATGTAAATTTGAAAACTCATCATTTAACAATAATTCATGCTCACATTTGAAATATCTCGGAACTTTAATTTTCTAATCCACTCTAAGCTGTTCATCCATTCATTCAAGATTAATTTTCTCATTACTCTAAACCCAGTTAACTTTTTTTTAACTCTATGTTTTTTTTATTTAAAAGCTAAACATAACGAGAAACTGCTTAAAATAGAAAGAAATAAAGGAGAATGGAGCTCTTAAAAGAGACAAATAATAGCCTAACATGTAGGTTCCTGAAAGATAAGTGATTTAATCTAGGATATGTATCAATGTATCCTTGCTACCAGGATTCCCAACGCCTTGCTAAAACTAGGGCAAAAATGCAGTGTGACGTCATTTACTTCCTATCGACCCGCCACGGTATCCCAATCTTGCAATATATAACACACATTTGACCTTTAATGGGCCATTTGCTGCAGTTCAAGGTGAAAACCATTCGTTAAGAATGATATCCTCAATGAGATTGCTACTGCTAAGTCATTGGGTCAAAATATGACGGAAGATCAAAGAACATTAATAAGTAATGATTAATTGATCACAGAAAAAATGATGATAGATGCATAATTTTATCTAAATAAACAAATTGTGAGATACTTTTGGATATGATAAGTTTATTTTAACATCATTATATATTATTTAATGATAAATAAATCGTCGAAGCATTGAAGTGTATTTATGATCACTAAGAAATTGAAGCACTAGCCAATAATAAGCTGGAGAAGAAATACAAGTGCTGACAATGTTCTATGACTTCAGTAAAGCTATTTCAAGTATTGTACAGTGATTTCCTCTTGCCCTGGTTCTTTTCTATTATATATTAAATATATTTAAATGCATTTATCAGTTCATTGAATCAACAATTTTTCTTACACAATACTGAATTATTTCTTCTCGAAGTTATTTAATTTTCTTTGGTGCTAAGTATTGAGCTTGAGAATATAAACAATTGCATTAAAGATAATATAGATTAACTATAAAGGACAGAGATCAATAACAATACTTATAATTGAAATACAAAAAATTGGAAGAACATTCATATTATATTCAAGAGGAAGTTATTTTTATATGAGTTTAATGGAAATAAAACTATTAGTTGTTAATTAAAATTATTGAGTTCAAAGAGTGAGTTAGTCGTGCTATTTTATTGCACTTTCAAAAGATATTTGAGTAAGGACATTATCATCGTGACATTGAAAGTGTGTCGGCCGGGTGGTTGTTACATAATAGGGCTTAAATCAATTCTACCATCTCACGATTTTTAGAACTTTTTTGAATCATTTACTCTAGATTTTTATCAGCAATAAATGTACGAATTAATGTAATAATTCATTAGCATATTTGAATTAATTATAACTTACTGAAAACTTACCATAGGAGAAGAAAGAAATGAACACAAGAAGTATTGTAAGACTTGAAATAATTTGGCGATTGATAATCATTTTAATTGATGCGCAAATGATAAAAAGTGTGCGGATATAAATTTATTTGAATATTTAATATTATAATTAATAGTGAAATTTATCAATCACTTTTTCTGGTAATGTATGAAAATATTTCATTCACTTGTTCATTTTTTGGTCTTTTGGTCACTTGAAAGAACTTGACAGTTGATTGGAAGAAGATAAGAAGAAGAAAGAAAAGTCAAAGGGTAGATTTAAATAAATTGATACGCCATAAGATTTTTCTTGCGTGGTGTTCTGTTCACTAAATCGCGGATACTTTTGCTACTGTTTCTCCACGCTTTATGCGGCAGAAAGCGCGATTCACTTTGACTTTTCTATGCGCCAGTCAATTCCTTGTCCACCACCACATTCAATCCCCATTCCAACCACCCCTGTGTTGTCGACTCAGCCAAGATAAAAGACGATATTCGTTATCATTCTAATTTATTATTTTTTTCAATTTTTTTATGGAATGACTATTTTTTGTTTATCAGTTAAACTTGAATACAATTTATCAAATTAACGAATTTAGTTATTATTTCAATTTGATTGGTTAAGTCTGGAAAGCTTGCTCAATATCTAATTGATTTATTATCGATTCGTCTCAATCTCAATTTAATCAGAAAATTGAATCCATTCGTAGATAAAAATATACTAAATACAATTGATTATATTTAGGATAAAGAAGTTGTAACATTTTTTAGAAAATTTATACCATCAACAACGTAAATTTTTGAGTTGTGTATTTTTTTATATTTTAATTTGCAAACTTACAATAAAGTATTAATATGCTTGTATATGAGCATATATTAATTATATTTGATTTTCAGATAATTTTTTATGCACAGAACAAATGAATTGTTTAAAAAATCAAAATAATTTGTTTAAAACAGTCATTAGCGAATAAAATTTGAAGAATAATTATTGAATGGCTCCCAAAAATGTTGGCGCGTGAAAAGAATTTGTTTGTTTGGCCACACTGTTTTTTGCTGGTGCTGCCATCAGCTGATGTGTGCGCTCTCTAACGCTTGACGTTGAGAGCAGAGAAGAAGTCATCACGTGACTGTAGTTGACAGTTTGTTTTCACTCGATTTGTTTACGTTTATATTTTGCATAAGTCTAAATTATTATAAAATAATTAAAATGTCAAGCAAAAAGTTAACTCAACAAGATCTGCGAAAGGCTATGTATGATCACAAGAAGAAAGCAGGATTAGTCAAACGAATTGAATCGCCGTTAGCCAAATATCCTTTCAAATAAAATGTCTCGAGGTTATGTTTAAATAATTTTCATTTCATTATCATTCTTAAAATTACTCGTTTTTTTATGGTATTTAATTATAATTGTTTTCCTGAACCTTCCTATAAGTATACTGAAGCAGGTCAGTTAATGTGCATTATTTGCAAGACAATTATTCGCAGCGAAGCAATATGGGTGGTACACTTGAATTCTAAAACACACAAAGAAAATATAGAAATTACTAAGAAAAAGTTGGATGATAAAGTAAACAACAAACTTAATAGTAGTTCAAATAAACGGTCTCCTTCACCTACTAAAGAAAACGTACCAAATAAAAAAATAAAAGGAATATTGAAAAATCCTGGCCACATAAAAACATCTACCTCATCAGCATTACCTTCTGATTTTTTCGATCAAGCTTCTTTAAATGGAAAACCTGCAATCGCTTCAGTACCTAAAACGACAGAAAAAAGTTCAGCTGATAAAAACAATGAACTATCAAATGAATCAACTGTTATGGAAATAGAACAGGTTCAAGAAGCTGAAGCTAATAGTTCTGCAGCTCTTCCAGAAGGATTTTTTGATGACCCTGTGCTAGATGCACGAGTAAGTAATAAAAATAACTATCTATTTAATTTAATGTACGTAATCATAAAGTTACATATTTTAATTACATATTTGAATCCATACACAATTACATTTGTAATAAATTTTCATACAATTAATTAGAGGCGAGATGACAGATATGAAAAATTGTGTCTGTTGATTGGTTAATTGTTTATTCTAGGTCCGAAATGTAGAATATAAGGATCCTATTGAAGAAGAATGGGATAGATATTTGAAAGAAATAAAAGATGAAACAGATCATTCAGCTCAACTCATTGCTGAAGATCATGAAGAAGCTACTAATGAGCGACAGCTTAATGAAATTGATGAACAACTTAGTAATTGGTCAAGGTAACAAATCAATTGTTATTTTTAATTACATCATTTTTTCAATAGTTAAATTCTTAATAACTAAAATAATTTCATTATGATCACAGAGTAATAAATCTGCTAAAGAAAAAAGAACAATTTCGGATAAAACCAAAACAAGTGGCTACGCGAAAAGATGATTCAACTGATGATGAAAGTGAATATGATGAGTTTTTAGATTGGAGAGTAAAGAACTCTTATAAATGAAGTACTCTTCAGTATTTTTTGCTTATTAATTGATAATTATGTGGAATTTTAAATGATAAGGATCATGAAGAAAAAAAATGTAAATATCAGTGTGATATATAATATTTTATTAAAACAAATCGATAGATTAGCAAGGTATTAAGACTTCAATACAACAATATTCAAATACATCTGCTATTAAGTTTAAGCTAAATATTTTAGAAATTTTTCTTGTAATATATAAAGGCTACAATTTTCTAAGCCGTTATAAGTATGCAATAAATATATTAAAGAGACATATTTATTTTTTTATTACTTTTATAAAATACTGAAATTAATGAAAAATTCTTTTAATATCATACTTTTTTCGTAAGGTGTTATATTTAATATTTTTAAAATCAGTTAAATCAGTGACAAAAATAATTTATATAGTTAAAGTTACTTAAGTAGAAGAAGGTGTTTATTTCACATACAGAAATCAGCCCAATCGTTAACACGAAACTACAATTCAAGCTTTAATCATAAATATAACAACAATAATTATTACTCAATTAATATAATAATATTTAATTTATTTATATTGATAAGTGAATAGTTAATTTAAAGTAATTTTTTTCTTGTATTTTTGATTTTATCATGATGTGATTTCTTATTCATTATTCATTCATTCTTGCAGATTTTCTATATTTTAGTAGCAATTTTGTAAAAGAGAGTAGTCCAAGCACTTCCCCAAAGCTGGACTACCCCTGATACAATTTACATACACTTTTAGATGATGAATACTTTATCAAGCAACATCCCAAAGCTTTATGGTAAGTGAAAAATTGCCAAGCTAAAATTTAAACCCTTTAGTTGTCTTCAAACAATTCAGTGACACGATTGTGCATTGGTAATTAATTATTTAGCACAATCAAACATATGAAAGTTATAAATTTGAATATCAGAGAGTAAAAAAGAGGTAGAAAAGGGAGTGTCATTGGACACTCTGCTCTAAGCCAAGAAGAGATAATAGACTATCATAATGTTTGCTAACGTTGTTATATGGAATACTAATACGCTTTCTAATTTTTGTTTTTATTTTAATTTATGTGGTCGATTCTCTTACTTCGCTTAACAACCTTAGGTCTGATTTCGAAGAGAAAACCTTCCCCTAATTTTTCTTCGCGAAAAGACTTCCGGTCGTTGGTAAAGTTATTTTTATTTCTCAATCCTCCGATAATGTATCTGTATTGAATTCTTGATAATCTTATATAATAAGTAACTTTTTGTAAATTACTTTTACTAGTTGTATTTTAATAATTCATTTCTTCTAATTCTTTTAATTATCATTATAATCGTGCGCTTAAGTTATTTATATTTTTATTGAGTTTCAATTAGATATTTCCATGCGATAGAAATTTATCTTCGCTGTTTTGAGTATTTTTATTAAATGCTTTAATATTTTATTTGAATAGTTGTAATGATAGCGTATTACAATCACAGAGTATAGCACAGTCGCTAGGCGTTATTAATTCTAAGCCTACTCGACAGTTTTATTTATTTTCTTGAGACTATTGAAGTCTCTATGTTATCATAAGAATGATAATTTTCCAATTATTTTTTTTTTGTCATCTTGAATCTATAATCATATACATTTGTATTCGTTATGTTAATTATCGTTTATGTATATATTTTTTGCTCTATTTTCTTTTTTTCTCAACTTAATAATGATATATGCGCGACAGCGTAGGCACTAAATTGCAAAAGATTGCAGAGATGTAATCTCTTATCTATGGTTATTATTATTACGAATGGAGTATTACCATTTTTTTTTATTATTCCGTCATAAGTATTTTTCAAATGATCGGTATATGTTGGACCAACTTGATCACTAAGGAGCTATTTAAATATTTTATTTAATAGCTAACTCCATAGATCAGGTATATAGTTCATAGAAAAAAGGGAATCTAATATAAATTTTTGAGTGTAAAGTGATTGAGGATTACTGTGACCTTATGTGCATATATAAATTTTTATCTAGACTTTTATAATATCATCATAAATAATTCATCCTAAAGTGTATAAAGATCCAAATTTTTTTCTACATTTTCTTGGCTAACTTTCTAAATTTCGTGTCTTATCTTTTTTATTGATTAAACTATTATTCTCTCTCTTTTTTTTAGCATTAACATATTCGTTAAATGATCATTCTTATCTTTTTTTAATTACAACATTGTTTTATAATTCAATTATAAAACACTTTAGTTGAAACTATCTTGTTTTATCTCGTGATTTAAGTGATAAAAAGGTGTCAGTTTATATATAATATATATAGTTTTTTGTATTCGTATTGAAGATATTTTTTAATACTTTTAATTTACCTAGATAATTATTAGATAATTATGCAGTATTAAGAATAATAATATTAATTTCTCTAATCCAGGCATGATGTTGATTCGAACTGTTTCGTGTGGTCCCCTCATTCGTGTGTTTCAATAAACTTCATAACAATCCTCCAAATAATGGTATGCACTGCATAATTTAAATTATCTAGATTCTATATTGTCATTCGTTTATGAAAATCGTTTTCACACGTGACATTACGAATCCTAAATTTTTATTTAATTTCTAATACTTTGTTCACGAAAAAGTGGCACAAAAAAACTTTTCTCTCGAATATATATGTATATTTTTAAGTACATTCATCATATTATATATTTTATTAATTATAACTAATATTAACAATTGATGATTTTACTGTTAATATTAAAAATAATTAATAAACTCTAGTTTATTGTAATAGCTAATTATTAAGTATTTCAATATTTAATTATTCTATTAATCATGGTTTGTTTTTGGTTTTCGAGTGAGCCAAAAATTAGGCAAATACTGATAAAAAGAAGATTAAGACTGAAATAAGAGGATGCAAATTAGCGCATTAGTTAGTTAATTTACTGACGACATAATTAATCTGAGCTCATTCATTGATCGTTGACGTTGGGTTAATTAGATAATAAGATGAGCATTTAAAGATTAGATGAGTCGTAAAGATGAGTAAGAGCCTACGCCTTAGCTTCCGTGATCTCCACAGTGACGTTCTCCAGCACTGGATTAGTGATGTTGCTGCCGGCGTTTGGTGGTGATTTAATTAAACGGCCTGAGGCTGATATTGTCGAGGCATTTCCACTGCTCCCACGACTGCCACGCCGTGATCCTGCACGAGACCCTGACAATCAGACAGCTGTCATTGAAGTTTCTCGAGGAGGATCGTAGCATCCTAATGATGAATATGCCAACAATTAAGAAAAACAAATTTGTCTGTTTTCTTTTACTTTGCTTTTTGTTTTTGAAAAATTTCTTTTTAACTAACAAATATTTCTTTTCACAGACAAAACTATTTTCTAAGCAACATATTCAACGCGAGTTCAACAGGCAAATCATTTACTTCAGCAAGCAACTATTTTCACGTCGCTCATTCAACTACTAAAGAACATATCTGTATACAAAACTGTATCTAGATTAGAACACTTGAAGATGGTTTTAGAAACGTGTTCTAATTTATGTGATGGATGATGGTTGAAGAATTAATGATGTAGGTCTCTTTCAATGGTTAAAACAAAAAAGTATATCTTACCTTACAATAACTACTTTAACATTGGCAATGAGAAAAATATTTACATATACAAATAATTATTAGAGCAACCATCTCTTCGCATTTCAATTGCACACAAGTCAAAATCACTCTTCAAACGACAAATAAATTTACAATCTAAATTCAAGATCAATTTTAAGAGTATCTTTTTTACAAAGCATCATCAAAAAGTAAAATAAAAATTCCCAATTGAATAAAAAGTTCAGATAAAATTTTTTTCTCATTGTACAGGTGAAAAGAATAGTGAGGAAAAGTAGTCATGCCCCATACCTTCGATGAGAAGTAACTTGAGATCGCGGTTATCATCAAGACATGCGAGATAAACACTCTGTAATTAATTCAACACTTTACTGAATCATCGTATATCAACACAAGGAAAAGTTTGACGAAGATCAATAGGATAAAGGAGATACTCAAAGGTCTAGAGACTATCTATAGCTTTGAACGATTAAATATATATATATATGTATTTGTTGTTCTATGAACAACAAGGGATAAAGATAACTCGATAATAAAAGTTGCTTGCTTAGTAATTGAATTGATAAAAACCCGTACTGTTGACTCGCTGAGTACTTTTCGCACCTTGCTGCGAACCATTTGGTGAGTGGGCTCTTAGCGATGCCATGGAGGGTTGCCTTGAGGGTCCCCGTTGACTAGCTCTCGACCCACGTCTCTCCTGAGCATGCAGAAGCTTGTTGTTGTCACGTAGCAATGAGACATTCATCAGCCGAGCATTCGGAGTGTTGAAGATTGTGCGGTTTTCACGCCAACGTGCCCTAGAGACATTAATAAAAGCTTTTCTATGCTTCTGACAGCTTCATTTTATAAGATATAAGCACTTACTTGCTAAACAATCGGAGTACGACGCAAATAATGATGAACATGAGTGCCATCGCTACTAGAATACCAATCATTGCTGGATCGACATAGCGTAAGCTCTCCTCTTCTTTAACTTCAGCTGTAAATAATAAATGTTTTATCTATTTTTAAAAAAATTATTGCAATTTTATTAAACACCAAATATTACTTGAAGAGCTTATAGGATTAATTGTGTTTATTTCTACTATGACTATTAATTGAGTTATTTTTATTTAATTTACTAATAAATATGCAATTAAAAATAATCAAAGATTATTTTAACATTTTTTTAAATACCTTGAGGTATTTATTATTCATTGCACGAATGAACTTGTATTTTTTCACAAAGTAGCCCAGTTAACTCTTCATTATTATAATTAATCGATATTTATAAATAAAATAGCTAGATAATAACTTTTTTCTTTAATATATTCAATTTATTAAGTATTAATTTTACCCAGGCATTCGATAACTCCTCCTGGCTGCATGACAGGAATTTTTTCAAACTTACAAATACACCGACCATCTCGACATTCGGTTTGGGATACCTTTAACTCACATTGTTCCGTGAAGAAACATGACTCGTTCACGTTGGCAACTGAAAAATATTCAGAACGTCTACAAAAGAATTTCATATCAAGAATATTAGATTATTGATTTATTTAATTAATTAATGCATAGTTGAGTATAATTGGAGAACGTGACTTCTGTTATCTCTTAATTCGTTTTAATTAAATTTTCTTGAATTTTTTAATGATTCATAATTGATTAATTTTTCAGCAAATGGGAATACTTACGATGACCACACTTATCGATATGATTTGTAGCATGGAATTCCTCTCTACAATAACATCTCTTAACTCTTGGATCACAAAAAGAACCGTCGAATCCACACTCCCAGTCCTCTTGGCAGCCATCTCCAAACTTTTTTGTTCCTCGATTAGTATCTGGGAAAGAAGAAAACGTTGTCTTCAAGTGAGTAGATAAAAGTCTTAGTCGACTGTTTTATTGTCAAGCTTAATAAAGCTTCAATTCTATTCTTTAAATTAGTCAATGCGGATAGATACTAAATACTAGAATATATCTAAAGTAACACAATTCATTATCACAATAAAATTTAATTTTTTTTCTCAATTTAATGAATAGATAAAGTAACAAAATTATCAAGATATAATGCAAATTTGTTAAAATTTAATATAATTTTCTCTCTAAAAGCGAAGTTAATTATACTTGAAAATAAGACTAATAAAATGAAAAACAATTATGTAGTTACAATGGTAAGCTTAAAATATTTTTAAATTAATTCATAATGAAGCCTTAGAAAATCAAAGTCTCTTATTTTACTTTTTGGTACCTAAAACCCTTTAAATTATTCTCCATAAATATTCTATGACCCCGGTATATAAATTTTTACCGTAAATCTTAGTTTTCGTTCTTAATTCATTAATATTCATAGATATTTAGACTAAAAATATAGAGAAAGTGTCATAAAAAGACCGGGATTACAGAAAGCAGATTTTTATGATTTATATCAGTTTGTATAAATAACAAGATGACACTAACTAGTGTTCATTTAATTATTTTACTCATCACTTGAGGAGCAAGTTATATAAGCAAGAATTAATAATGAAAGAATGGAAACAGAGAAAGCTTTTGAAAAAAGGCTTTCTTCAGAAAATTCGACTGAAAGAGAAAAAAGCAAAGTTTCTGCCTTCATAGCAATCTTTTTAAAACTATTCTACTGCTTCATTTATAAAACATGAGTGACCACATGACATTTATATAAATTTGTCTGTCGTCAGGAAGCCTGGAATTTCGTGAAATGCCTTAACAATTTTCCTTCTCCATGCTTTTCTAGAATAGTAATATTAGTAATCCCATCAGATATATTGTATGGACCAACAGGGCATGAACTGCCGAATTATTTGCTCCTCTGGTGCATGCACGAAGCCCATGTTATGGTCGATAAATATGTAGAAACTGATTGGGGCATCAATAAAATGAATATCTTGCTTCAAGCAATAGAAGTCCAGCTTCATTTACACACAGGATTCCATGCATTTGTTGTCAAAATTTATGACAATTCATCGCTATCGTTGAAAATGACAATGATTATTATTTATTTATGATTTATAATGATATTGAGATATCACAATTGAATTGTGGATGTATGCTGCCCGTTAGGTTGAAGGTAAATCTTGCAACACAAAAAAGTGGGTCGTCAGTATGGCAACTTGCCAGAGTCATTTATTTCTCTTTTTTTTAAAGCTCTTTCATATGGAGATACTCCCACGCCACTGGCATCACTGATCTCCAGATCTAAACGAAAGTTCCCGGCTTCTGCGTTTGTACTTTCAAACCTTTAGTTAGAATGCTTCAAGGATAGAATATTAAACTTTCCTTCAGTACTTGAATTTTCTAAAATTTGAAAATAGCCTAAAGAACTTTACTTATTTTATGTAGCAACGAAATGTAATTCTTAGATAGAAACACGTTTGCAAAGATGTTTGAAGTAGAGAAAATACAGTAACTTTTGTTAGTTTTAAGTAGTTATTAAATTATAGTAAATATTGCTTGACATAGAGAAAATGTTTAAATACCTTTGGCTTAAATAACAGACTGGCTTAGGTTTTGTAATTTTATTTACTTGTTGAAATTAAATCTCATATGTTACTTTAATGTATTCAACTATCACAAAAATAATACTTTATAATTAAAGTTGATATCATTCTATACAATTAAAATAATTACCAAGCTATTCTCTACTTTCAATAAAATTTATAGCATTACTCATTATTAAAAAAAAATAATGACTTTTTAGAAATAACTTTAACAATATGATGCAACATATTTTTAATTATATGAAATAAGTAAAATTTATGTTGATCATCACCTGGAATATTTCAGCTTTCTTTTACTTGGATAAATTTCCCAATTACCGTCTTTTTTTTACAGTCACGTTGTAGTTGTATAAAAAATCCCAAATTGCTTCACAAGAGTGTATGTTTTTTAGTTTGATACTGCTATAAAACTGCATGATTTATCAAATCGATGCTACTGAATAAATTTGTTACTGATTTTATTCATGAATGAATTAATTATTAAAATTCAAAAAAGAGTAGATTTAAAGTATTAAATAATCTATAAATAAACTTGATGATACATTTGAAATATAAAAAATTAGATTAGGAATAAACTTAATATTTTTATATGATTAGAGTATGAGTGTAAAATAAATATTATTTCGTCCAAAGTCAAAAATTTCCATGAATAACTCACTATATTAAATTAATACAAGGATGAATATTTTATAAACCAAGAAAAGAACTTTTCATTTTATTATTCAATCCAGCTTATATTTAATCGCAATAACGATATAAATATGTAATAAACAGTTGAGCTAATAGATATGAATAGGGATCGTTATCAGTAGCTGGTGGATTTCTTTCTATATTATATTTAATGAAATAAAGTAATATAAAAGTTCTATTATATTATTTTATTGCAATATATAGTATATGAAAAAAGTGCATTATGTAGAGACTATTGAATAGGTTCGTTAATAGCAGTCATGGTAAAAATAGTCACTCAACGAACAATGCTCACTTCTAACCTCTTTATCTACCTCATCTTTTCTTCCAACATCTTTTTGTTGATTCATTTGCAATGAGAAAATCTGCATCAAAAGTCTTTGGCCATTATATTTCTTTAGCCATTCAAATAAAAAAAACTTTACTTATTTTCATTATACATTTTTTTTGTCTCATTAACAGAGAACAACAAGGTTTGTATCTTTATTTTCATTTTTTCTTTGTTTCATGTGGCTCGATTACCTTTTGACACACTGGTTTCTCAGTCACAACAATAAAGGTGAAATAACAATATATATGCAACAAACATTACGGAATTATCCCTTGCGTGATATTGACGTGTATATGTGTAAAAATATGTAACATAATCAACTGTTACAACATGCATAAAACTATATATATATATATATATTATATGCTATTACTATAGGTATGTACGTGTTTAATCTCTCGTAATCCTAATCGGCACCTTTCATACTGCATGCAATTTACTCTCTCAAAAACCCTTTAGTTTTACTGAGAATTTTCAAGCTTATAAAAGTCACGTTCTCTTATTTATCTGGAGCTTAATTTTTCTCTCTTCTTTTGCTATGTTCTTTTCTTTTTAGTTGTCTGCCGAGTCATCGAGCTGCTCCACTTAAAACGCTGTCTTCATCATATATCTATATATGTATATATACATATATACTACAGCCAAAAGGGTATTGAAATCTTATCAGGAGCTTTTTCTCTACTTTTATTTATTCACATTTTTTGTTTATTTTCATACTATTCGAGACCTTTTATTTGATAATTCAATGAATAGTGAGAGAATAGTCAGCTGATTTTGAGTTAATAAAAAAGAGGTATTTTAAAAAATAAATAATAATTTATTATAATTTATGTTAATTTTATTTAAAAATCATCAATAATATTGTAATAATTATTCTTTCTTTGTTTTAGAAGATGATAAAGATTGTCATCATTTAGTTAATAAATGAATTATAAAATACTTTAATGCCATGAAAGTGCATCAACAATCAAAATATGATGGAAGTGTTAAACCAGTTTTAATCAATTTTAATACCAATTAATTATTTACACTAGTGGTCTAAAAATTTCTGGACATAAAATCGAATTGTTGGGAAGTTATTAAATGATTTTATTTTAGTTTATAGAACTTTAATAAAGCAGTAAAGACATGACTAGATTGAGTACATGAACTGATAAATAATTTACAGTCATTGAACAGTTTATGCACACAATGACTTACATCTACCAGCTGGCTTTTATTTAAATTATCTAAAAACACATTTTATGTTTTGTGTTTAAGTCAATTAGGACATTAAGGATCATTAATTACCTTAGTTTACAAGTTTTATAGTTTTGGCTGATGCTATAGATAATGATTATATTAGCTCTGTGATCATAAAGTTAATGCAACTAACAATAAATTTTTATAGCAACCACTTTTTTTCGTTTTAAATTGGTTGGAAAATTTTCTATTCTCTCTAAAGGGAACATTTCTGTTGAAGCAAAGGAATAGTGAAGTGTAATTTTTTGTGCTTCCAATAATCTTGTTTTTTTTTTAGGATTGTGCTAAGTGTTTTGTGAAAATTGTTTACTGTTGTGTACAAAGTATAGTATGTAAATACTTGATGTGCTATCAAAACGTTCCAAGATTATGTTAGCGTATGTTACATTTTATTTCACTTTTTTTCTGAACACCACTGAAAATTCTCTCTCTATATACGCGATAAAACAACTGTAAGCTAGAAAAGCATCACAATGTCTCCATCCAGATCACATAAATAAAGCCAGGCGGTTTTAGGTATACTTGTGAAAATCTTCTAAAGAAATTTTCAAGTATTAGAGATGTGCTCCAATGAAATATGGTTACATTTTTAATTTATACTTAAAATTCAATAGTTTGGAAACTAGTTTGAAAATTACAATTTTTTTAAAACCTCACTTTAGTTAAAACTACATTTTTCAACACTGTCCTCATTAGAAGAATGTTTGTAAAAATTTTTTTTATCACGTCACATTATTTCATTTAATACGCAAGAGGCTTTCTAAAATTACTTTTTTCCAGATTATTAAATTGTTTGTGGTTACGAGCATTGTGAAAACAGTTTTGAACAAGGGAAAAATTATTTTTGGAAACGTAAATATGTTGGAAAGCTATTACCGAGTCATACAAGTGATAAAAGACTATAAATTCAACAATCTAATAACTGTTAATACTTTCAGATAATGAAACAGTTGCCTTGAACTTTTACGTGATATGAAATCTTTTGAAGATGAAATATGATAAATTTTTATAATATTTTCTTATGGAACTTGATATTTTAAAATCATTGGATAAAAATAGTTCAAAAATAAATATTAAGTTGTTTTTAACTTTCACATCAGAATATTTGGAACAAAACTGGTTGGAGATACCAAATTTTAGATACGAATCTTTACTATCTGAAGTTATAATTGGATTGGACTTTGAAAAACTTTTGATTCAATGGATCTACCTTGAAAGTAATATGACAATTTCGTTACGTGATAATGAAAAATAATGATTTAGATAATTGTTTAGTCAGTACGAGCCAAAGATATCCGCAATGCAGACCGCAGTAAAGTGCAATCGTTTTCTCTCTCAGTTGACGTCGCGCGCATTTGCTCTACACGAAGCCTTGAAAGTTCCAAATCGCGGAATGATAAATCGACATGTAATTCCATGTCCTTTTATTATGCTTCTTTACTCATTTACTTTAGAAGAAACTGCAATAAAAAATGATGTAAAGGAAATACAATGAAAAAAAGAGTAAAGAAACTCTTTTTAATGGATGTATTTAACAAAAAATGCTTTAAGATTTTTTTCAACAACTTTTCAGAACAAGTTAAGCAACTAAATACGGTCATTAAGTACAACTTTTAACGTTAAAAAATATTTCATAATCATTGTGTGCAATTTTATGTTGTCACGAGCAAGCACTATAAATAATGTTAATACACAAATGTGTGTGTTCATAAACAAGTGGCTTATGCAAGTGACATTTACTAAAAGAAGCTTTAATATTATTATAATGTTAATAATTGGCCAAAGTTTCGATACGAGTATACTTTAACCTACATATATTTGACACGTCTTTATTCGTGGCCTACTACTACCTGACCGCTTATCAAATGCTCTACTGGGAGTTGGTCAGATAAAACGTTGATATGGACTACTGGCGTGGCTGACCATAACTCTGGTTGGATCCAATTTATTATCTCAATTACAACTGTGGATTTTTCCGATTTTTTTATTATTCTTTTCATCGAATTCATTTAGAATAATGGAAAAAATTGAAACAGAAGGGAGAAGTAATTTGATTTATTTAGTAATCAAATCTACAATGAAACAGTAGGCGAGAAAATACCGTTTGTTATAATAAAACTTCATTTATTTACATTATGAGGTTTGTATAAGCTTTAATTTAATTATGTTTTTTATATTTCATCGTTTAATATAAAATTTTTGTTTTCATAAGTGATATTGTTAATGTATATTTCTTCTTCTTCTAGGATTTTGGTGTGAACTTTTATTATTAAAATGCATCAAAGATATCAAAAGTGTTAAGAAGCTTGGAACATAACTATCAAGAGTATTAAGGGAATTTCATCGTGTAATGACTCTCACAGAAAGATTCCAACTTTGTTTAAAGTTAATCTAAAGCATTCTAAAGATAAAAATTTTATTTTTCAAAAAGAAAAGAATATATTTTTATCTAAAGTTTTAAATTACATTGTCTATATAGAAGCCAAAAATTTTAAGTTTTCGTTTAATCAATCAATAAATTTTCCTACTTGAATTTTTGTTATCAGCAAAAAAGTTTTGATATTTTATATAAAGTTTCTGAACAATGTTCATTATTGATTTATTACGTATTATTATATACTACCCGTTGAAATAATTACTACTATAAACAACAAAAGGAGTAAGTTCATTAAATAATTAATTCTTCTTATAGTATTGTAGAATTTAAAATGTTTTAATCGAAAGATAAGAATCCCAAAGTAAATAAAAGAAGTAAAAATGAATGCACAAATATTTGCATCTTATCAGGTATATCAGAAGGTGAATCGAAGTCATCGCATCATACAAAGGAAGTGGAATTGATGATTAGTTGAACTACTGTTTGTTATGATAAGTAAGTCTACTCCCTTGATAGTCTGGGCTGAACTACGACGTAGTTTAATGCACATCGATATCCAAGCGGTAAGTCAAATATCCGACGGAGCCGCGAGCGTCACCCAAACCGCTATCGACCACGCAACTTACCCCTCAGAAACACAAAGACACTTTGTATTTACTAAGCTTCACTACAAATGAACTATTATGTATTGTACACATGTCTTATTGTTTATAGACCTGATTCAACCTGTGAATATGAAAACACGTAAATAACTACGTACTCTAGAATAGAGTCATTAAACTAATGATCAATATCACGAACCCAAATAAAAGAGTAATATTCAATACTTTCATGCTCAACATGTAAGTATTATTTTATTTCATATATTGTATATATTTTTTATAATCATCTTTTTTAGAAGATAGTTTTTATTGATTAAAAAAAAAAGTACTCGAGATGTAACAATCCGAGAATACAGAGATATTGAGAAATAGATGATAGAAAGAATACATTTTTTTGTTAAATGATTTGTTGATATCCAGCTTTTTTTTTAATTATAAAAAGTTATTAACATTTCCCATGTGTTTACTAAATATCTACTATTGATTAAAAAGAAGAACAAAAAAAAATATATAAAAACGATAAAACAAATTGATAAATTTATAAATTATTTATAGAGATGATGAAATTATTTGAATAAATTTTAACTTTTTAAATTATTCAATTTACTAAATGGCTATATTATGGAAACATTTAAATATTGGTAAGTAAATAAATAACAGTGTTGTAAAAGTTGAATTTTAAAGTGTACAATAAGAAACTTTTTTTATTAATATACATTTTATTTGTTTAGAATACAGAAACATTTTGTTGACACGATTTCATATAGTTCAAAAGACTGGATGTATTTGTAAAATAAAGAAGAAACAGTGAAAATCGATTCCAAAAGCAAACTTTGACGAGACATGATCAAATATTATTGATAGGAGGGAGGAATACATATATTCTTGTTACAGGAGTGATTTAAATCCCTATGATATTTAAGTCTTCCATTTATTTTATTGATAAAATGAGTTTGATATTAATCCTAGAAGGAAGGAAATGTATTCCCTTGATAAACGAATGAAGAAATAAAAAGCCCTATGACGCACATAAATGATGGATAGTCATGCAATAAAAAGGCGTGAGGCCTTTGGAATTGTTGGATTTTTCAATAAACTAAGATTCCATTCCAAGAAATCAACTGTTAAACAAAGAGTATAGATGTAAAAAAAAAGTGATTGGGAAGAGAATAAATGGTATTGAAGAACATCAGGTGCCACATGCTTGCGTGATTACATCACTAGCACAAACTCTATAGTATTCAAGAAAAACACCACGTCATCTCATGCAATAGCATCACAACCTGCTGCTTTTCGTGTGTGTTTTATTCTATTCTACCAATCTAACATTGGTGCATCAATACGGATTTTAATAACGGATTTGGCAAAAAGCCACAGTACCAGTTAAGGTCAACCTTTTCGAGCTTGCTATTTCACCTCATTCTCCATAAATATTTCTATTTTTATGACAAATATTTCTATTAATATATTATCTTATCAATTGATTTATCACTTTTTAATTAATAGTTTTATAAATAATTTTATTTATCAACAATCTTTATTGACAAACTTATTGAACGTTAGAAAAGCCATCAAAATTGTAAACTTTAAAGTGGATCTTGATGTTCATAAAGAAACAGTGATTGAATACCGACAAGAATGAAGTGGATGGATGTTGATGATAATGAAGTAGAAATGCTTACCTATTAGAGTGGTGATCTCCGGGGGGTCCGGGACCCCTTGGACCTGGTGTCCCAGGAGAAGCCATGATCCAAAAATAAAATATATCAGCCGAGTGCCTCCCAATTGCGCCAGCCAGTTAAACATCTCTCAAAAATCCAACCCGGACACTCGGGCCCGACGTTTTCTTTCTTATCATATTACATACTGGCTAAACGAGTTGACGACCGCTCGTCTCATTGATCACACCTCTTTGTTTGTATCCTCAATATGCTCTATTTTGCGTCAATTCACCCTAACACTTGACTTACCTCACTCACTAACTTTCACTGACTTATTTTATGACAAATATCTAGTAATATTTGTTATCCTGTTTGTCTTTGCGATTTAAAATTTTTTATCTGTCGTCTATGACTCAATTCTTGTGACTGCAAGCTCAGTGAACGCGTCACGGTGGAGAAGCAACGCCGAAGAGAAGGATAAAGTGCCGCGGCTTAACGTCGCGACACCAAGGCGCCGGCGCGACCCCTATGAACTATACGACCCTTCTTCACCCTCTCTTATCACGTTTTCTTTTTTGTCTCTCTCTCTTACTTTTTCTACCCTTTCGCTCTAACTCGGTCTTTTTTTCAATAAACACACGCACATTCATGGCTATAATGGCTTTTTATAATGCAAATTTACATACACATGTCCAATTTGTCACTCAGACATTGCTTAATTCATGTCGATTTTCTTTATACATTATCTCATCAATTTCTTCCACTCGGAAAAACTTTTTTTCCTTTATGCGGATAATCGCACTTCCGGGGAAAGAATTATTTTCTCTCCTTATTTATTACAATTATGAAAGCATACATGAAATTTTCTTCTCTTACTTTATCGCGTTTTTGTAATTCCTCTTTTAGGTTTAACTTATAATAAGATTTGATTTGTATGAAAATAATACAGTCCAAGGGTTCTCTGGTGTAAAAAAAAAGCTGCAACTAATCATATGAATATTTTAATATTTTTAAAAAGATATAATCAATCTGTAGTTATTTGCATTATTTATGTAAATGAATAATTCATTAATAAAAGTATCTTTTTATTTTGCAGAGTGAAAAGACGAAAAAATTAGTATGAATATCAGTCTGTAAGTTTACTTGTAGATTTTTTACCAAGTAGCTGGAAGTTTAATTAATTATACTAGAAAAGATGAGAAAAGAAAGGATGAAAATGATGAAGAAAAAAGCCGTTACGAGTTATTTCTCTAGAGAAGTAAAGCAATTTATGAAAACTAGTAAGAAAATATTTATGAGCATTATTTCTAGTATTTTAAGGGCTACATAAGAGAATGGAAAGAACTGTAAAACGTCATGGTCTATTTTCATCTCCTTTTATCGATCATCTTTTGTCATAGAGGAGTCTTCAATAGTTTTAAAATCTTTAAAGTAAAAAAAGGAAATTTTCGGAATTAAACTCACCTCAGCAAATCGCTTAATTAAGTAGCAACATTACTAGATACAAATTGAACTCCAAAGCAATTTTAAACTGATAAGGAAAAAAGGTTGATAAAAAAGAATTTAAATCATTTCTTAATTGAAGTTATTCACTAGAATAAATAGGAGAAATTAAACTAAGTAAGAGCCATTAACTATTTATCCAATAAAACTAGCTAAATTTTCTGTTCAACAAGTAATAGTACATTTCACACCTAGGGAGGGAAAGTAGTCTAGCTCAAACCACGTGTAAAATTACAACCCGAGCCGAAGGCGAGGGTAGTAAACACGTGGTTTAAGCTAGTCTAATTGTCTTCTCTAGGGCTGAATATGATTTTTCGTCATACCTGCGTGGAAAGTTCAACCCCTCTCCAATGGAAAAGTGAACTTTCCGTGCGGGTATGACGAAAAAATATTTTTTTCAGGCCTATAAAAGGTCGATGTTTATCTCGAGAGCTCTGAAATATAAATTATCTTTGAATAAGTATTAACATTATTAATAATTAATGTTATTAAAAATAATGTTAGTTGAAAATGCATGTGGATGCTAATGTCAACTAGAGAAAACCATTATTACTTTTGACGGAATGAAAAATTAGTCATATACTAAATATTGAAAGATATGTCCTTGTTTTTGTTGAAATAATTTTCATAAAAATTTCCATCAAAATAATGGAATTTGATTCAAGTAGTGAATTTAATCCTGGTAATAGTATTTTCAATGAAATTATTGAGAAATTCATTCTACATTTATATAGCCATTATCAAGGCTTAAGTGAATCTAGAAGTAATATGACAGCATCGTAATTTCAAGATTATAATGTTAAAAAGAAATATAGTCACGTTTTTCAATTTGTTTTTATTTCTTGTTACAGGATAAAAAGTTAAGACGTCGAAGGACTGAGATCCTATATTAATCTGAAGGTTTTCTCTTGCGGAAATAATGACTGGTTTCCTAGAAAAAGTGACCCTAAGAGATACATGTATACACGCTATGACAATTATATACCACATTGCATCGTACTGGCCCACTTTTACTGAGCTGTTGCCTTTACGTAATCTTCTTCCTCTCGATAGCTCACGTAATGAAGAACGATATAATGTCCATTAAGGAGATCCAGCGCTTGCAAGAAGTTCTAATAAGGGAAAGGATGTCTGTACTTGTTTTAAAAAAGTACTCTTGATATTTTCTTGACAGCTTGTCTGATAAGATTGAAGAAAAAGCCAATTTTTCTTCCAGTTTATGAAATCGTCAATCATTCCATTCAATAATCAATTAATCTATGACTCGTTTTTGTTTAATCTCTTTTTATTTTTTATATTATAACAATCTAAAGAGATAATGTAATAGTAAAAGATAGCCTTTAACATCATATCAATACAGGATAAATAATTACAGAGAGTAGTATTTTTAACTGTAGTTGAAAAAATGTGATTCTTTATTGCATTGCTTCATCAAGCTATTTGTAGCTGTAACCTTTTTGTCGAGTCAGTAATTTCTCAATTCATATAGAAACATACCTCAGAATCTGAAATTATTCAATAAAATTAATACTATAAAAGTTCAACGCCTCTGTAATATTACACTCACCGTACAAAGTCCGTTTTATGCTATTTTAATGAGCAGCATGAGATATCAATTCAACCCAGAATGTAGCAAAGTTTTTCACAACACTTCCCCTGTAATAATGAATTTATAAAATTTATTAGTTAAATAATCTATTTTTATTTTTTACATTCAATAATGATGATGATGATGCTAGCGATAGTAATGATCATCATTAGATTTTTTTATAGCACAAGTAAAGAAGCGAAAATAAAAAACATTTTCTTCATTTCCATCGTGTACTAAAATGTTCGTATAACCGGTTTTAATGTTCTCTAACTAGTAATACCAAAAGCGTCAAAATCAATCAAGATCTATAACATACTTCGACACATTCACCTTCCAAACTATTTGGTGATTTAATTATTTCGTCATTTGAGTTCAAAGTTCTATAGCTATTTCTGTCAATATGTGATCTCATTAATTATTATTTATTGACTAATTCATTAACATAACTACTTTTGATATTCAATAAACATTTATTCTCTTAATGGATTATTTTAATTATAAGCCTACAGAGAGATAAATAATCTTTTATTATTCAGATAGATTCAAATTTTTTTCTTTCACTTGAAATGTTACTATATTATAAACAGTAAAAGTATAATTTCCTTGTATTTCAAAGAATATTATCATTATTATTGATTCATTCACATTATTGTTATTATTAGATACATGCAAAACAAGGTCAACTGCAGAATAAAAAAGGCTGGAATGTTTTTTAATTAATGTTTTCACTTAAATGTTTGAAAAGAATATTTTTCTTTATGATAAATTGTAGTTTACCATAATTTGTCATATTTTAAATTAAAAACAAGAAGTAAATAGAAGCTTTTGTGATGCAAAAGCTGTACTTTATTACATCACTTTACCAATTAACTAATATTTATAAATAAAAATAATGTACTTACGTGAAATAAACTTGACCCTGGCCCTCCTTTGGGGCATTCCAGATGAGGGTGGCTTCTTGCTTATCTTTAGCATCAGCATGAGTTACTGAACTGCATTCATCGTATGGTTTTGTGTTGGCTGTTTTTGCAAAGCTTCCAATCCATTGATGAGTTCTAGCATCTCTTGCTTGAATAAAGAATCCCTTGAATGTATCACCATTGATAGTCACTGAAAACAGCCAGATAAATCACAGTTTTTTTCAAATGAATTGTAGAAATAGAAAGGAATTTTTCTGAACAAATATCTCTGATTCTACCTCTTGTTATTTTTTAATTACTTCAACTATTGATTCTTTCAATGAATTTTCTATTGTTTGAAACTAATTACCGCTGATTTGTTTTCCAGGACTGTAAGTATCAGATGACGCATGAATATGATAGGGGTTGGTGCTTAAAGGCTGTGCACTGTGTGGTCCATGTTTTGGTTGATTTGGAGTCTCTTTAACACACACGTCGATTGGTGCACCATCAGGAAAACCGTATACAGAGATTATTGACAGTGCGACGACAGAAACAATTAATAAGGATGTCATAGCCATCTTCTTGATTTAGTGTGTTCCTGTAATTCAACCAATTAAAAATGAATTTCAATTAAGATAGAAAAACGAAAAACAAGAGACTCTTCAATTGAATCAATATTTTTTTTTCCATAGAAAATTACTTTTAATAAATGAAAATAAAAGAAAAAAACTTGAAATATTTTAAGAAAAAAATAATATATATATATAAATGAAATAAAAATTTTTGATAAATTTTAAAATCAATCAAGTTTTTCAAGAAAACAGAAAATAAGTTTGTACGTTTTTCTGTAATGATAACTCTCAGGAACAAGTGTTTCTCAGATAGCCGGGTCCTATTGAAAGGACTTGCTAAAGTAAACTGTCAAGCTCGTATGTCTGCAGTCTAAGAAAAGCAATAATACCCCACCATTGAGTAGCTGACTACTCAATTCCCTTATTTTTTTTACCAATTGTCACTTTCACCTCGATCTTACTTGGAGCAGATCACCAGTGATTCACCATTTAACCTTGCCTTGGTACTGTATGATAACTCGTATTAAATATGAAAAGTTTTCCTCTATAAATGTTATTCTTCGTGACGTATATATTTATTACTAATATTCATTTCCTTTTCTAGAGAAACCTTAGATATGTATAAATAATTGTTACATTGATTAATCGATAATAAATTATGACTGATTGCAGGTGCAGATTTTTAACAAAAACATCAAATACTCACAAAGCAAATAAATTATTGATTGAGTATTTAACAATGAACTCAATCAATCACCTTTTCAACAAACAATAGGAACCACTATATAACATATCAATTCATATGCAGCCTCCAGCAAAATTAGCTGCTCTATTGACAATCTATTTCGATACATTATTGATACATAAGGTATTGAAGCATATGAATGGATAAGTGTGCAAATAAAAAATCATAATTTATTAATAACAATTTATTAATAAAGTTTTCCATTAAAATTTATCATGGAAAGTTTTAATTTGAACAAAGGGTATATATCAATGAAGTAAATAATGCTATAAAATTTATTTAATCTGATTAATTAATGCTTTTTCATGATAAATAGTACACATGGCCCAGGATAATAATTTAGGACAATTTATTTGAAACAAATGGATTTAATTTTGGTCTAATGATGATTTTGAATAGCACTATTGTTTGTAACAGTATCGATTGAATTATAATGAAAGGATGCATTACTGCATGAAGAGTATAATCCGAAGATGATAGAATAAATGAAATAGAGTACATGTAGCAATTTATAAAACTACATATTTTTCCAGTACTTATGTTCCATGGTGATTGTAAAACCATATAATGAAATTGATTTAATTATTTGATTATTATAATATGAAAAATAAAATTATTATGCAATTTTCATTACATATATTCATTTAAAGTGATAGCATTAATTTTTTAGTTGCATCAAATGATAAATTCTCTATTAATTTGATGACAATATTAGAGTATAAGTAATTTAGTAGGTCATGTCGTTACATCGATTTAATCAGGATGAAAGCATGTTGATTATCTAAAAATTGGCTGTCAGCAAATTAAAAAAATACAAGTGATAGATAATTATATATAAATTTTTTATTGAATTTTTCGTTTGTATATAAATTCAATTAATAGAATATATAATTTTTTATTAATATTTAATTATGATAATTTAAATTTATATTTCAATATTGGTTTTACCAAGTTCATTACTGAGAAATCTATCTCTAAACAAGGAAATTTATTAAATTATTATTAACTAACTAATATTAAATCTTTCCTCATACTTCACAACTGATTAAATTAAGAAAAACTACGGATAAAAGAAATTATGCAACTTTACACTGTTGATTTAATAATGACAAAGTATGAATAACAAAAATTTTAAAAATATATTTTATAACAACTATAAAATACATATATATATATATTTCTCTGTGTATTAAAATAATAAATAAAATAATGGAAAGATAAATAAGAAGTTTACATGTAAGTATGAATTTGAAAAAATGGTTTGTGCAGGTCAAGCTGTCATATTGATTGGATCGTGACGAGAGGATATTACCAAAGGATATACATATTTGAGTAATGATGGAAACCCGATGGATAATGGATCATATATGGCACATCGCGAATCCTACTAACATGCATGCGACGTGATAACTGTCCTCGTCATGAGTATATGGATATAAGCATTTAACAAGCAAGCATACCCTGCGTGACAGCAGATTGTATTGCGTGTTGGCTACTGCCAAACCATTCGCACGCATCTAGAGAATTCACATACGCGTGCTATATGTACACGAGTCGCATATTCACTTTGACCTGACTCTTGCTGTCTTTCTCACTTGCATGTAGTGTTTTTTATACAGCTATATTGATTTTCTCAGCGGAGCTTATCCAGGGAAGTTGTTGTTACTAAAATATTTTATGCAGATACATAATTCTTTCAATTCATCCTCCATAACTTATTTTATTGTCTATAGACAATAATATATTTTATTCACAATTGTCTTTTAACATTTAAATATATTAAATAAATCAATCATCTCAGTAATTACATTCATTCACGTTATGTCGTGCAAAAATATCTCAGGTAACGCAGAACACCTGAAACTCTGCTGACATTCGATGTGAAATAAACAATGGCATTAAAAAGTTATAGTATCTTACATAAATATAAAGATAAACATTGTTGTAAATATTATACACGTAATCATATTAAAATAATCGAATGTATTTTTTCTTGTATCCTTGAAAAGACAACGGGGTATGAATTATGTGTCATTATATTCACACGCAATTTTTTCAATTGCATTCAGACTTTTTTCGAACTAAAACACGCAACATATCCAGTTAAAATTAGTGTCAGACAATTAAGAAGGTAGTTGTAATAAGTATGTAAATAATGTATACATAAATTAATAGATTATATAGTAGTAACTAGTTATGCTGTAACTTGACCAAGTATTTACATAACGCTTCAATTCTTTAAATTAATCTTGAGGTAAATCGATGATGATAATAATGATGATGATGATGGTACATTTTAGTTGTCCTTCGAATTAGACTCATGGTATCTACCATTCTCTACGACCTCGATTGCACTCGATCGTGGAAACCATCCTCTTATTCGCTTCTTAGGATCTCCATCCTCCTCTTGTTTTTCTCCGAATAACCAGTATCTATAAAAAGATTAATTATCAAGTTTCATTGTGTAATAAAACTTAAAGAATCATCAATTTTCTATTTAAATAAAGCTTGAGAAAGAATTAATTATAAATCTTATATTTTGAAGGAAGAATATTTCAAAGATTCATTAATCTAAAGTTTAATCGAATTAAAAAGATTTTTTTAATTAATATTGTTTATCATTAAATTGAATTATTGAATAGTTTTTGATAAGAATAATTGTTCACACGAAAAATTTGAATAACCAATTTATCTTGTTCCTTTATGAATAAAATATTCATTAATTCATACGTTTAATTAATTGTTATGTAACAGAAGTTATGTGAACTTAAACCCTACAAGTTATTTAGTTTCAATGTCCTTTTCAACAATTTCCATTAAGCTAATGAGACTTGGTGTGAATAAGTAGAAAAAAAAATAATATAAATGTAAATTTAAAACATAATTAAAGTTAATTTTAGAAAATTTTAAAAATACAAATTAATAATTTCAATGATGTTTCATATACCACTTTGATATTAATTAAAAAAAAGTTATAAATAAACATAACGTGTCAGTGAAGTAGTTTTGAAACTTTTGATGAAAAATTCATTTTTAATTTTATATTCTTTGTCTCAGTAAAGTATTCTAAACATTTTCACTATAATATACATACTTTCGCCACCGAGTAACAACAACAACATCATTAATATTGAGTTTAATCCTCGGTTCATCTGTACAAGGTGGATGACATACAACTCGCCATCCATAAGTGATAGGCACCCAAGAGCCCGAAACAGGAGATAAAATAAGAAAGACTCGCGTACGTTTGCGCTTCTCTAACTTTTGATATGTTTGTTCCACCTTAAAAAAATGATTATTCATTAACGTCCTAGTAGGAAGTTATTGTGATGGGGTCAAATTTTGAAATTCGTAATTTTATCATATCTTTACATTTCGAGACATATAAAAGCATATTAGAAGGTTTAAAAATTGATATATGTATGTATGTGCATGAGTGCGTGTGTATATTTTTTTTTCGTTTTCGATATTTCGAGAACCACTAAAAATATCGATTCCAGACAAAATTTATTTTATTTATTTATTTTATTTATTTTTAGAAGATAATACAATGGAGAAGATTTGAAAGGAGTTTGAACAAATTCGGTCGAGTTGTTTTCTTTTTATAACAAAAAGACTGTAAAATAAGTGAAGTAAAAAAGACATTTGAAAAAGATTTTACTTGTTGAGTGATTAATATTGATGAAGACTGAGAAAAATACCAATACAATATGACTGCTAATGACTTTACATGACTCTAAACAATTATATATTATTTATGACAATTTCAATTTATTATAAAAAAAGAAAAATAGTTTTAATTTATTGAATAATCATTGCTATGATTATATTTGATGAATATTAACAAAATATTGTTATAAATAACTTTATGTGATTAAAAAATTGCATATTGTTTATAAAAATGTAAATTTATCATAAACAAAAGAACTCAGAGATGAAAAAATTACGAATTTCGACGAATGGCAAGTTCGTTGTCAAGGCACAAAGTGCGCCCAGATCCATTTTCGTTTTCTATTTCTGTTGAATGTTTTTATATTTATTATGACTTTGTATTGTATTTTATTGTTTAGAGAAACACTTACGGTAAGTGTATATTGATCACAGCCCTCACGAATAGGCCAAACAATACCATCACCTTCGGGTATACAGTTCCACTTGAGAACTTGCTTTAAGTTGAAGAGCCAACCCTTGGAATAAGGATGAATAAACGTGTCATTCGTGCCAAGTCTTCGATTTTTTGCTTTCTCAAGAATCCAATCTTCAGGCCCCGTTGTATTTCGAAGAATAGCTGACATCTGGAAGTAAAGAAGCATCCCAACGGCGAGCACAACTCCAATAGAAAGACCTATTGTAAAGACAACTAAGAATAAAGTGAACACGGAAGGTGGTGCAAACGTGACATTTCTTCCGGAAATAACGGTCATCAACCAGGACACCAAAATAAAAGTAGAAACACAACAACCGCCTACGGCACTTGCCAAAAATGCTGTGAAAAATCCATGATTATAGTGCCCAACACAATTGTTGATCCACGGACAATGATGGTCCATTTTTAAAACACAGCGTTCACCTAAAAAAATATAATTAATTAGTTTCATTCAATCTTGATGTTAAACCCAGATAATAGAGTACTTTTAAATAATACATTACATTTCCGGCAGTGGTGAGACCTTGGTGCTTTGTAGCCTTCACATACTTTACAATATTGTAAGTATTTTGTGTCGTTTAAATTATTCTGGAAATTATGATATTCAAATTACATTCATAAAATTGATATTGTTATTCTAACTTGTGTTTAAGATGAAAATTTGAAAATTATATAACTCACTGGCTTCCACCCTGAAGGTAAATAACCTGGACCTTCGTAAATTGCGGTAATAAAATGATAAAGTGTTGATGCACTTAAGCTAGAGAAAAGAAGAAAATTAATTGTTGCTGAATAACTTTCGTGGGGTGGCCACCATTGTCTACTACAGTGGATTGTCATTAATGTGATGATTTTGATGATGGCTGAAAAAGAATTTAAAAGTATTTGGTTATTATTTTTACATATAATTAATATAATTGGTAGTTTAAGAAAATAACAGATTTTAATTAGAAAAGTTTTAAATAGCTTTTCACCCATAAAGGTCTATTGTTTTGATTAAAATTAATAAGTTGAGTCAAAAATTTTAATGTACTTCATAAATTTAAGTATCTTATTTTTTTATGATAATTAATTAAATTTGCCGCCAATTATAGTATCAGTGTAGCAACCTTTAAAAATACAGCGATAACTTCACAGTTTTCTAAACAGCCATCATTGTTGAAGTATCATTGTTGGAGTATATTTTACCGGAGAATAAAAATATTTGATTATTTTATATTTTTTACAAAATAAAAACTATAGTTTTATATTTGACGACTTTAAGAATAAGCGAATGCAGAAATCTTAGTACTTATTGAGTAAGCAATCATGAAAAATATTACTAATGTCAAAATAAGACGTACCTAAGGCAGTAAGTGGTCCCCAATGGCATATTCGTTTAAAAGGGCCAAGACACATTTTATTCCAGTGAAATATTTACAGATTTTACCAATATAGAATACTATTGATGATGAAAATTCAACTTTATCCAACAATAATCACAATAAAAATACATCCTTTTTCAAGATGATCTTTGTTGTCACACAACCTATCGACAGTTTACATTTTTTTTTATGTTGGCAAGATTGATATTACCCGGTAACTTTGTATTGAATTCTAAAATCAAACGCAAATTACATATCATTTTCCTAATTTTCAAGGACAAATAAATTTTGATATCTTTATTAATCCTATCAAATAATACACATATTAATTTTGTCTAGAAACAAGATTATTTTTGAAAATATTTATTAACTTATTCGTTTATTGTAATATTAATTATATTTATTAATTATTGTTATTCCAAAAATTATAATATTATTAAAGAATCATCATACAATGAATGAGGTAGATAATTCATAATTACTTCAATAAAGAAAGTCCTAATTAATTGCTACTTTCTTTTCAGTGTGAAACGAATGATTTTCAATCAATTCGAAGTTTTCCTAGACGTCGTGCACCTTTACCGAGAATGGCTGATTTAAGAGATCGAATTGAAAGCTCACCTGATCATGATGAAGAAGATAGTTTAGATGAAGATGAGGATGATACTGTGGAAGAAGGTGATGATGATATTGATGCATCTATATGTACAAGCAATCACAACATAAGAGATTTTGAATATGAGCTAGAAAAAAAGTATCATAAACCGAGAGAATACTCTATGCATGCAGAAGATCATAAAAAAAAAATTGAAAAGCAAAAATCCGAAACTAAACAAGTCAAACGCACAGAGAGACATATATTTTGTGGGGTTGCTTTCTTGATTTCTGTTCTCGTTGCGTTATTCTTTACAAGTACTCATTCAATAGCAGACAGCTCAAAAAATGAAACCGAACTTTATCAATCAAAGATAAATCTTATAAAAGAGTTAGAAAAAAATATTGATTCTATCAGTCAGACATTTAAAAAACAGTCTCCGGAAATCTGGGTTGATTTTATCGCAGGAATAGCTGAAGTTGTAAAATACCAAGATAGACCGGCAATATTTATTTTATTTGCTAATCAGGATGATACGATGCTGTGTCTTGCAAAAATGGTTGCTAATGCTAGCAAGGCTGCTCTAGGTTCCGATAACAATCTCTGGCTTTCAGCTTCTGATATAGGCAGTGACTACGGCATGGTTATTAATAAATTTAAAAATAAAATTGAAGAACAAAAAGTTGTGGTAAGCTTTACAAATATAAAATGATTTTTTCATAAATTGTTTGTCAAAAATTGATAAATTTTTTTTTTTGATTACAGATAGTAGATAATTTATTGAATATTGATTCAAAAGCAATGCTAGCATTTCATCACTTATGTGATAAAGAGAATCCTTTAGTTAAAAAAGCAGTTTATATTATCACGATGGTTGCTGAAGGATATTCAACAGAACAAAAACCAATCCAATTTGTGGAAACTCAATTGAGACATAAAATGAAAGATGCTATTAATGAAGACAAATTACAGCCACTGATTACGAGGATAACTGATGGACCAATTATACCTATTCTACCGGAACCAGATTTCCGTAGTTGTCCCCTTCGTTATTAAAGTCCATAAAAATTGGTAATATTAATATTTTAATATTTATAGTAAATATTGAGAATATCTGTATTCTAAATAATTCTAAGAAAGCAATGTTTATAATACTTTCAATTGTTATTTATAAAATAATGTATATTACTCATTTTATAATACTGAATTTTAATAGTATAGAGAGAAGAAATTAATGTTGTGACAAATGTCGAAATTATTCAATTTTATTTATTCTTTAGATGAAACAATACATAAAAAAAAAAAGAAACGTTCTACGAGGATTGCTTGAGTTTTATTTTTAACAATAAATTCTTTTATCTATGAATCTTTTATGAAAATAAAGCGTCGAGTTATTGACTCAAGTGTTGTATCATGTTCCCTATTTGTTTGTAGAAATAATTATTGAGTTATTGGGAATTAATAATTTGTTTGATGTAACACAGTCAACAGTCCCCGTATTGTTTCACATTATTCATTTATTGTTTTATTGTATAAACCAAATTCATTGCCAATTTATGCTTTGTATTTACAGTTCTTTTTACTAAAATAATTGTTTAATTATTAAATTCGTATTCAAATAGATAAAAAAATATTATAACAATTGTTTAAGCTACAAAAATAATTAAATTTGGAAACAATATTCATTAATTTATCATCAAAGTCATATTGTTTCGAATATATAATGTTGTAAAAGTTGATGGTATATAATTTTTATTAAAAAAATTTATCTTAAAATTTAATTATGTGATTAATTCATATCACAAATTGCAACACTACTAAATAGATTACACAATTTTCTTAACTAGCAAAGTAACGTTTAATACTTAATTCGATTAAATTTATAAAATATTTATATATCTTCTACATAAACTGGCAATGAGAGTTATTATCGTCAGTATTGTATTTATATAAATTCTTTACTGAAATGTTTTTTCATATTTCTCTGTCGCACTAGATCAACTAAATGACATATTATGATTAGACTTCTTCTTTACATACAGTAAAGTTAGTAATATCGTCAAAATCTAAATAATACATTTATACAGTTACAAACCTTTTATAAAGAATGTCAAATCAATATTATGAAGTATGATGGTTTGACATTTTATTTTTTCTGTTGAAAAACATGCTGAAATAAATAATCGTTATACAAAAAACAATAAAAAATTATATAAAAGTTTTTGAATAATTAAATTATACATTTTGCAATGACATTCAATATAAAAGGTTGTTTAGTTAAATCACTGGCTCCGCATTTTAGTAAAAAACTTTGAAATTGGTCACGTACAAGTTTGATGGTCTAGTTTATTTTCTTTATGCCGATTCGTACGTCTTAAAAAATTCAGTGAAGAAGCCTCTGAGGTGTTATAAGTTATTAATGAACAGTTCTAATAAATTCTTTAAACAATTATTATTTATCCAAAATTTGATGCGACATTATGTTTTCACTGTTATTACTAATCTTATTTTTAATATTTTTTTTAACTTATTCTGTCGAGACTCTTTTTAAGCTCTAAATATGTAAACCTCAATTTTCATGTTTTTGTATAATTTTTTTTCATAGATTTAAATCATGATAAACAAATTAAAAATCTTATGATACAATCATAACAGGACACATTTACGTCTAAAAAACAGTAATTATATTATTGTATATTCTATACAATATAATATAAATTTTGGCTATGACGATTAGAAAAAAACCAGTATAGAGCTGATTAATTAAAAATAACATTTGACATTGCAATAAATTAAGAATATCAGGGTACTATTGACAGCTGTTACCAATTTGTTGATTTTGTTTCTCATCGAATATTTTAAGTACTTCAATGAGAAAATAATTGTTGAAATAATGATCCCCGATGTATCTTATCACTTTTTTTAAAGTCCAAATAGACCTTCTCTACATTTTGCTCTAAATTTATTGAATTTTTTAGGAAGGTTTGAACTCTTTTTTTAAGATCTTATCAACATTAGCGTATTAATTATGTTATGATTAAAAATCATGCTCGTGCAAAACTAAAATTGAAAGTTTTGAACAGGCAATTGTGCTGAATCGGGAGAGTCAAACTGAAATTGTTGGGCTTGAGTGTCAACTGAAGGAGCAATTCTTGTATCTTCTTCTTCTGAACCAAAGTAACGTTCGATTATATCGAAAGCCTTTTGATAAATCTCCATATTTTGATGGGATTGCAAAAATTCTATTTTATCTAGGCCTACGAAAAAAAAATTATTCCGTTTGAAAAAAATAAAAATAATTAAAATTTTTAAAAGTAATTAATTACTTACCATAACATTCTTCAATTATAACCGTGTAAGGATTAATACCGTTATGAATGCTGGCATCTTGTTCTCCAAGTCTGAGAATATTTTCCAAACCATTTAATGCAACTTGAACAATTTTAGGATCCATAACCGTTAACAAATCACAAAGAGGTGGAATACATCCTTGAAGTACTAAATAACGAATTTGATCGGGAGTACCACCACTTGTTGCATTCGTTATTGCCCAGGTAGCCTCTTTGCGAGTTTTGAATTCAGCTTTACCGAGAATATCAATCAATACGGGAAATATATTAGCATCAATAACAGCCTAAAAATAACCAACTCCGTTAATCTTTTTGTTACATTTACCAATATATTAACAGGAAAAATAATTCATAATCAATTTACTTGAATTTGCTGAGGATTTCCAGCAGTAATATTTGAAACAGCCCAACAAGCTTCCTTCTTTATACTCTCTTTCAAAGAACTCATTAAATGAAGAAGACACGGTAGTACTGAACAGTTCAGGACAACTTGAGTTTGCACATCATCACCAGTTACAATATTACCAACTGCTCTTAATGCTGCACTAACTACATTATGCTGTTCATGCATAAGTAATTCAACAAGACGTCGGCAAACACCTGCATCAATAACTGCTTGAATTTTATGATTTGGACCATCACTGAGATACGAAAGTGCCCAGCAAGTGTCAGCAAGAACATCAAAATCTGTATGGTTTAGAAGATGAGCAAGTACTGGTAGACATGGAGACACTTTCTGGAAGGATGGGGCTGGATTTTTTCCACGGCAAAGATTCGAAAGTGCCCAGACAGCATTACGAGTCATAGAGAGCCGAGTAGTCTTAGATAAAAGCTGAAGAAGTGGTGGTAAAATACCACTATTGAGTATGTGATCCCTACAGTCTGGACTATCTCCAGCAATATTGCCTAAGGCCCATACGGCCTGTTCTTGTACATCTTCATAGGGTGAACTCAACAATGTGATAAATGTAGGAACTGCTCCTGCTTCAATCACCATATGTGTTTGCGGTGAAGTTCCACTTGCAATATTCGTCAATGCCCATGCTGCTTCAAATTGCAACGTACAATTCGAATCATTTTTCAAAAATTCTACAAACCGGGGAACAATTCCTGTTTGAATTACTTCATCTATGGGTGGATGAGGCTCTCTTGATAAAAGTTTTCTAAATTTTTGAGTTGCTGCAACCTGCTCATCGACATTATTACTATATAGAGCCTCTATCATGTCTTTTGTTATTACTGCAGGTTGCTGAAAGTTTAAATATACTAGTTATTGGAAAAATCTCATCACAGTGGTCATTAGAAACATTTTATGAATTTACCATAATCGGTGCTGGATCAAGATAGTCCTCAGCAGTAGGAAGACTCGCTTCGTCCGCACCAATAGTTGGTACGTTACGTCTTTTCGATAGTTGCTGTTCTCTTTTTTGTTTACGAAGTTGAACACCTTCTTCTTCTCGTCGTCGACGTAACTCATGAGAGTCTAAGCCGACGTTTTTATATCGGTATTTATGTTGAGGTCCGGTAGACATCTAAAGTAATTGCCAAAAAAATTATTCATTGATTTAAACCTCATGGAACTCTAATTTACAAAATCAATAAACAGATAAATCCAAGCTAGGAATGATTGAAGTAATAGGAATTTTTTTACCAAAACCAGGTTGATAAATGTGTCAAATTAAAAATGAAGAAGATATTAAGTTTAATTAAAAAAAAACAACGTCGTTGCCCCAGGTAATATATTTATATAAAAGAATTGTAAGATAGCTGAAGTTTGAGTAAAATAAGTGAGTAATAAAATACAAAGATGAAAAGATAGAACAAAGCTATCAGAAATAATTATTCTTTGAAAAAAAGAGGACATTAAAGGGTTATGTACACTCGACATATTTTTTTCCATTTTTATCGTCTTTTAGCGATGAAAAACAATAATTATTGATATTAAACTATCACATAAACAGAAAAATCTTCGAATCAATTGATAATAGAATACGTGGGTGTACATATTCACAAATGCATTCACGAAATTGGACATTTTGGTAACCACAGGTAGCGCGATTGACATTGGAATGAATATAAAGCTTACATTTGATAGAGTATGATTTTAATATGGATTTCACTAATTACTTTGTCGTTGACAATCATTAATTAATAACACAAAACAATCTAATATACTCACAATTGCGTTTTGTTCCGGTAAGAACTTTATACGTTTGATATCATAAGAATGTATGAGCCTACAGAAGAGTACCGCCACACTTTTTTACATATATTGTGTCTGTAAGCCTGAAGGAAAAGACAGCACCTTCGTCGATGTGAACAATCGCGTATGATATCAAGTTCGTGCATACACATTCGAGTTCGTAAATAGGTAGTTGATATCTTTGGAGCAATTACCGACTGTGCAAGGAACTATTTTTCAATTAAAGTTTCCTATCTACAATTTTTTAGATACTTATGACTACAAGCCTCTCGAAAGTTTATCATCCCTTCTTCATTATATTTCTTCTCTGAGCTCAATAATAAGGAGATTATGTCAGCACCCCAAATGATTTATTAATTAAATAATTGGCGTATCAAAATATTACCACAATGTACTGTTATAAAATATTTTTTATTTTGAAAACTATTTATTCGGTGAATACAGTATAATAATTGTTCACAATAGATGTAATTACAAAATTGAAAAAAATTAATAGATAATTAATATGAGAGGTAACAATAGTAATTTTATTTTTGATTGACCCGTGTTATTATTTAAACAACAAATGAAATAGAATTGATCGGTAACATTTAATTAGAGTAAAATAAATATGTAATACAAGAAATATTATTACTTTTAATGGAAGTAATACAATTACATAATAGAGCAGTAAAAACCGTTACATAATTTGGAAGTGAATTATTTTATGATACAAATGTAAGAAAATCAACAAAATATGTTTATACAATGCAATGTAATATTTACATTTAAAATCCCCAGAATATTTTGTTCTAAATTTGAAAGGAAGTTTATGACAATCGTAGAATTTTTTTTATCGGATCAAGATAATGGTCTTCTTATGATTAACACATAGCTCGAAATTTATTAATATTCTTGAATAGCTTGAACTGAAAATTCTTAAACTTGCTCATTTCTTCGACCTTTTGTTTGTTTTCTAGCAGCAGATGTACAAATCAATAAATACCTATTAATTTCCCAAAAATGTAACAAATTATAATTAAGTATATTATTAGATACTCGGAATTATTAAGAAAAGTTTATATTTATTTTTTTTTAGAAAAACCCATCTTAAAACTTAACTTAAAACAGTTTTTTTTTTCTTCACACATAAATATCTTGTTGATAAACTGTTCTAGTAATTTATATTATCTTTCTGTTATAAAAGTGAGCTATCTGCTGTTTTTAAATCTCATATATTGATCTTTGATATCGGTCATTTTTGGATCATTGAGTATCAACATGATGCCATCTAGATCTCCTGTTTCTTCTATCAAATCATCTATCGTATTCCACAAATACGGAATATCATAGTCTTTTTTCTGTTTAATAGATTTTGGAATTCTATCCCAGAATTCACTTAATATACTTTGGTATTTGCTATTTTTTATTGCATAACCTAATTTGTGGTCCTTAATCATTTTTTCCATTATTCCTTGTAGAATCTTCCAAGCTGGTTCACTATCATGCTCTTGATATTGCAATATATCATCTAAAACGGGTATAAGAAACTCATGCCATGGCCATGCAGTCAATAACATATTTAAAATGTGATCCTTTATCATTGGATTTTCATTAAGAAATGATTTTCTATGGTGCTTAGCCATTTGATTAATCAGAAATATACATATCTCGATATATTTCTCTTTTTTAAAAGCGTGATCAACATAATTTTTGTATTGCGCAACAGCAAAACGTGCACAGATTAACACATTTTTATTTTTCTCCTCTTCAGTTAACTTTTCCCAAAAATATTTCAAAACATCACTATATCCTTTATATACCGTAAACCACAATATATTCTCTTCTGCAGAACAATTTTTATCATAAAATGAAGGATGAAGCAAATGACTTTTTTTGAACTCGTTTGCAGGTAGTTCAAAATATTCTATTAAATCAGAATAACTATAATTTTTGATGTGTTTGAACCAAAACGTCTTGAATTCATCAACTGTACCGTAAGGTGTCCAAAATATTTTATCGATATAATTTACGGCATTCTTATTTTCTCCAAATTCAAATTCATGTTTGTACTGAATGTACCTATACCAATTATATATTTTTTCTCCGATCTCCTTCATAATATAAATCAGTACAGTTTCTAAGGGTAAAGGTAATAAAAATTCTTTTTTCGATTCTTCTAATGCTGCTTTAATAAATTGACGCCATTGATTTCTTGTTGCATTTAAATTTAAGTAGTTGTGACGTCGAAAGAATTCAGTTACCTTGTCTTTTATTTCTTTCTTCTCCCAAAATGACGTTGCTACACTCAGAGCTGCTTTTTGTTGTAGATTTAATTGTAATTGAGACTGCATATTGAATATCTTTATATTTACTATTGATAGTTATCACATAAATATAAATTAGAAAATATTACAGCGTTGTTTCACTTTGGCTTCGATTCCTTCGGTATAGAATATCGATGTATATTGTATAGTTAATTGAAAAAAGTAGACCCAATGAAAATTTTCTATAATAATTTATATTTATAGACTTTAATTTAATGATAAACACGAAAACAAAATGATTTAATAAAATTTTTTAGAAAAACTATTTTAATCTCCACTGCGTTTTGAACGTAAATCTCTACTAGAGAAGAGAGATAATATACAAAAGAACTATCCAAATGGGAGCTGTTGGACGAAAATTTATACCTGATGTTATATTACAGGGATACAAAACCAATGCTATAATGCCATATGTCTCTTCAAAAATTTGTCCAACAAATTCTCACGTAATGGTTTTTCTGTATTATTTCTTTTTTCTACCGCCACAACAACATGCAACTAGTGGCGCCATCTGAAATGGAATAGGTAGAAACCTTTTACTTTACCAATAACAGTCAGCAAGTAGAAAATAACCATTTTTACCATCTGTATCGCTTTTTATGTTGTTTGCAACTGCTTCAGTTTAGAAAATCATTTTCAATTATTCAAGTATTCTAATTAACGTTATTAAATAATAATCAAAAAAAAATTAAATTATTGAATTAATAACTAAACAATCATCCTTAGAAATTTATTATAATAATAATTTAAAAAGTACTTTGTTATTGAAAAAATGTCTGTGAATACAGATTGGGATATTGAAAAACACAAATTAGAGCATGAGTGTGACGAACATTGGGAATTAAGAAAAAGATTCTTAGAAGCTCACAAAGACAGATTTCCAGAAGATCAATTAGTTTGTCTAGCTCAAGTATTCACTAATATAGAATTCTTAGGATGTAGGTATGTAAATGTAATATTCCTTCTTTGTATTGTTTAGGTTATGCTTCTTTCTAAATATTCCATAAATTAATTTTTATAGATATCCTCAAGAAACAATGGATTTAGTAGCAGAGTTATCTAAAGATGTAGCTAAAGATTTTAGAGAAAAACAAAAAAGTAAATTACAAAGAACTTTTGTTAAAGCGTCTGATGCAGCGAATGCTAAAGCTAAAGGTACTCCGAAAAATTGTAAGTTAAACTTTTTTCCGTCTAGGTATATGATTTTTTTTATATAATACTAGAATTTTCTAATTTTTTCAGGACAGCAATCTCCTCACATCGGCTCTTCTTCCACTCATGATGGAAATGATATAAAACGACACGAAAAAATAGACGAATTACCACGTAAGAGATTCAAAGTAGTTCATGAACAACCATATGGAAAAATAGTTATTTTAGAATACCCAAATGTAACTCCTCAAGCTACAATTGATTCTTCTGTAAAAATGAGTGGTCAAAAGATAGATTGGAAGTTTGAAACTAAGCAAAATAATAAATGGTAACTCTTTCAAGTAATTAATACGTTAAAAATTTATTACATTTAGAGATACTTTGACCTAATATATGTATTTCAGCCGGTGTGAGGTGTATATAAATAATAAAAAAATTGCAGAAGGTGTTAGTCAAAATAAAAAAACTGCCAAAGCAAAAGCAGCTAAAAATGGTTTAACTGAACTCCAAAAGTATTATTATACCATTGAGGTTTGTTTATATATTTTTAAATGATTATATTAAAAATTTTCACGAATAAATTCGATAAGTTTCATTGAATTAAAGGTAAAACAAATTTGGAAAGATAATGGAACTAAAAAGCAAAGTGAATTAAAATCAGACAGTGACTCCAATAAAAATTCATTAACATCTGATAGTATTGGAGCAAAGTTAATGAAATTAATGGGTTGGGCAGGCGGAGGCCTTGGAAAATTAGAACAAGGCATTATTGAACCTGTCACGTATGTTTAAAAATCAAAAAAAAAAAAAAATCAAAAATTACTCAAACAATTATTCAACGTAATTTTCTAATTATCAGTCTTCAACGACAAATATCTCGCGGAGGGTTTGGATTAAAATTAGATTCTAATAATATGAGTCTCTTCAAGAAAAAATGTCAAGAAACATTACGTCAATACATTGAAGAAGGTGTTACACAAGATTATTTAAGTTTTCCGGATTTCACTAATGAAGAACGAGCAATAATGCATGAGTATGTATAAAACAATTCAATTTTTTATTATCAATAATAATATCAATTTTCATGAAATAAAATATGTAATAACAATAATGATAATATTCAAAATAATAACATATTTTTATATTAGATGTGCAAGGAAATTGGGTTTAAAGTCACAGAGCCATGGTCCTAAAAATCAAAGAACACTATGTATTTCACGCAAAATAAAACCAAGCGATTTAATTTCTGAACTAATAGAAATTGGTGGACATTCTGAACAATATACTTTAAAATCTCCAACAAATATGAAAAATAATTCATGAATTTATTTTAAAAATGATAAAAATAGGCACCGCAATAACATATATACATATATATAAATGATTTGAAAGAAATTTTTTTCATAATTTAATTTCTTGTACAAAATACATATATTTTTTTTTTTAATTCTAACTGCCATTAAATTTAATAAAAAAATTCATTTGCATAAATAATCTTTATATTTTGTTATTATTGAAATCTACTTTGATAATATATTACTAAATATATAGATCCATTATTTTAATTTGTACAACATTTGGAATGCTTTAACAATTGTTGTACAAAAATTGATCATTCTTTTATTCAAATACTTTTGGCCCCTGTATGATTTCTGGAATATTGTTTAAATTTTCCCCTGCATATGAAAGCAGTGGAGAAATTTCTACGTCACCTTGAACTAATTTCGCGCCCGCCTTCAATAACCAATCCTTATGAAGTGCAAGAACATGACGTCGTGCTGTAGAAGGACAATCGACACCAGCAGAATCATGATTTTTCAAAGGGCTAAATTCACTTTCACGTGGCTCTTGCCATGCAACTAAATTTCTAGAATACTCAAATACATCGAACACAAATTTTTCAATTTTTATACCATTGGGACTAGTAGGTTTATGCCTCACACCTTCATCATCAACAAAAGGAATTTTTTTCTTTGCAACATGGAGTTTCATTTTAGTTTCATGCGTAAAACAAACATCGTGAAGAAAATCTAGAGTAAAGTAATGATTGCAAATATTGCCCCCATTGAAAACAAGTTTACCATCAGATCGTCTTAACTGTGCTGTTTCTTTTGATATTTCACTATATTCGACCACTTGATAATGACCATCAATCTGTAAGAAATTGATTTTCAACTTTTTAATTATATACTGTTGCACTAAACTTTAATAGCTTTTGACTACTGACCTGACAAAGCACGCCTATATTCTCATTTGCGTCTGTTTTCTCCACACATTTTACGCCACAGTCGGCGTTTTTACTAAGACAATAACCAATGAAAACAGGGTCTGCCACTTTAATCAAAATATTATCAACAGAATGGACATGCACACTGCGAATATGGCGTTTTGTCATATCGTCCAATATTCCTTGAACTTTCAATGCACGATAAAGCCCTCCATTTCCGTCTGGGGCTTTAGATATGCGATGTTTTTCATCCAGTAAAATCTTTCCGTCAAAATCAAAACAAGGTATCATTCCTTGTTTGAATGCTATGACGTTATCTTTATTTAAACCGAAGTAATTGTTTTCTTCAAAATAAGTTAAAGTTGCATCATGAGTGGCATCGCTTGTTAAAATATACCTGAAGAAGAAAACCAATCGGAATCAAAGATGAAAAAATGATTGTAATAAATATTAAAAAATATAAATTCTACATAGCAAAACTTACCATGTAATACCTTGACATTTTCCATGCCTTTCTTGAGCCATAAGTTCAAGTCTTTTTATTCTCTCAGCTTGTAATTGAAATAAACTCTTATGTGATGGTAATCCTACATCATACATTCCTTTTGGATAAGTTACACCTAATCTAGTTCCTTGTCCTCCAGCCATTAATAGCACAGCTACACGGCCAGCAGATATCTCAAGAAATCCCAATTCTTGATATTTACTCAATTGCACAGGATCACAAGTGTTTTTCGATACGATAACATCATCAATCGGTTGAATTCGATTATCTAATATTTTATTATTATTTTCAGATGATTCTATAGCCCGTTTAAAATATGAATCGACTTCAGACAAATTTATATCCAAGATTTCATTAGTTAAATCAGCACGTTGATCTTCTGTCAGTTCTTCCCAAAATCTCAACAAATGTCGTTGACCATACTTGTCCAGTTGAAGATGTACAGCATCGATATCCATCATAAATTTAAATTATTGTCTTGATTTCGATGAATAGTACAATTAAATACAAGAAATTGTAAACTTTGTAACTTCAATTGATAAACAGATAAATTATGCAAAGCAGCCTTGTTATTTTATGAAAAGCTGACAGCTGGAAACTTGAAGACTAACTGACTTACTAAGTTCAAAAACTGGACATTCAAACGGTTCATTATTTTATCTCGATTCCACCACTTCTACAACGATCTTGTTCCGATCGTTGACTCCTCCGTTCACTTTCACAATTGCCCAAAAAATTTCTCGATTTCTCTGATCCACTGGCATTTCCTTTAACCTTATGTTCCATTAAATTAGATAGTTTTTACTTTCAATTAATTGATCTATCATTCACATGGTTCTTTCTGGCTTATCTTATCAAATAGTACTGACTTATAAAATTCTTTTATTGACATTATTTTATAAGTTATTGAGTTATTAGATATTGATAACTTTTCCTAGCTAATGAAAAGTAGCTATAAACATAATCCATGCCTAAGATAAATGATTTTATTTTATGAGTAGATTAATAATATTTTTAAAAGCTAATAGATTAAATACCTATTTTTTGGCTTACGTTTTAGCTTCATGTAAAAGGATGTTATTTCTATTCATTAAACGCATTAATATAACTGTTTATATTTTTGGTTATAATTGTACAAGCCACGTAGGTGGAATATTTTTTGGAGTAAAATAGATCAGCTAGAATGAAAACATATCTATATGTGATAGTTGATTTTGCTTGTATCCTATACATGAAAGTTTTGACATGTCTGTGATATTGAAATCATTTCAACGAATACATTATACAAATGTCAACGTGTTTTTTCTAACATAAAAGAAACATTATAAAATTAGTTCAGCCGGTAAATCCTTTTCTTCAGAAAATAACTCACATTCCAGCCGCAAGTTCATGATGATGAATATTTTTTATTTTTCGATTTCGCGGGCTCCAATGTAGCCAGTCTTAAAATTTTAAAACACTTTTGTTATTAGCAAATTTTTATTATATTTCGCTGGTGTGATGACATAAATAAAAACAAAGAGTCTTACATCATTTATTTTATTAATAAAACTATTGTTAATTACTCCTTAAAAATAAGGAAAATAAATTTTTAAAAATACGTGTTCTTTTAGTGTGATGTTGTGTTGTTGGTATGACTGTATTATCAACAGGAAATTTTCAGTGCAATACTCAATTTAATAATGAAAGGATAATTGAAGAAAAGATGCCAATTAAATCTTAAGTAAATTATTAATAATAATTAATAAAAAGTAATTATTGAATATTAATGACAAAATATGTACGAAAGATAAGAAAAAGTGATAAGCAAGGAGACTTGAAATTCACAAGTAGCTGCGTACGTGGCACAAGCATTCTCCAATGAGGGTACATACAATTTTGATAGGCGTGGTTTAGAGGCTCACGTACACTTGGGTCTTATGTCTGGCAGCCATAATTTCTTAAAAAGATTTACTTGTGAATAACTGTTGTGTTTCCCTCAGCGGGACAGAGATCATTCTCGATAATTCATCGAGACAGAAAAACCATAAAATCTATCATTTTTCTGTATAACTTTATAATCCGTGAGTATTTCAATATCTTCTACATCTTATTTCTCTCTCATGTATTAAACATTTTGGTCTACTTTTGCCGGCTGTGATTCTTTTGCATCTTTTATTTTATTTTGATATGACCACAAATCTGTTATGGTAATAGATGATTTTATTGTTAAATTTATTCATGCACTATTTTAGTTTAATTGATATTATTTTATTTTTTTAAAGAAAATAATTTAAAAAACAGGAGTTAATAATTGTATAATTCTGTGCAGATAAAAGAACATAATGGATCATCAAACGGGGTTAATTTATGTTGGAATAGTAGTTATTTCCGCGGCTATAATTCTTTTGATTTCAACGTTTGGAATAAAAGAAAAGTCTTATGAAGAAGCAATAGCTGAACAGAGGAAACTTCCTGATGATTTGCTACTTGGTGAGGAATGTTACTCTGATCTCTCTTTTTTTCTCGAATATATATGTAGTTATCATTTATCGTTAATCGAACACTATGAATAAAAAATAATAATATACCCGTTGTTTTAGGTAAAAAAGACAAAAGTAAGGATAAAAAGCACAAAAGTAAAACTGGCAAAAAAGTGAAAGAAAAGAAAGAAGAAAAGGATGATAAGGATGATAAACCGGAACATGTTCAATTCGAAGAAACGCCTCAAATTCTTTCACCGGAAACAAATGCCCAGGTATAGTTTATTATTAATGGCTCGTAAAATTAAAAGATAATTTTTAAGGCATGTAGCTTCTCGTTTAACATATTAAGGATGTTACTCATACGAATTAATTACTTTATCACAAACATCTTCCGCTCTTCTCCAACTATTTCACGCCTGAAATATGGTACACTTGTTTGCATATCAAATGTTGCACATGTAGGTCATCTAATGTGACAGACACGTGGAGAAATTAATACTTTTTTTTATAATTACACACTGTAAATTTTTTTGGTATTTCACGCAATATGAAAATAATTATCATGTAAATTATCTTGTTTCTTTTAATAAGTTTTTCAAGCTAATACATAAAACATTATGTAAACAATATTTATTGAATTTTTGACTGATAACTTTGGAATGACCGGCAATTATTTTGATAATTTTTTATACTTAATCAATTGAAAAAATATTAGTGCTTTATTTTTTCAATAATTTCTCTATATGTTGTTTTTTTTTCAAATTTCATGTACTTTCCAATCGATTGGCTTATTAAACAATTTAATCAATTGAGTGTTCTTATGAATTTTATTCTCAAGTGAATGTCTTCTTTCTTTATAAAATAAAATCCCGTGTTGAGGTATATTTTGAATTGTTATTTATAGATGATTTGAATATGTAAAGATTCTTATTTTTAAATTATTTTTGTGCCCTTTGATAAACTCCGAAACATTGCAGCAATTATTGCATGAAAATACATTCATTGATTAATTAAAAATAATAATAGAATGTAATGTAATATGATATGATATCATAAAGCATACAAATTAATGATTGCATATTAATCTTAATTGTAATTTATTTATCAATTGAATGGTTATTAACTCTTGGGCTTTAATTTGGGGGAAATGAATAACTTAGGAGGCTAACCGGGGAAATAAGAAGAAAATTAAGCCTGAAAAGGTGAAACCAATCCTTTTGAACAAGGATGAATCACCAGTAATCATGTCTGAGCCAAATGCTTTACAATCTCCATTGGTAGAAGTCAATCATTTCGATGTCATTCAACCAAAGGATGATCTTGAATTAGTTCGAAGTCAGAGCGTAAGTGATTAAGCACTTGGTATTCTACTGCATACTATTAAAATATTATTGTATCATATATTGTCATTAAACTCGCTTTATATATAGCTTTATTACATCTTCATAATTAATTTTAATTTTAAATATGGGTGCACTAAAAAAATAATTATTACATTTTAATATGAATGGAATTCTAAATATTAAGTATTGATAACTCATTTTTAGAAAGAGAATCTTCATCAAGTAATTCAATCAGAACTAGTTATATCTAAATCTCCCAAGGGAACTCCGACTAAATCGAAAAAGAATGCAGTCAAAGAGCCCGTAAAGAAAAAGGAAGAAATTAAAGAAGAAAAAAAAGAAGTTGTAAGTGTGACTACTGTTGTTCAATCATCACCCAAGGATTCTAGCAAGGAATCAAAAGAATCGCAAAAAGATGTCCAAAAAGAATCACCAACATTATCAGCTCTACCGAGCAAAGAAACTAATAAAAAAAACAAAAAGAAAATTGATATTCTTTCTCAGATAGGTAATTAATATTATTGTAGAAAATATAAATGATCGCTTTTTATTCCAAGTAATTTAATCACAATTATTCTTTTAGGCGGTGATAAAGATGGTGTAAATATATCTTTGTTGATGCCGTTAGTTAAAAAAGCTGAATTAAGCCGCTCTGAGATACAGATTCTCATTGATCTGCTGTTAAATAAGCAACTAGATAATCCAATGGAACATTCAGAATGGACTGAGGGCCGTGCTGATCAATTAATTAAATTAAAAAAACAACTAGCTGAAAAAGAAAAAGCATTGGCTGAAGAACACGAGGCCAACGTGACAGTTCAGAATAAAGTGAAAGAGCTCAGAGCTGAATTAAATTCAGAAAGGTCTAGGTCATCAGCTAGGTTAAGTCAACTAGAAGAAGCACTTGCTGCTAAGACTACAGAAGTAACTACTCTTCAAACACGTATGCAACACATTCTTGAAACTAACGCTGCAGAGAAACAGGGTTTAACTCGTCAAATTGAACATCTTCAAGTTAAAAGTAATGAAGATGATGCCATTATTCGTAAGATTCAAGAAGACTCTGGTCAAACTCACGGTCACATTCAACAAGAATTAATTGCCCAACGTAAACAATTTGATGTGCAATTCGCTCAAATGCGCGATACTGAAAATGCATTAAAAGCTGAAATAGCACAGAAACATGTAGAGTTTCAACAATTACAGAATGTTAATATGTCTCTTAATGATGAGCTTCAAGCCACATGTGAGCTTCAAGCAAGAAGTAATGCAGATATTGAAATGCTTCAGCAACAACTTGCGATATCAAGGGATCAATTGATTCATGCCCAAGAAATGGCACGACAATTTGAAGAATCGCGGCGTGATTATGATCATAGATTGAAAAATGCTCATCGTCATGAGCAAGAACTGCAAAAACAAATACATTCTCTTCAAGCTGAATTAAAAATGAGCAAATCTGAAGCCAGTGAATTGAATGCTGAACTTACAAAAGCTCAATCGGAATTGACTAAATTGAAATCTGATGCTTCTGAAGTAATGAATTTACGCGGACTGTTAAACAGTAAAGATGAAGAATTAAAAAAAGTTCAGACAGAAATGGCACAATATCATCAAGACTTAATTAAAGCACAAGCTGAAGTGAAAAAATTACAAAATGCTTTGAACGAAAGTCAAAATGAGTCAAGTAAAGGGCAAACAGAGCTAGCAAAGATACGTGAAGAATTAAAGCATGAGAAAAATGAATTAAGCAAATCTTATAGTGACATAAAAATGCTCAAAGATAAGTTGGCTCAAGCTGAAGATAAATTAAGTAAAACTCAAGCATTTGAGGAACTCAAATTATCCAAATCTGAACAAGAACAATTGCAGAATGGTGATAAGTCCACGAGTAATACTCAATTATTAATCTCTAAACTTCAAGAAGATAAAGATCGTCTTGTAGCACAACTCGACAATTTCTCGGAAATGCAAAAAGAAGTGAAACGATTGCGTGAAGAAAATGAGGTACTTTTGTCTAAATTGAACACAACAGACGGACGTGAGAACGGAGTAAATGAAAAATCTCAAAAGAATACCGTTCAAGAATTAGAACAAAGTAATTTGCTAGCACAAAAAGACAAACAACTAGAAACTTTACAAACAGAAATCATGAAGAGACAAAAAGAGTTTAATGAACTTAACGCGCAAATAGAAATTTTACAACGTGATGCAAATAATCAAAATAACTTGACTAAGCGGTTACAAGAAGATTTGGAAGCTCAAAGATTAAAGAATGACGTAAGAAATTTTTTTATTTCCTCTCCATGACTTCTATTCATTTCATTAATTCATACAATTTCGAATATCCTTTAATTCTTTTATTTTTTCTTCTTTTTGCTATCATGAATTATTTAGATAAGCCACAGACTTGTAATTCTTTGCTTCCATCACTTTTCGATCGCTACCAATGAGGATACTTATTTATGCAGATTTCTCTTTTTTTAATTCAAATTGATTTATTCTCTCTAAATTTCGTTGAGAAACAGCCATTCTTTGTGCTATCATCATATTCATCTTTTTTCATTTTATGTTATTATATTGTTTATAATTGATCGCAGGAGTTACGTACTAAGAACTGGAAAGTGATGGAAGCTCTTTCCGCTGCTGAGTCGCGTATTAAATCCAATTCCCGGGAAAATATTGACGTAAGTCTATATCTAAATTCAACCAATTATGATTATGTTGGTCCATTCTCGTTTGTAATTTTTTTTACCTCAATAATCCTCTTTCATGTTGTCGATTAAATATTCGTCGTGTAATGATAAGCTGAAAATAAATTATAAATAAACAAAATTTGTATGTGTATACAGGAGCATATTAACAAAGCCAAAATGACTGAACAAGAAGCAACTAAATCTTTACTCCAAAGGATATTCCCTGAAATAAACATTGCTGAAAAATCATATGATAAATGGTTGAAAACTTTTGAAGAACGTGTTCATAACATATTGACTGAGAAAAAATCTATTGTGACTGTTGATAATTCTGAAATGGAAAAACAAAATAAGAATTTGCAGGGCATGGTAGCTCATTATAAACAAATAATTATGGAAACAGTAAGAAAAATATAATTTTTAAAAATTAATTTGGATTTGTTTAAAAAATATCCTTCTATAAATCAAATTATGAATTTTAGGAATCAATGCTCAACAATCTTCAAAACTATGTTGAGTCTGAAGAATCAAGATGGAAGGCAGATCTTCGACAGAAAGAGAATGAAGTCATTAATCTTAAAGTAGAATTACAAGAACTTCGGAGTAAAACAACACTCCATGATAAGGTAGATTATACATTAACATTAAAAATTTAAACAAATGCATGACTTTGAAAAATTTCACTTTTCAATTGTGGGAATGAGAAAAAACGTTATAACGTGGTGGTGATTAAAGTCTTCTCATAGTTTAATAATATATGTTGTTATTAATAATGGATGCATGCGGTTTTGGTAACTGATAATTTCACAGACACATCAGGACACAGATGGTGTTGAGTTTGCATTTAATTGCATCGAAAAATCTCTTCCTACGATCACCAGAGAGGTAGGAAATTTATTCAGCAGCTAATACATGGTCATATAACATTCTGTGTGTTCAATAAAAATATTTTTAAGATGATATCTAAAGGAATGATGATTATGCTTTATAATTTTCATATATATAATTGAACAAAAATTTTTTCAGCTCCAAGAAAAGATTTCACAATTAGAATTAAGATTAAAAGAAGATAAAGAACAACCAGAACAGAAGGCTGATTTAGTGAGAGTTACATCAACACATACATCACCTATCAAAAGTGTTAATTTTGTTAATATAGAGCAACTAGAACAGGTTATTATTTTATTTCTTATAATTCAATAATTACATATATTTGAAACCAAAAATTAATTCATTTATTTATTTTACAGGAAAAACAACGGTTATCGCAAGATTTGGAGACTGAGCGTAACAAAAATGCCTCTCTCAATGCCGAGTTGAATAAAATACAATCATTAATAGCACAATCAGAAAAAACAATGGAATTAGAAAAAACTTTAGTCTCGCAACTACAAAATGTAGTGAATCAAAAGGTAATATTACATCATAAAATAACGTTAAAGTGATAATGTCATCAAGGAGATTATCATATTTTTTTTATCAACAGAATAGAACTAGTGGTGCTGGTAGTAGTGTCGATCAATGCGCTATTAATGGACCACCAGCAACAGATTCTTCAAACTCAACGGTTAGTATCAATTCCAGAACATAGTTCTATTGTTTAAAGTTACTAACACAGATCATTTGCATGAGAACAGTATTCTAGCGATAATGTACTTGAATATTGACTTCTAGAATATACATGTATTCTAGAAGCTACATTATTATAATTATATTTGTTATTGCATTAATTTATTTAAGTTGATGATATATAAGCTAATTTTATACAACTTTGATAAACTGCTGTTCTCATAATAGTGGCTAGAATGACCCAACTAAATCTCTAATTACCAATTATTACCTGAATAACACGCAGCAGAAGAGATCAACACATTCTCTGTTAGCTGCAATAGAAAATCCCCTTGTCAAGAAATCGGAAACTGAAAACCGTTCAATAACCAGCACGAATTTGGTTGAGTCAGTCCAACAAATCGACCGAGACTCCTTTACCTCACTATTAAATTCCGATAACTGTCATACGACAGACAATTATGATACAAAAGCTCAATGGCATCCTATGAACTGTCAACAACAAAAAAAACACAAGAAAAAAAGGAAGGTAAAACAATAATAAAAAAATAAATAAAATTGATTGAAGTTGGGAGAAAGTATTACTGACTCGATAGAAACAAAATTGGTGCATCTTTACTTTTGGTAAATGGAAACGAGAATTATTTTTTATTAGTGCCTTTATATACTCCATTAGTTCTCATTTATCTTCTTATTATTTCCATATTGTTGTATAATAGTGCATTATTGTAGAAACGCATTCAAACTTGTGCCAGTCTTTCTAATTTAATATTTATTCCTATTGTCCTATTCTATCATTTTTTTGAAGGAATATAACTCAACTATTCTACTTCATCTTTTTTTAAATACATGTGTTAATTTAACTGAGTTGAAGATATTGTTCAGTCAATACTAATACAACAAAACACATGTGAATGATAGGCCACCTCATTAGGAATCAAAAAATGGTCTCCCCCATTTTTAACTAAAAACTCCTATCGGATTAATCATTATATTCTTTATTGATATTTGTCTACAACTATCATTTTATCATTAGAAAAATTGATATTGGCATGTTACAATGGTGGTAGGGAAAGTAGTTGAAGTGAAGAAGAAGTTATATAGGCAACCTTTGACCCAGTGTTTTTGAGCACCAAAATTAAATCTAATTAAATGGTAATTTTTATTGAAAAAAGAAAAGGTATAAAAAAAACAAATCGATAGTAGTATTCTATTAATAGCAACATTAATAATGTAATCGCGAGCAATTTAGTTTGACGTTTGACGTTAAGATAACAATTTAATTTTTAATTTTTCTGACAGTCCACTAAGAAAACTACGTCAAAGCGGCGCAGATTTGCAGGTATGCTAAAACAAAACAGTAAACGAGATATTGAAACTTATATCGTCATTATTTACGGGGTATAGCTTTATATAGCTAGAATAATACGGTGTATACGTTGTTTTTTCACATGCAAATTATTTTTTTTATTATTCATCATTTATCATTACACATTCATTACCAATTAGAAATTCATTCATAGCGCACTCTTAGTCAATTTATCATTGATTTGCTTTCAGTTTAAGCCACTCTCAGTTGTCAAAATTTTACATATTGATATTAGTTTATATATTTTATCACTATTCTAATTTTAATTTGTTTGTATAAATTTTTCTAATAATTTGTTTTTTAATATTTTGACCATTTAATGACTCTTTTATCTTCGTTATAGTATATGGGGATGAAGTCACCGGTAGTCAGTCGAGAAAATATTTGTAAGAGTTAATTATCTATCGTATAGTTTTAAAATGGATAATTTATTCAACATACAATATAAGTAATTTTTTCAATGACAGCAAGTTTGAAATAACTGATTAGCAAGTAATCTTTTAGCTAAAATACTAAAACGAATTAACTACTAATAAATTTATAGCTATTAAATAATCAAATTTAACAAATAAAAAGAAAATAGACAGCTCAAGGTGATGGCTGACTGTAGGCGACTTTACCCCTATCCAATTTCCTATTGTTTAAAATAATTTATTTATTTAACGCATATTAAGTGTGTTTTGCATTATGATTAATGTAAAACTATTATTCGAAAAAAATTATTGACATTTCAGAATAAATTGTAATGCAAATAATGAATTAATGAGCCAAAAGAATATAATAAATGAGAATTAAATGGGATGAAAGAAAAAAAAGAGTGGTTTTTACTTGCTTGGTATAATCATACGCGTTTAAGTAATGTAAATACATTAATCTTTCATCAATTAAATTGCTCAGTGCTAATTTTAATAAAGGAATGTTGCTTGCTGCCAAGTTTGGAGATTTGTTTAATCGGTAAAAGCTAATTATTGTCACACACATTAATATAATTAATAATTTTTTATCTATAAATCAAGCAATAAATGGTTGAAAATAATTATTATTACAGAAAATGATTGAGATTTGGTAGAGGTAATTTTATTATTCTTATAACCGAGAATAGAAATTAATTTCACTTACAATTAATATAATATAATTAGTGGGATTAATTTTGAGTGCCAACACTGGGGTAAAGGGTACTTGTATTAATATGTTAATTTTTTTTTATTATTTACAGAAATGATATATTCATAGATTTAATAATTTTTTAAAATAGACAAAATCCATCATTTAGACACAATTATTTTTTGCTTTTTCAATGATGTCATAAATCATTACGAATCAATATGTTACATCCAATTTTTACTATCACTATTGTCTATATTTTTTAAATGTGAATTTACATATTTTTACAAAATATAATTATTCACATGCATTCAAGAACAATCTAGTTGTTGAAAATCACAAATCAGAGAAATTAAACAATTATGTCACGAGTAACAGAGAAATTCTTGTTTTACTATTCAAACTGTACAAAATCGCACGAATTCTAATCTTCACTACTGTGTTAATGTTTCAAGTGAATTTAATAGCTTGTATGTTTTCATGTCTTTATTCTATTTTATTTTCTCTATTATTGAAAAATTACATATACTTTATTCAGTGTCTTGATGTGAATAGATGTTGTGCATTTGTTGCATCAACGGAATGAATAAATCACTCATACGTAAAATTTCAAGAATTCCATTAATTGTGCAATCGATGATGAAAATAGCGAACACATAATTAATATGATTTAATACATGTTCCAGGGTGGATCAGGAAAAAAGTAACATCTAGAGCAAAGCTACGTTAATGGAGATTGAACTAGGATTATGTAGAAAGCAAGAATTAACAAAAAAAAATAGTGTTATTAGCACATACAATCAAGCTGTGGATGTGAATAGACAGTGACTTTGCTACTGAGAAGACTAATATAATAATAAATTAATTATTAATAATGTTTATTATAAAGAATATCATATTTTATTATATAAAAAAATATGAACAATTAAAGGCGTAGGTAGTAAAAGCAGGAAAATTGTATCAGAGATTGAAATAAGTCAGAGATTAATTATTACTTATGTCAATCATATAGAGGGATGGTTTAAAGAAAATTAACTTTATTCTTTATTTTTATTCGCAAATATCAACTTTTATTTTATTTGAATTTTTGTAGGTAATATATCGAGAATGAAAAAGTTTTGAATTATTAATTCTGTTGAGATTAATTCGTAAAATGGGCTGACGAAGGTATCAGTAAATATAGGTGATATATTAGATTATGAAAATGTTTTTACAGAAAATGCATTTTATTAAACATGTAATTGAAAACATAGTAAAATTCACGAAATGTGCAATAAATACACTAAATGCAAAAAAAAAAAATAAGATAGAATATACTAGAGAGCTTTATAGAGGAAAATAAAGCTCATTGAATTATCGTGTCCAGCAGTAATAAATTAACTATATAAAGTCCAGTCCAATACTGTTATTGAAAATTCTCAAAAACGAGTAATTTCTATATTTTACATGATAGTCACTATCTTAGAAAATTAAAGTTCATTTTGAATTTATATTCTTATTCGACTCTGCTTTTTATTTTATTTTAAGAGCCAAAAATATATTAATCAAATAAAAATAATAGCAAAAACTAACTAAATTTTAGGGTTTGAAATATAAGGAAAAAAATCTAAAAAAAAATTGGAAAATAATTGTTTAAAATAAAAAAAAAATTTGTTAAACATATTTAGTACCGTAACAAATTTTTCATTCTGAAATTCGATATGAAAAAATTTTCACTGAAATCTTTTCAGACACAGCCTAACAGAAGCTGATTATCGCTGTACTGTGAACGTTTTCATTGGATATCGTACTTATTTTATATACATTTTATAACATATACTGAATGCCAATTCGGTAATCATCCTGTTTAAGCGATTTAAATGGTTTGAAAAATCAATTTAATACTACATTTCAATCATCAATTAATTGTATAAATTTTATCTTAAACTCAATAGATCTAATCTATTATCCAATTAATTTTGTATATTTCATACATAGATTTTTTCATTGAGTTTATGTAATTTATTGGTTTATAATATTACCAAGTGTCAAATGAAAATGTGAAGCCACTCACAACTGTTAAACTATTATCATTGGATTTTAATCAATACATTTTTACAGAAAACAACTGATTAAGTGTGTTCTTTAACCGCCATATGTTGTTTGTAATTCTGTAAAAATTGTAGATCAATTGAAAGAAAGAAAGAAAAACACTCTCCATTTATAATGTTGTTATAACAAACCATTGGTCAGCCTTAACAATCCTGGTAGTATCTTATTACAGTTGCAATATAGCATTAAACATACTAATAATAAATACATGTACCCTGCAATGGTTTTTTATTTTTTCTATCACCCACTTAATAATTTTATAAGAAATTTTTATTAATATTGTGAAAAATTATAGAATAATGGTTTATTTTACAAAAAGTATATTAAACATATAATTAAAATTACGATACAAAGATGATGTATCACAGATTTTAATTCACTCTCATTAATTATCATTCAAGTTCTTTTTAAGTGATATTTACAAGTGTCTATTCAACATTTTAACTTAACATTGATTGTAAGAAACCTAAAATATAACTCCCCAAATCTTCATCCTCATTTGTCCAAGAGACATAAACATTTTTTTGATCATCTTCACCGCCTTCGACTTTCACTAGAACAGATTCAACAGATATGGCTCCGTCATTTAATTGTACAGTCCAACCTGTTAATCGTTCTTTTAACGGTTGATATAACTTTATTGTTGTAGAATGTGCTGGCCCCGGATCTTGAATTTGTGCCGTTGATGTAAACCTGACGACGTGTCTTGGTATTCCTGCAGCTTTTCCAACCTATAAAAAGTTATTATTCATATTTGTTTAATGAAAATGATTACTCAGAATAATTAATTAAAATGTTTCACTCAATTTACCTCTTCAGCATCAACTAGACTGACACTATCTTCTCTCAACATCAACACACTATGAAGTAAACGTCTTCGTTTCGGATCAGGAGGTAAAGCTGAATATCGTTTTGCTTCAGCTTTCAAAAGTTCTAAAGATGCATCAACAGGTACTTTTGACGTTGTCGTTATTACACAAGTTTCTCCATTGGCAGGATTGTAACAATTGATGCCGAACTCTTGTTTAATTTTTTCTTTCAAATATTCCATTTTTGCAAATTCTCCATGCACAAGCATAACATTTTTAGGTTCACAATATTGAATAAGCTGCATAATACCTTTGGCATCAGCATGAGCAGAAAAAGACATGTATTCAACTGCCATTTTTACTTCTACAATATGACGATTTTCAAATTCTATTCTTTTAGCTCCACTTAACACTTTATGACCCACAGTTCCTTGAACGCAAAATCCTGGCATTATGACCATATTTAATTCATTTGGTGCCCATTTTTTGAATATTTGAAGAGACAATCCTGCATGTAACATTCCTGGAGTAGCAAAAACAACCATCGCACCAGGGTTATCAATATAGGCTTTGTCAAATGGTTTTATATGTTTAAAATCAAACATATTTCTTTGGACAAATGTTTTTTTAATCTTTTGATTAGTCCAAGTAATAAACATTTTATAATAATTGTTAGCTTTTTCTGTTAAACCAAGTGCAAAATAGACAGGTACTTTAAGGTTCATTCGCTCCCAGTATGTTTCTAGTAAAATACAAAGTTCTTGAGCTCGACCGAGAGCAAAGACTGGAATTAACACTTTTCCTCCATGGTCTATACATTCGTGTACCTGAGAAATAATTAAAATTTATTTGTCATTGATTATACTAATAACTAAATTCCTTTTAATCAAACAATTACTTTAAAACTTACTTTTTTTAGGAAATCTCTTTCCCTACATCTTTTTGAATCTCTGATTGTCGTTGCATAAGTGGACTCTGATATTAATAAATCCGGTCTACATTTATCTATCCAAGCAGCTCCAAGATGACGATCCGGAGTCATATTGTAATCACCAGTATAAACAATTGATTGGGATCCAACTCGTACCCAAAACATAGCTGCACCTAATACATGTCCAGCATAATAGGCTTTGATTTCTAATTCTGAATCTACCATCACTGATTGATGAAGAGTTACAGCTATGACTTTCTTCATACAATCTTTAATCATTTGTGATGTGAAAAAATTACTCTCTCCTTTACGTTCTACTGCCACTTTTCTCATATCTTCTAACAAAATTGGAGCTATTGCTTTGGTTGGATGTGTCATATAAATGGGGCCTGTATATCCTACCTAAATAAATAAATAATTAAATTAATTAAATTGACTAAATATTTTAATTTTCATTAATTTAGTTTTAAAAAAATTATTAACCATTTCAGTGAAATATGGAAGTGCACCACAGTGATCCAAATGAAAATGTGAAATGATCACACAATCAATATAATTTGTAGCAGGTCCCTCAGGGACAATATATGAAAAATCTGGAAATCTTCTTTCATCGTTGAAGCCCATGTGCATTCCACAATCTAACATAATATTTTTTCCGCCCATTGAAACAAGGATACAGCTCCTACCGACATCCTGTCCAGCTCCTAAAGGTGTTATTTTGATATCTGGCATTTTTTCTACTGTTTATGACTATTACGTACTCTAAACATATGTATTAATATGATTCTGGTTTTCAATATATTCCTTAAAAATATATTTATATTTTATACAAATTTGATCATCCTTAGTTAAAAACACATATTTAAGTACTCTCGAAGATGTTTAAGATCTGCAAAATAATTCGAATAATTAAGATTCAAACAAAGACTTTTTGATTGTATTAGAAAGGAAAAAAATATAAATAAACCTTACGTTTGTGTTATCAAATGGTAAATTATTACATAGTTGTAAATAAACAGATCTGTTAACTTTAGAAAAATAATGAAAACTATTTAAATTCTGATGTTTCAGTTTTTTTGCAAAATAATTAACTATTGAAGTGTAATTTTTTTTTATAAAAAGTAATAAATAACATTCCGTTATTTGTATATCTATCAGCAACTAATTTGTGAAAAAAGATCAACAAGATAACCTATGCCCAAAATCTTTGATTCCAACTTGTTTCACACACGTGTTAGTGGGACGTAGTATATTACCGATAATGCAGAGCGAACTGACTCACATGTTGTTGAGTCAAATAATTTTTTTGCAACATGAGATCAGAGAGTAAAGTTTTTAAATTGAATGATTAAGTGAATATTTTAAAAAACTCTGAAACTTATAAATTTTGAGAAGTTTTCGATAATTAAATTTTGAAACAGTACCACAAGGTAATTTGACAGCTCAAATTTTTACTTAAGTTTTAATCAATCTTTATTTAATGTGTCGTTATGAAATAAATCTTTTATTCAGCAGTCTTATCATAATCGATTATTTTTTACTTTTGTGAATAGGTTATTTCACTAAGCTCTCTATTTCTGCAGTAAATAAATATAAATAATAACAGTCCATTAGCTGGACACAGAGACAAATTGTTTACAAATGTGAATAATTATAGAATTATAATTCATGAGTATAGATATTCAATCCACTCATTCTGCATATTCCAAGGACATTTTTAAATAAAAAAACATTTGTCAATAGAGAGTAGTTAAACAAAAAAAACTGGAGGTTATGAAATCTCAAGTATTTCATGCGTGGCACATCTTTATAACGGGATCTTCAGTTAATAATCTTAAATAGAAACAAGCTACTTTAAAAAATTTATTTATTCAAAAATGGTACAAAATAATCAATTTACTATCAAAGAAGCACAGGCAGTATTTGAATCTGCGAAAAAACAACCACATATTAATTATTCGCTATTAATTTTGGAAAAATGTCTTAATACGTAAGTAACATGACATTATTTTTGTATAAATATAGTCTTTAAATAAATGATGAAGAAAGTAATCCAATATCAATGAGTTAATTTCTTTTTGCAGATATAGTATTGATGAACTCTTTATGAGTTTTAATGGAGGTAAAGACTGTACGGTGATTCTCCATTTGACATCTGCTTTATTAAAAATGAAAGAAGAATCAAAACCATTGACATGTCTTTACGTAAGAGACGATCCTTTTCCTGAAGTAAGAAAGTTATTAGTAACTCTTATTTGAAATATCTGTTACGAAAGATTGAGTTAATTGATTTATATTTTATAGGTAGATGAATTTGTAAATAAAGCGACAAGATATTATGGAATAAAAGTATTGACAAAAAAGAAGCCAATAAAAGCAGCTGTAGAGGCTCTCTTAAATGAAAATAAAGATTTAAAAGCTAGTTTAATGGGTACAAGAAGAGATGATCCTGGTTCACAATCGCTGGAGCCTTTTAAATATACTGATCCTAGTTGGCCAAAAATTATGAGAGTTAATCCAATTCTTGATTGGTCTTATAGTCAAGTTTGGCAATTTATATTGGAGCACCAAGTTCCATATTGCTCACTATATGATCAAGGCTACAGCAGTCTTGGTGATAGAAATAAAACTGTTCCAAATCCTCTTTTAAAAGATCCTGATAATCCTTCACGATATCTGCCTGCTTATATGCTAATAGATGAATCTACAGAGAGACATGGAAGATAGAAATGTATTAATTCAATTATAAATAGTTCAATTATTTATAGCTTATCGGAGTAAATTACATGTTATGACAGTTAGAATTATGATTACGATGTTCAGATTATTAAATTAAGTAATGAAAATTTTTTTCAGATCTGAAACAATGATATTTATAAAAATATTTTTTTATAAAAATGTGAAATAAATAAAATTAAATTTCAAAAAAAGCGCCTTGAGTTGTCTGAAAAAAGATTGCAGCGTTGTTGTATTGAGTCTCATGAACTAAATTTTTTGGAGCACCAAGAATGGCATTTCGGGTTAATTTGTTAAGCTGTCATCTGTAAAAGTAGCGAATAATGTATATTTTTTTATGAAAATTTATTAATAAATCATGGCTTATTTGCTCCAACCTGATTATGTGCGATATGTTTGCAATTGCGGATCATTGAAATCTATTTCTAGAATATATTTTTGTCGTCACTGTTTAAAAATAAGATGTGGCTATTGTGTTTCTCATGAGGTAAACATTCGTTTGCCATGTATCAATTATATTTATTTGAATATTTATTATGTTAAAATAAATCATATAAATTCAATATATTGCTTTTTTTATTCTTATCTAGATTGATTCGCATTATTGTCCAGTTTGCTTAGAAAATTTACCTTCATCTGAAGTTCGACTAAAGAAGAACAAGTGAATAATCTACTTTACTTATAATTATTCCAAAATTAATATTCTTATTATTCTTCTCAATATCGAATAATATTGCAGATGTTCCAATTGCTTTGATTGTCCTTGTTGCTTTCAAACATTGACTGTACGTGCAGGTCATACACCGATCAGAGCTGTAAATTCTGGAGAAGAGGTGAAAGCAAGCACTCCTAAAAAAGTTTATTACTTGTGTTGTCCCTTATGCCGGTGGAGTTCAAGAGATGCAGGCATTCCTGACCAACCTAATGGTTATTTCAAACACATTAAATTTTATTTCTACTTGGCAGTATTTGTCATAAATAATGTTATATGTATTTTCAGCATCTGGAGGTTGGCCTGAACAAGAGAACCCATATGCTACTCGGATTAATGCTTTAATTGACTACCACAAAATTTTAGTTTCAAGAGAACGTCAACAACAAGATCGTAAAAAATACGATCCTAAACGTACTTCTTTACAATTTGTAATTACTCACTTGTTATTTATGCATGATGTTTCGTCTTTCCAAAAAAAAATCAAATGATTAATTATTTTATTGTAGGAAAAATTTGGTTTGACATCAGCAATGGCTCGTAAACGAGCTGGATTACCAATTGTTTCTGATGTTAAATGGCATCAAGCTAATTTTGAACATCCTTCTGTAGCTTCTGAGGAAGTAGAAAAATTGCCGGAGTCTATTTTTACTGAACCTGTTGACATTACTAAAAGTAAAACTAATTATGATTATTTTTCTTTTTATTTGAGATTTCTATAATATAAATGTTCCCGTTATTATTAGTTTCAACTCTTGAACAACGTCTACAAAATATGGAGATTCAAGCAGAAAAAATTAATGAATTACGGCCACAACATAAAAAATTCCCTGTGAAAAGATCGCTTCGGTGTCGATCTTGTGAGCATAATGTTATGAAACCTGACTATTCTCCACAATCTATTAAGTTTAAAATACAATTGTCAGCATTGTATGTAACTAATTGTTTATGGAATATTTTGACTTAATCGATCAATGACATCTTGTTACCATTATTATATTTGTTTTGTAGATATCATGTACCGGAGGTTCGAATTGTGACTTTTCAGCCATTGGAAATAGGAAAACCAAGTGAACTATTATTAAAATTTTGTAATCCGACTCAGCATCAAACACAAATAATGTTATTGCCTTTTGATACTCCTACAACTTCAATGATTACATCAGAAAGTGGAGAAAGAGAAGAATTCAAACGAGAGAATATGCAATTGGTATCTTGTGATGAATTTTAACGTCAGATTAATTTAGTAATATCGACATTACTTAGAAAAAATTTTTCTTAATATAGGGTAGTGAATCTCCTAATTTATTACCATCGGCAGTAAGACAAGCTCTAGTCATAGAGGATCCAAAGCCAGTTCTTGTTACTCCTGGAGCATCAATTGATTTACCAAATAGCCCTTTGATTCTCTCGCCTCGAGATGATGCTGCTGAATATGATGATACAGCTGATACTCAGAATTTCCAAGATGATCCAAAGTATTTTTACGACAATCAGAAATTTATATAAATTTTTTTCATTATCATCTAATTGAATTTTAATTATTTTAGATTGGTTGTATGGCGAAAAAGTAACAAGGCTGTGTTAAAATTAAACGTAGTCCCATTTGAAGGAAAAGAAAATGAACCTGTCATTGTTGGATTTGTTATGCAGTACGGATACGTTAATACTATTGCTACTTTAGAAAATAAAACACCACAGAAAGTTGACTTAAAAGTTAAAATATTTTTAACTCTTGGTAAATTGGTTAGTCAAGCTTCATAAAACTATAAAAATTATATAAATCATTCATTAAATCGAATTAACATCGTTATTTCAGCACAGTTAATGTGAATTATTAAATAATGTATTAAGTGACACGAATGTTTTTGTAATCTCTTTGTTTTAAGAAGTGAAATAAAAAATTACATTTACAAATAATCATAAATGCGATTTTTTAAATTTTTATTATCTCCTGGAAAATATACACGAATGTATACAAATAATTTACAATCTACGTCCACGACGTCCTCCCTTCCTACGCGTCGAGTCTGAAGGAATGGGTGTAACATCTTCGATTCTTCCAATTTTCATACTGGAACGAGCAAGAGCTCTGAGAGCAGATTGTGCACCAGGACCTGGGGTTTTAGTTTTGTTTCCACCAGTTGCTCTCAATTTGATGTGCAATGCTGTGATTCCTAAAGTCTTGCATTTTTCTGCAACATCCTAGATGTTCAAAAGATTAAACATTGAAGTTATTTATGTAGAGAATTAATTTTAATAATTGACAAAAAATAATAATCTTACTTGTGCAGCCAACATAGCAGCGTATGGAGATGCTTCATCTCGATCTGCTTTGACTTTCATTCCTCCAGTTACACGAGCAATTGTTTCTCTGCAAGTAATAATATTAAAAATTTGCTTTTGTTTATTATTGGAAATAATATAATCAAGTCTTTTTAATTATTAGATAAATAATACTAACCTGCCAGACAGATCTGTAACATGGACAAAGGTATCATTAAAACTAGCAAAGATGTGAGCAACTCCAAATACAATTTCTCCCTCACGTACTTGAGGCCCAAGAGATACTTGAGCCTCTTCTTTTTGAACCTTTCCTCTTTTAGGCGCCATTTCTGTCGAAATAAGTAAAATAATTAGTTATTACATCCATTAAATTAAGTTCTTCGATTGTTAATTAATCAAAGATGGGTTTGTTTACATAAATCTTGCAAAAATCATTCAAAAAACATTTAAATAATGAGCGATCACTGTTCAATAACACATAGGTTTTAGATTTAATGTCAAAACATTATCCATTTACATCCCGACGTTCACATAAATTAACACATTTTATATCATTTCAATTAATTCACTAGAAATTATAGCACTCAATAATCTCATTATTTTTTTGATTACAATATTGTTTTTATAATAAAAATATATTATTTTACTTACACAATGAATTGTACTGCGGCTTCTGGCAGTTCGAGAAAAAAAAGGAGGTTATAGGAAGTTTCATTCAGTTTATTTTCTGGTGGATGTCGTTTTAAAGAGGGCGCTGCATGACAATGACCGTACATAGTAGTGTCGTGTTCCTGTTTCCCCTCTCATTTGAATATTCTAAATTTTTTTTAGTTCTTTATCAATTTAAAACATTTAAAACCTATAAATTTTTATGTAAAATTATAAATATTCATTGATTTTTATTTTTTAAAAATATTTACAACAATATACAAGTTCATTTAAACGAAATAACAAAAAGAACGTGATAAAATAGATTCGCGCTATTCAATTTCTGTCCTGTTGCACCTTCGGGAAGAGGGGAACAACAGATGGTGCCATCTAGTATCTAAAAACTCTCCCTGTCGACGATCCGAGTTCAGGCTCGGTGCAGGAGCTGTCGTGCACGCCATATTTGTTGTTGTCGTCGATGGGGTAGGCTCGAGAAAAAACTGGCCCGAAGTGAGGCAGTGTATGATCTTCCCGATACAAAGGAACTGTTTTGCGACCAAGTGATGAGTGAACCATGATGTTTGTATGCATTAAAAGTAGCATAATATTGAGTATAAATAGCAAGTTATAAGTGAACGAAATAACGAATAATATCGAAAAAACTGGCGGGTTGTTTCAGACTCAGCTGGCTCTGTTTCTGTGCGCGAGTGTGTTTCTAGTTTTTGTCGTACATTCTTTACGTATTCTGTATGTTATATAGAACAGGGTGTAGTGCAAACGAACAGCAGAAAGTGTAGACAAAAGGTAAGAATCATTGAGTGGAGTTGGAAAAAAGCAACATTTGTTGTCATGGAACAAGACTCAAATGAATTTTGTAGCTATTAAAGATGATAAAAGGATAAGAAAGAATGTGAGGGGTGGGAAGTATACGACCACGAGATTTAAGAGGGGTGGTTCCCCCGGGTCGTCGTACGAGTTCCTCCCGCAAGTCTGTCGACCCTTCAAGGTGCTTTTTGACACTCAATTCTTTCATGGCGTCCCATATGTTTCTGGCAGGACTTCACGCTTGTCAAAATTCCTGTCACTTGCTTATAGTCTACGTTCGTGCTCAGCAACTGTTTACTGCTTTTGGTACAACTTATACCACGTTAAATTTACCCTTATGTATCATAGAAGTACTTTACAATCACACTAACAATAATGCTTAACAAAAACATAAGATAACAAATCATTTCCTATCAAAAATATAAATCAGCTGTTGTGCCATTAATAACAAAGAACTTTCGAACTTAATCTTTCGCACAATCAAACCTTTTCTTTTTAACAAAGAGTAATCATTCAAACGTGAAAATTTGTTATGTTGGGTTGCTTTTAAATTTTTTTACTCGAAAAGGTACAGTTCATTTTTTTTTTTTTTTACTTCTTTAGGGTTCATTTTCATTAACTTTCCGGAATTCCTTTCACCTTCATTGCAGTAGAGAGTACAAGTTAACCATTAAAATACATAAAATAAGGATGCGAATTACAAAATGATTTAAAGTGAAAGGCCATTGGTTGATAGAAATATATGATAACATTTTCAAGGTTTCATAGTGACCCGGTTTATATATATATATAATATTTATATAAATTTTATTTATTGTCGATAAAATTTAGTATGAAGTCATAAACTGGCCTTAGACTTTTTTTTATAAATAATGACGCGTCACGCGATGTGTTTGTGAATTACGTAATTATGTTATACTTTTAATCTTTGCAGTTTTATGTTACTTTTTATTTTAAATTTCAATCGATGTCAGCATTGTATTTATTTCACAAAGCGAAAAAGCGCTCGTCATGATAGTGGTAGAATTAATAGGTAGTCTGTTATATTAACAATGAATGGTCGAATCCTATAATCAATTATTCACTTTAATGTCGGTATTACATTGTCTCTCCATTTGCCATGAGATATTGACATACGCAAAAGTACGCTTAGGTTTGAGGATAATTTCTGAACAAAGGAATACAAGTTTGTAGTTTTAGATTAAAATCTAGATTTGACGAAAGTGTAATAATTTTTTTGTTTATAAAATTATTGATAATAGAAAAATTTTTAAAAATTAAATTTATTTTATTTTTTAGGTAAAAGAAAAAATAATATAAACAGTTTTTCTTTAATTTGTTTTTTGAGCTGGTAGTTCTGATAAAACAATATTTGCTTAATGATTATTATAGATTTGATTAAGTTATTATTGAGTCAATAAAATAGAGTTTATTGATGGAATTAAATAATGAAGATAATTATTTAACAAATACAAATAACGTTCTGAAAAGATGATATTTATATAAAAAATAGAAAAGGTGATAAAGACAAACTTCTAAAAAAAAAAATTAATTGATAGATGATGGATTATAATTTTTATCTGAAATATTCTAATTTAATGTCGATTAACTTTATCCCATGGAGGAATGGCAGATTTGTAATTAGCAATGCTAAATGAAAAGGACAATCAGATACTTGCATTCTTTTTCAAAGCTAGTCTAAGATGAACTTAATGTGCGATATTAATTATATAAACATCTTGTAAAGTAGCAAATAAAGACAGATAATTGTGAATAAGTGACTTAAGTTGTTATTGTTGTATTTCAGGAGGTTGCGGAAGGTCGCGACAGTGGCGTCATCGGGGGGTTTTGGGGGGTCGGGGATCAACGAGTGGAGACAAAGTAGCGCGTGTGATCTAGAAGTAGAAGTGGTGTCGCGGGTGATTAGCACGGTTATTAAAACTGGCAGGCAACCTGGCTCGGTCCCCCGTGGTGGTGGGTGGAAGTAGAGCAGGTGGAAATCGACCTGGGGCTGGTGCTGGATCTGGAGCCAATGGTGGAGGCGGAGGTGCTTCCGGCGAAGATGGTCCCCCGGGCCGTGGGATGCACGATTGGGAAGAAGCATTGGCTGAGGCGGATGGTTATTCCTTCGACGACTCCGATCGCTTTGAAGAGGACTCGCTTTGCAGCTGGAGTAGTGAGGCCGAATCACTCATCAACAACTGGCGTGGATGGAGACGACCGCCTGCAGGCTTTGGCATCTCCAAGAAACAGTCTGAAGGTCAGTCATGCTTTCATAACTACATTTTTTTCTAGCTTTTAAAGGGAAAGAAGAACAGTTTTGTGTTATGTTTTTGTCGAAGACGTGACTTTTAAATGACGAGAAAGGAAACAAATATTATTGAACTGAAAATCGAGGTTAGCAGAAAGATGGATTGGTATTGAATGTAAATAGGAAATATTTTATTGATAGATGTTTGAGCTAGAAAAGTTATTAAGTTAAATCTTTTTTTAAAACTGCGAACAGTAAAATAAACTTTGGAGTATAATTTTTCAGAACTTTTATTACTGAGTCAAGAAATGAATTTAATAATTTAATAAATAATTCTTTTATAATTACTTTTATTGAATTATTTATATTTATTCTAGAACTAGTTTCATTAATTCCGAAGCAATTTGAATTATTATGCTCACTGCTACATCCAATTATGTCAGTTAGTATTGGCTAAAATAATTCGCTAGAAACTGCTATCAAGACAATGGAATGAATCATATCAATATGGCGTTATTATTCATTCTATTTTATTATATATATATATATATCCTGTGATATATACATATATACATATATTTCACTAATATAAGTGAAAAAACTCCAATTTATCTAAAAAAAGAAACATTTCATCTTCCAATTATCTATTCTCTTGAATAAAATATTCCTGTTCCGACAAAAACATTGTTGTTCTGCGAGAAACTCCAATTCTTTGTTTTTAACAATGAATACATAGTTAAAAACAGGTTTTTTGTCAAAAATTTTTTTCCAATGTAGAATTCATGATGATACTGTTACAAATTTTTTTTTGTCACAAATAATAAATTGTGTTAGAAAAAAATGGCATAAAGCATTAAAAAATTTCATTGAAAACGGCGAAGGACAAACTCAAGAAATTTTCATTATAATTTAATTAGAAAAATGACATCAACATCATTATGATGATTATTTAGAAGTTTTTTAATGGAAATAATTTCTTCAGTGGGTGTAGAAAGTATAAAATAACAAGACAAAGGACACACTAGATAAAAAAAAAGATTGTATGTAAGATTGGCTGATATATAATATAACACAGCAGCAACTCTTCGTCACTGCCACAGGAAGCTATTGTCCTTCCTAGGAACATTAACGATCGTCGACTCGAGGGCATGACGAGACTTGTCCCGCCTTAATTCTTTCTCTCTTATTCTCAGTTAAAACTCTTACTCATTTTACTGCATCTTGACTCTCAGTGCGACATAAATACTGTACGTTAGTCGCGTGTCTTTTAGAGTTGAGTCCAAGTAGTATCACAGAAGTCATTGCTCTTTTTAACAAGAACAAGCGTCATCCGTGTGCAGTAAAAGCCTCCGTAGAAGCTTGACTCATCAGCTATTCGTCATTGTCTCCCAGTTTCTCGAAACTTCAGCTTGTTCATTTGACATTAAAAATATCGTTGGATCATTTGTGTTCATATTTATTTTAAATCTTTTTGCTATTGTTGATGTGAATGTTGGTGAAGAGAGTGAGAAAAAGGAAGACAAACTAGGATGATAAATGAGTAGTAGGTAATAACATTGAAGAGGCATGAATGATGCTAACGTTTATGTATGATGTTGAAACTTCCTCAAGGGTACAAATATTAAAAAAAAAAAGGTTATAAGGGTAGCTTGAAGAAATTGAAGTATGACAGGAGTTAGAAAAGATTTTTGGAAAGAAAAGTATAAAAATGTAAGAAGAGAAAGTGGAGTGAAATAATGAAAAGAAAGATGTGGAGAAAGTACGTAGATAAACAAACCTCAAGAGAAACAGAACTCAAGATTGCGTTCAACTATAGAGTGAGGTAGAGAGACTGATGGTATATAAAGCCTAGAACGACTTGCGAAAGCTTGCCAACTCTTGGGAATGGAAGAAACCTTATATACGCAAATATATATTTTCATGTTGAAGACGTAAACATTCATAACAAAAACTAGCTAGCTAGTTGGTATTAAAAAAAAATAGATACATTGATGTGACTTTTTGAATAGAAGTTTTTAAAAACTATTAATGGATTTAATTTGATGATTCATCAGTTTTATATGATCTTGAAGTTTAAAATCAGTATGACTTTCCAATTGGTTTGAAAATGATACAAGGAAGAGTTGATAGAGCGGCAAAGTATAAGAGAAGTCCAAGAAGATCCTTGATCTGGACCGTGGGTTCGAGGCCAGGGGGAGTTGAGAGGAATAAAAGAAACAAAGAAATTTATATTCCTCTGGTAACTGTGTAGAAAATTGCTTCTTTGTTTCTACTTTAAATAAATTATAGTTGTGGTACGCTAGAATATCATTTCATATAGAAAAAATAAAGACCCCATTATTTTAATTATTTTTTTTTATGCTTTATTTGTTATCGTACTGTGATTAACAGATAACAGATATGAATTTTTTTTAGAGTTCTAGAAAAATAGCGAATATGACACGACAGTGAAAAAAACGAGTAAACAGGATATCATAATGTATCATTTTAATGTGTAATCAGTGCATTACCTATTTTCGCAACTTGTAGGGTTTTAATGTCAATATAGTTGCATATAATTATCACAATTTATCACTAATTGTTTTTCTTAATTGTAATTTGTTTGAACTTTTTATCATCCAATTTTACAACAATAACATACAGATTATTGGTCGAAGCTTTTTTTAATCTTTTAAAGATAACCAACGATTGATTTAAATTAAAAAAAATAGTTTATTTGCTATAAAAATACTAGAAAACTCTTTTAATGATCCATCAAATGTTTTACACTCTGATAATATTCCAAGATTTTGAAATCCTAGCAAATGTTTATATTTAATTTAAATATTTTGTACCTATTATTACAGCCATCTATTTGTAGCTCTAAATGATCATTTTATTTTTATTACTTAAAAAATAAGATATACGAATTTAATGGGTTAGATGAAGAGTTTAATGGTCGGTAAAATAACATCTCATTTCGATCAATCGTCTTTGTGTTGATGATGCTTCTATCGGTATTTTACTATTCAAGTATTTGGTTGTCAAGCTCATCAGTGTCACGTGACTATTGTGTAGGTTGTGCAAGATGTGAAGGAAAAATGATGATAGTGAATCAGTTATAAGTAAGTGATGGGGCCAGTAACAACGAGTTTGCCACAGAGTGAGACGATGACGAGCACAGAGCTGACAAAGCTCTGGCACTGGCTGGAGGGTGACAAAGAGTCGACAGCGCCGGCTCATTCGAACGCGAGGGATGGGCCTAGAAGAGGGTATCGGGTCGATGTTACTGGATGTACAAGTGCATGCGCTCGTCCGCCATTTGTGCACGCATGTGGTTGTGTATATATTGATGGTGTTTATACGCATACATAAATGATTGACCCAGCTGCACCGGATTTTCCTTCTTTCCCTTGATTTTTCATCAGAAAAACCGTTTTCCAATCATTATTGGATGAAATGAAATAATTCTCTTTTATCACGTCATTCCAGTGATTCATTACTTTTACCAGAAGTTTTCCTGCTGTAACTGGGTGTTACCAGGTGTTAGCTAATGTCATTCAGGCTCTAAATTCTAGCTGTCACTAGAATTAGATTGTCCGTGTTTGATTAATGTAATTACCTTTCGGGTTAATGCTGTTGATGTTGTTTATCTTTTATATGGATGTATGGTAGAGTTGGAGTTTTTCATTAATCGATTGCTTTGATACTAACATTAGATTATATAGTGAGGTGTTTTGGGTTATCAGCTTGAGTAGATTGAAGCTCTAAAATGATATTCGTTTAATATTCAGCGTTGAAATGTGGTATGAGTTCAATTCAAGATAAGTTCATCTCAATATTTCACTGGTTGGATTTATTCTAAGTTATTTCTAACAAAATTGACTTGTATTTTGCTTTTGCTTTTTCTCTACTATTGTTGAGAGAAAATAAACAGACCAGAAGATAAACAAAATATGCAAATTTTTTCTAACAAAAATCTGTTCTTTTTTTTTAAAAATCAAACTGATTTTTATTCAGAAATTGAAAAATGATGTTTCCATGTAAATTTAAATTTTTATCCACGTTCAATCGTTCGTGCAGTTCTTAGAAGTTTTTTCATATAAGTTCGTTTGCATCTTAAGATAGCTTTGATGGTGCAGAAATTTTTTAAAAATATATTTGAGGTTTATTCATCATATGGAAGCTAGAAAAATGGACTATTAAAAAATGAGGCTGTCGACATGGTTGAAGATGCTTCAGAGTCAGGTTGGCCACACGTAGCAGTTGGTTGTGGGCTATTCGAGTTTATATAGGGATGGGTTAGTTAACGAGCGGTCGTGCTACTCGACGGATTTATATCCTGTACATTATCATCGATCGCAATCGTTTACATTCTGATAATGAGCCATAAATTCAATTAAATGTCCCTGCAAAGTCGTGGGAGGCGTGTTCACGAATTCATAGAGTAAAACAGCTACTGTATACTAACAATAAGCTTCAATTAAACTGAAAATATCCTTGCGTTTATCGTTTTAATTCGTCCATGTTCCAGAATTGCTGTTGGACGATTACAACTTTACGGTTTATAGGCTGCATACCCAACAACCTTGCCCATCTACTTTAATCCTTGCCTCGACCTCAATTTCAACTTACTTATACTTTCCTATGCTATGAATACACGCATTACTTTTTTTCTAGAAATTCAGTGTCAAAGTATTTTGTGGGAAGAGAGTTTTTGCATACTGAGAGAAAAATGCATTTTTAGAGCCAAGTATTTTCTTGAATAGTTGTAATGAAACTTTTTATCATTTCTATTAATTTTTTAACCATCCATTGCACGAATAGGTGCAGATACATTAATAAATGTATGATTTTGAAACAAGCCATCTTCAAAGAAGAAAAACTCATTTTTAATCATTGTTTAGAAGAAAAAAAATCTTAAGATATAATTTGAATAGATTATATTTGTGAAAAATGATAATTGACGATAACACATTCACATTAATGCTACGGAAACAAGACAGAAAGATGTCCAATCAGAAATAAAT